ATACCGACTGTTTCGCCATTAGAGTCTATGCGAAGCAAACCCTTATCAAACAACAAAATCTCCGAGATTTGAAAGACTAGTGAATTTCTCAATTACTTAGGGTTTGGAGAGATCTGTGAGAATTAAAGGGAGAAGAAAGTGGAGTTTTTTCATCTAGGTTTTTTTTTTCTTTTTTCAATTAGTTGTTTGTTAGAAGAGAAAGAGAGATGGTGATTGAGAAAATGCAACAGAGAAAACTGACAGAAGAGAGTGAGCACATGCAGGCACTGTTATGTGTCTATAACTTTGCGTGTGCGTGCTCACCTCTCTTTCTGTCAGTTGCTTATCTCTTGTTTTATCTCTCTTCTCTCTTCTTTCTCTCGAATTTGTTAGACATTTCCTTCTTAATTATCATCTCTTTTGTTGTGTAATGATGTGGATAAGACAAATGCGTTTTGATAATCATTAGTTACGCATAAGAATGTTTGTTTCAATGCTTTCTTTTTACAAGTTTGGAGGAGAAAAGCTCAGATTTTTATACTTGGGTTTATAATAATAAAAAATGTAAATTGTTATTGCTGAATTCTTCTAGTGCGATCTAGGGAAAGCGCGAGTTTTGATGATCATGAACCCAAACCGGTACACATTCTTCTCAAAGATTTAATTAACTATTGATTGTCTCTTTGTCTTTTTTGGATGTGATTTGATTTTTCTTTTCTTATTAAGTTTATTTTTCATGTTGAAATTCCCTGATGATCTTAACTGCGACATGCGAGTGAACCATAAATTATGCCTTCGTCTTCTGTCTTTCTTTTTTTTCAGAAACTAGAAGTGGCTTTTAGGTTTCACCAGAAGCCATCATTAATGATGGACTTTGTGTTTGATGATTTTTGTTTGGTTCTATTTCATGTATACCCTAGTTGCGTACTGTTTCAATGGAAACATGAGTTTTTTCTCTGAGCAAGTTGGTAATGAAGCACTGAATCCAGCTGTTTGGTCTTAAAAGGTCTTTGATCTATAATTTCCTTTTTTGTGTTAGGTTTGTACGGATTAATGCTAGTTGGCATTGAAGTCTACCTTGGAATTAATGTTATTTGGTAGTAGGTAGAGTTTCACTAACTTGGTTTCTTTGCAAGTTGAGATCCAAAAGAAATTTTGAACCCTATACCTAATGCTCTCTATTATCCGTTTTTCTTTGCAAATTTCTTCATTTGTGCTTTTGAATTTGTTAGAAAATAAATTTTGTTGCTTTGTTTTGGAATCTTCTGGTGCCAAATGAAGTTACAAAATATTGTTTTCTATGGAATGGTTTCTCTAATATGGTGCCAAATGAGGTTTAAAATGTTATCTTCTACTGAAATTGTTTATCTTATGCTGCCAAAGATGGTTTAAAACTCTTATGTTCTACTGTAGTAGTTGATCTAATTAAGTTTCAGAATTTATCAAATTTCATCTGATGTTATTCATGTTGGTTTGATCTTTTTTGTGTTGGCCAAGCTTAATGTCTATGTCTTTTGATTAGTTCTTATCAAAATCAGTTACTTTGTAATTTGAAGCCTAGTGTTGTAGTGATTTTGCTTAGTCTGCTTTGATTAGTAAATGCATTATAATCTGTTCAAGCAAAGGCATTAGTTGGTGTTTTGTTTTTCTTTCAGAATGGTAGCTTTTATGTCGTTCCATAAATGAGTAACAAGAGTAATAAGCGTTTGCTGATGTTGTGTAGTGTCAACCAGAAAAGTCTTTGTGTTGAGTTTGAAGAAATCAAATTGTGAATAGGTTTCTTGGAACTAGAGTCTAATGTACTTCACCCTGAAGTCCACAGATGAAGTCATGGTCATGAAATAGATAACAACGGAGATGAATAAAATGCTAAGAATGTTATTTATTTTTTCTACTGAATTGGTTGATCTTAAGTTGCCTAATTGATGATATCTCATCTGATGTTATTCTTTGTTGGTTTGATCTCTAGCTGTCTAAGCTTATTCATAATGTCTTCGATTAATTTTTTGTCAATATCAAGTGCTTTGTAATCGGATTCTTAATTTGTGCATGTTGTGTCTGCTGAATCAAATTGTAAATTTGCTTAATTACCAGAATTGGTGTCTAAAGGGCTTCACATTGGAATCATTATTTCAAGTCACAAAACAGATAACAAGTGGAGACGCATGGACTTTTGGTGTTATCACTAAGGTTCCCTTTTTAGCCTAGCAAGTCATGTATATATTGAATGATCTATATATATACGGCAAACGTGGGAAATTTCATGTACTTATGCTGGGTTTGGTTATTGTGATGTACTGATAACTGTGTGTCTGTGTTATTTCTGCAGTTCATCATGGCCTATTCACATATTCGGGCTTGAAGTTATGTAATCGGTGAGTTTGAGTGAGCAATTAAACTTCAGGTTTTGTGATAGAGTTATTGAGATGATTATGTTCATAAACTGTTTGATGGATTCTAAATTATATCTTGTTTTGATTTAGACTATTGTGTTTTCATCACTAGGGACTGAATGTAGCTAGAAGCAAATTTAATCATAACTCTGAAATACTGTGATGTGCATCATCTGATGTGTTAGGCTACTATACTGGTTATTTGATAGGTAAACTGAAAAACATATTGTTATGCGTTTAGGTAACTCTAGAGACAGTACCATGCTAAAAAAAAGTGTCGTTGATTGCCTTGTCTAATCATTCTTGTGAAAGTGATTTATTATTGTTGAACATGATCCTGTTTTGTGGATTTGCGACATTGTCATCACCAAAAGACCTATGCAACAGACAGTCTCGATATAGCAATTATAAAAACCTGATTTTTGTGTTATCTTGCTTTTGCAGAAAGATTATATCAATATCATGTGGGAAGACATTTCAAGGATATATCTAATTCAAGGTTAACTGGAAGTGTAAAAATCAGGTAAATCAATTAAGTATACAGAAGTACTGTTCTTTTGAACATGAGATTTCTAGCTCGATGATCACGGAGAAACATCTATTTCATTAGCTCTGTTTGTTTCCATTTTGCATTATGTGTTGGTCATATTGTTCAATCGATCAATTATTGTATTTTTAGCTATATAAGAGTTCATGGTGGTTTTAATTACTTACACATTTCTTAAGCATGGTAGATTCAGTGGCTAGACTTGAATCCAAATATTGGCATAATCACTCGTTGGTTAATCTATTTTATGATTACAATCCACATATGCATTAGCTTCATTAGCCTTTCTTCCTCTAGTCTCTTTGCATATGATATAAATAGAGAACATTTCTAAGGTATTTCTTCTCTAAATTTTGTAGTCAAGAACTTGATTCATGTTGATGGTGTCAGTCAGAAGGTGTGTTTTGCTCTGTGATTGACGTGTCTCCCATTTTGCTTCACAAGCATTTAAAAAATGGGGAGTAATCCACATTATATGGTAGAATGAGGAGTTGCATCGCTGAAATAGCTCGTAGTTCTAAGGCATATATTAACTAGCATCTACTTGTTTTATGTACGTATTATTTGGATTTGCCATCTGACTGAACTCATACAGGATTGAGGAAGAGTGGAGTCTTCTTCTTATCATGTATCTTTCATTGATATTACTTTTATCCCTAGGTCCATAAAGCTAAACTAGTTCATGCTCTCTTAATCTAGTCCTTTGAAACAACATATTTGAAAGGGGTAATAAATCGTTTATCTTTACATATGTTATTGTGTGAACTAATTTTTGCATATCAATCATGTTGGTTATCGTCTTTTCCTAAGCTTAAATTGAAGGGTCAGGAAATGAGAATATACTGTGGATTGGTAGACACAGGTTTGTTTTGAATAAATGCTCTAAATCAAGCTGGTTTCAATAGTTTGTGTTATACGACTGTGTTACATACTTACATTGTATAGTTTCTCCAATAAACCTTCACCTAGATTTTTTTTTTTTTTTTGCTCTTTTCCGAAAATTCTTTATAGAATTACCAATTATGGATTGATCTTACAAATAAATCTTAAAATTGAGAGATTAGGTGTCGAATTGAACAGATGATCACCAAACTAAATAGTAATTTGAGCCTGATATGTAGTTAAGTAGTTTGAATTATTTAGGGGTTTAGTTTTGGAACTCTGGTTACAATCATATACTGTAAAAAAATAAGAAAAATGAATGGGTGTGGTGTAGAGTTAGTAGCCACCCACTCATTGAGTCAAACTGTGTCCCACTTGTCCTTGTAAGCCTAATACTTCCAAACTTCGCCGTGATTTGTTTTCCCAAATGCTTTTAGCTCAAATTTGACGGTTTGAACAACAGGTAAACGTTCTAGGCCGTCTAGGTGATATGTAAATGGTTGGATAATCTAGATGTTTTGTCTGTCCAATTTTCCTATTTTTTTTATTTCTACTACTGGATTTAAGATTATAAACTAGAATTTGAAAGAATGTACATGTCATGATATTACAACACAAAACGCAGTTTTTTTTCCTTAGTAAATAATGTTTATTTGTACAAAATGCAATTGTTGTTGTTTTTACTTAATTATAAGATATATTAAATTCTATTTTTCAGAGATCATGTTATTTCATTTATATTATGTTAGAGTACAGATATATAACGACATACAAATTAACTCTACAAAACTCTTAAACCACCTAAAATGATCCCGAGTAGGTGTTCTAAACGTTAGATGCTACTCTAAGCCCCTAGGCCCCCTACTGCATATTGATTTTCTTGGAAGTATGTGAGTAAATAAAACGGTGAAATTAAACCTGCTTAAATGTTACATTAATGTGTTGTGTAGTTTTTAAAACTTAAGGATAACGAGTTATAAACAAATTCTTTGGCCTAAATAATCATCATTGACATTTGAGACCAGGCCGGTTATGTGATAGAAAATTTAAGGATATAACTTCTTTTTTTTTTTCCTCAAAGGATATAACTTTATAAACCAAAAAAAAAACATGAAAGCATTACATGAGTGTGCTATTGGGTGGTTTGTAGTAGTAGGTAAAAGACAGAAAACCAAAGTGTACGCAAATACGGTGTCGTATCCGAAAACACAACCTTATTCTTTCTAGACTTTGACCCAAACCACCTATCCCACTTGTCTTTGTCTTCTAAACTTTTCTCTCTTTCCACCCAATAAAAAAGGGAAAACGAAATTGCCGTTATCACGGCTTGGAAACGGAGGGAGCGTCTTTAACGGTGACCAACGAAGAACCATTACCGTTAGCAACTGTTGTAGTGGATAGGTTAGGAGACAAAGGAACACCGGTATCTTTAACGAAGGGGTTACGAGAAGGACACGTGGCGGTGGAGATGGTGGTGGCTAAAGAGATGGGCATGAGGCAAAGACCTTTGCCTTGTAGATACTGCATGGCCGATCCCATGTCCTCTTCCATCAGCTTTGCAACTTGGTGCTCCGTCATCTTCGCTTCGCCGGAGGAGGAGGTGTTTTCGTGGGATCCACCGGCATCCTGAAAAAATTTAATAAAATTAAAAAGGAAAAAAAAACAAGAAAAGCAAAACCCTAAAGCTATGATGATGTTGAAATTGGAGGTTTTGGTATTTGTTGGAGAGAAAGTAGGCACGCGTGCCCTGCCCTTTTTTTATTTGCAGTTTTGTTTTTTTACTCTTTTTTAGAAAACTTTTTCATTGTTTTTAGAAAGTCGAAACCAAAACTACTTTTGATTTGTATTCTTCCCTAACTAAAACCTTTTCAATAATTTACATCTATTTTAATTAGTTTTAGCAAGAAAACTCATTCTATGTTAGTACTTATCACGTCATCCTAGTTATCATAAAAAAAATTGTAAGAAAGAATGAAAAATAGTTGAAATTACCTCAGAGATTTGAGAAGAGACAGAAGCAGCACCGCCCAGTCTACTCATGCTTAATACCTGCATACATAAATTTGCCGATCAATTATTATTATTAAGCAAAATGTGAGGTAAAAATATGTTTTTACAACCCAAAAGATAAATAAAAATTACAAGATAAAAGGAAGAGGGAGCATATGGAATTTTAGTTGCAGAAGCCCATATTCGATTTCTTATTCTAATGTCAAGTCAAAGGTAAAGAAGCTTCCACTCTTATAACAAAAACTAATTTAAAATGCTCATATCTTATAGTAGTAAAATAATTCGAGAGAGAGAGAGAGAGATTCACCTTGACTTGGAGCTGTAAGAACTTGACATAATCGATAATCTCATCGAGCATTGATGCTTTGTCTGTCTGTAAATTATTATTTTTAACAATAAAAAAAACTTTGTTAGCAATTCTGCATCTGTTTATTATTATTAATCAAATTTTAGAATTAATTAGCTAATCAGTGTTTAATCATTTGATTGTATAAAAGTCCAAAGCTCTAGATAACCTACTAAACTAGTACAATTTGTGGTCCAAGACTAAAACACATCAGTGATATAACTCATAAAACTAACACATTTTTATGTCGTGATGTATATTAAAGAAATGTAAAATACAAACTGGATTAGAGTCGTCTACTCTTTTAATCAACTTTGATGATCGAAATTTAAGATTAATGAAGATAATTAAAATTACCTTGTTGCCATTAGGGACAAGTTCTTGAAGAGATTTCATTCTCTCCGCTATTCTCTCTCTCCGTAACTGTTCCATAATTTCAAAATATTTCAATAATCACCTCAAAAATATATAAAATACGTTTTTCTCGGTAACTGAAAAGCGAATAATGAGGACAAGTAAAAATAAAAAATAAAAATTCGAACCCGTTCGGCGATACTGTGAGGATCAGTGGCTTGACCTCTCCTAGCTCGGACTTTAGGCTTAGTCTGAGGCTGCACCGTCGTACCACCGGTGGTTGTTGAAGCCGTCGCCTGCGATTGTGTTTGACCTCCCGATCCCTAAAAGAAAAATCACAAAACATTTAATTAATACTTTAACAAAAAAACATATACAGTAATTACTATTTTCTCTTTGTAGTATTTGCAAAATGAGAGAGCAATGGGATTATCAGTTATATACCTGAGGGAGGTGGAAAGGGAGAGATCCCGTGGAGAAGCCATTGAAGAGAGCGTCATTATGAGACAAAGGAATCATTGTGATCTGGTTTCTTGAATCGGCGTCGTGATGGTGAAATCCAGTGACGGCGGCACAATCGGAAGTTGGCGGAGGAGCGTCGTCGAGGACGGAGGAGGGCCAAGGAGTGGAGGAGAAGATTTGGTGGAGGAAATCATCGTGGTCGAATGTTGCAGGAGATTGGAGATGTGGAGAAGAAGATGATGAAGGAGTTAAAAATGAGGACGAGTTCATGGCTTCTGATTTTGTTTTTTTCTTTCTTTGTGGGAATGAAAATGAATGTTGTTGAAATGTTTTGAGGTTTAAGGCTTTATGGTGTTTAAAAGAGGGATGGAGATGGTAATATTTGAGATTTGTAGGGTTGAAATGTTATATACATTTAGCAAATTTACCATTATTATCATCCTTGCAAATTAATTCGTTTGTGTTATTTTCATCATTTCTTGAATTTTTTAATCACTAAAAGAATTCGATCATTGAAGACACGATTTCTTCAATTCTATAATTCTTTGTTGATAGTATACTTTTCACAATTTTGTAGTAACTACAAAAAGTAAGTAGAACATACACTATTTCTATCAAAATATCGTAGTCGAATGGAAAGCTGAAAGGAATGAAAATAATAATAAGTAGTTTATAATTTGGTTGAACTAACTTCACTCAAATTATTTATGTCTTTTCCATTATCTTATTTTATTTTTTAGACATAATGTGTTTCTAATAAGTAATAACGTATATATTAAAAAAAAAAAACTCAACAGATTTAGAACATAGGGTTATGATAAATATACCTTATATGAATCTTAATCTATGATTAAATCATTTTGAAAACTTAAGCCATAATTTTGAGAGAGTTCTTCAAGTTTAATGGTTGTCAGGCTTGATTCTAATTCTTCAATTGTTGTGCACCATATGCTTTATTTTCTTTCCTTCCTATTGTAAACGTATGTTTTATATAAACAATACAAAACTTAATACTATGAAATAAACTAATGTATCAGTATACGAGATGGGACCAATGATTTATTGCATAATCTTTTCGTCTTTACTTTGATGTTTTTCCTTTTTTCTATATGGAATTTTTATTATCATTCATTAAATAACTAATTTTACACCCCTTCAGTTGATTATTTTGGTATACACTATAATTATTAAGCACAAACAAAAATGATTATTGCATTAATTTTATGTACATGCATTCTCTTATACACGAGGTATAGATCTCTATCTCTGTTGTGTAGTACATCAATGCTTACCAACATTTGTAATTAATAAATGGGAAGTCTATTAAAAGCCGATCTCTACCTCTTGTGAGTTTGTGCAAAACTCAGAATGTCCCATGTGCTTAATCATGCATATTGCATAATAATGTTATTTACTATCTTTGTCAATTTAATCTTAATAAAATCATACTAGACAGATTCCTCTCTGATAAACTGTATGCAATGGAAAAAATAAATATTTAATTTCTACAGGTAAATGATGATTTATAAACAAATGTCAAAATATATATAGCAGTGATTAATATGTAACGAAAGATAACAAGAAGGTTATACTAACAAATATGAAAATGGTTACATTTTCTTATGTATATTAGTAAATAAAAACATGAATATTGTAGGATTTCTATATATACTTCGAAGTTGGTATTTTTTGAAGTAAATAACTTAATTAGTTATGACATGATGATGAAAAAATGTTATGTTATTCCCCTACTATATTCTCGTTTAAGAGGGTACTCTTGCCCAAAGGAAAGCAGATCGGTGAAAAACAACAATTTCCTCGGTATCATATTGATCTGAAAACAAAACAAACAAAAAAAATCTGTAAAGAAGTGATCGTATGATTTTAAACACGAGTATCGTCTAAGGGGATAGCATGTTTGTAATCTTGGGGACAAATTGTAAACAGTAATATATCAAGAGAACATTATCATGAACCATAGTGCATCATTGATGAATGTACCCAAATGAATAGAATTATATAATTTTATGCATTTATGCTGCATGTCTAAATATTATATGTCTAAATAGTTGTCACTAGAAGAAGTATTGGCTCTGGCCACTATGGGTTTATCTTGTAGACTATTGCACTTTTAACGAGTTTACGACAATGAGGAAAAAAAAAAAAAAAAAAAAAAAAAAAAAAACGAGTTTACGACAAAATTCTTATAAAGTTGCAATAATTTTGTTGGCAGTGTTACGATTTACGAATGTTAAGATTGGGCTAAAAAGGGAAAGAAAAGATGTCTAAAATTTAATATATTTAGTTGTAAGTAGTAGTTTGCCTTCAAAAAAAAAAACATAAGTACAGTTTCTTCTTCAATTGGTAAACCAATTATAAGGATCTCGGTTCGATTGAAGATAAACCAGAATAAACCTAACCGGCTTGTTAAACCCAACCGCCTCTTTGCTTAAACCCTTTCTTCCTCCGCCGCGTTCTCAAATTCCTCACAAGCTCAAGCTCAAGCTCGAGCCTTTTCAATTTTTCTCTTAAGACGCAATCTTGGTTTCGCAACCCTCTTTGTTGTTTCGTTTCCAAACGTAAGTTCTAATTTTGTTGTTTAATTTCCAAGGCTTGTGTCGATTCTCAAACTGCAGTAATTAAGCAATTAGATTGATATACCTAGTTGCTCTTAGAAGCTTCTCTTTGCTTAGTCTGGATTTAATTGTAAAGTTTGGAAATTGACTGTTTTGGAGATTGATGTGTTTAGGAAACGCGGCTCTCTAAATCATGGCGACTTCAGCTGATGCTCGGGCAGTAAAGTCGCTCAACAATTCCGAGGGGCGTAAGCGATTTGTGGTACGTTTTCGTTTCGATTAGCTTTCATAGTGTCCGCTCTTTCTGCTCATTAGTAAGCTCACTTATCTGTTTTCGGTTGTGCTCTCTAATATGGCTGTTTGTGCTTTATTACTTCTGGATACAGTTTAAGAGTTTTGCTGACAGAATCAATGACATTGACATCAACTTCAACGGCTATAGGACCTTGAATAAGGTGAAGGCTGAGCCTTCAGAAGGATCCACATTTTTCAGGGATTGCCTCCTAGAATGGAGGGTATGTTTGATTTTGTTGCCTTGGACCTCTCTTTTAAGTTTCAATATTTTTCTTCTGGTCTTGGACTGTTCTTAACCTAAGTTAAGAATATTAAGTAAATCATTGTAGTCTTTAGTAAGCCGTACCTTGTTTTAGTTTTGCTTTATTACCGGCTAGAAGTTGCGGTGGTTGAAACATGAAAAGTAATGGTAATTTTAGTGATCGTAAACCTCATGGCTTTTATTGTTCACATGATATTGTAAAGAGACTGCCAGCTCGCTAGTTCACCTCTGTACTTAAAAGAATGTTGGTACTCTGTTTTCTCGTTAGATTGTTCTATAGGCATCTAGGGTGACCAGAGAAGTATTATCTCTATATATATTGCTGTTGTCTGATGCAGAAGCTGCAATGCATATGATATGCTCGGGGCTGTTCCTACTTTTTCTTTGTATATATCTAAGTCTTCTTGGTGCTTGATCACGCTTACACAGACGTAGTGAGATAATAAATTTGGTTCATTTGATTGGTTGAATGTAGGAACTAAATACCGCTGAAGATTTCATTTCGTTTTATGAAGAGATGTTACCACTTGTCCAGAATTTGGGTTTGGTTCTTGTGCAAAAAGAAAAAATCTTGTCGAAACTTGTCTCTCGATTACAAATGAAAGCAAGATTGTCTCTGGAACCCATTCTCAGGTTTGCTAATTTCCACTCATTCTTTTAGCTTGGAACCATCTGCCAGTGGAACGTATTTTTCACTGATATGGACTTGTCACTTCAGTTGTCATTTTTATATGTATGCCGCTGAAGCGGTGTAGTTAACCACATCACTTCAAAATCACGTTCTAATTCCATGGAAATGTTTTTTTTTTTTTCTGACATCTATGATAGAGAATAATGTTGTCAGAGGAGCTAAGATAGTGGTCGAGTGGTCGCTAAATTCTTCACTTTTTCCATTCGTAAGAGCATGCATACACTTTTGTAATCTTCTTCGGTATAGAAGTATAAAGACTTTTTTTTGCAGGTTGATTGCTGCTCTATCAAGAGATCTCTTGAAGGACTTTATTCCGTGAGTATTCTTAAACTCCTTATTGTGAGCTAGTATACTTCGAATTCATAGTAATCCTTAACAAGGCTTACTGAAAGTAAATGCTTTGGAAAAGCTGATGAATTGTTTTAAGGTGCCTACAGAGTACTCCTTAATGTCGTGGAACTCTGGACTATCTAGTTTTTGAAATCCGTTTCCTTGCCATCTGAGAACTGATATAGTTTTAGCCATACTGGATAGCTTACTACATGTTAACACAAACTTGACCTTCCGTTCCTTGCATACAGTGGCCAGAAAAGAGTTGCTCACTCGAATTTTGATTATTGTCATCTCACATTACACATGACAGTGCTAGACCACTAGGAAGTAATTTTTCTTTTTGGCTGATATTTGGCAGAGTTTTTGACTTTCTTCTAAGGGTCAAGTGTTTGAGCTTCACTTGCGATTTCTTTGATAAAATCTTGTCCATGTGATTAAATTTCCTAACCAATGTCTTTTGTATTTTTCTTGGCTAGCTTTTTGCCACGAATTGTGAACTCCTTAGTGACTCTCCTAAAAAATGGTGCTCATAAAGATCCGGAGATTATTGAGCAGGTTGTTGGTGTTCTATAGCATATTTTACACTCACGACACTACCTAAATTCATATGGTTCTTTTTGCTGAATTTTGGTTGTTTTTCGTGCAGGTATTCACATCCTGGTCTTCCATAATAGTGTCCCTGCAGAAGTATCTTGTATGCGACATCGAAGGCATTCTCAAGTAAGTAAAGTAAAGACATTCAATCTAATCTACAATGTCTGTTTATTGTGATGGTTCTGATGATTGCACATGGTCTTTCTTTTACTTACTGGATTAATAGAGGCTGCCCTAAAAATTGATAAAATTGTCTTTATCATCCTAAAAGACAACACATGTCTATCACATGCTGTAAATGTTGTTGAATCTAATTATAGGGTTTTCTTCATCTCATAGATTTCATTTTTTATTTGATTTAATTTGCTATGCTGAAGGGATACGTTGGAATTGAGGTATTACCACAAAGACTATATCAGTGAATTTATGTCAGAGTCCATGTCAGTTTTGTTGAGGAATGCACAGGATGAGCAACTTGAAAAAGGTGATAAATTGCTTGTCATTTGTTTTTCCATGTCTACGTTAGGGATAGTCCACTTGATTCACAGTCCAGTTGATTCTTCTAACCTAAACATTACAGGGATCAAGATGATCCTTTCTGAAGTTGCACATCCATCCAAAAAAGCTGGAGGAGTTGGATTACTATATTATGTTATGAGTGGTACCTATGGAAGACTCCATTCAAAAGCTGGGAGAGTTTTGAGCTTCTTGCTGAAAGATTCAACATTATCTTTTTTTGATAATTTTCCTCAAGGCAAGTTCTCTTTCTAAAGAGATGTTAAGAGTATTTCATTTAGGAGTGTACTTTATTTAGAAGGCTAGTGTGGTTGATTTATCCTCATCTTGATTTAAATTCTTAGTGTAGAGGAGAATGAGTAGTATCATAGAGTTTTCTTATCTTTGCATATCCATTTATATTAAGGTCTTCCGTGAAGAATTTAAGAATTGATGGTTTAATTGATGTTAAACTGCTATATTTTCTTGCTGGAGGGGATTAATGCTTCTACTTCGTAGAGGATGTTAATCATTTATATCAAATAACTTGAATAGATACCCTGAACCTGGTTTCACGATTTAGAATCTTATTTACTTCTTATCATGGTTGAATCTTGTATCGTATTGCAGGCCCTGGTGCAGTCGTGGAAGTTGTGAGTTTGGCTTTGCAGAGAATATGCGAGGATTTGGAAGCAGAAAAATTAGTTGTTATGTGGGAATACTTGTATAAGAAAATAAACAAATCAATCTCAAACAAAAAATCAGTTCATCTAAGCCGACTGTTGAGTGTGCTTACGGCGGTTGTTAAGATTGAGAAAGGTCACAAGGTTCACGGTGAGTGATTCAATTGCTACTTTGCTCCTCTCTCTCACCCGCTCGTTCTATTGTAGTCTCTTTGGGTTACACATAGCAACATACATATTCATGTCTTGCCGACTTAAGTTACTGTCACTGTGTCACAGATAGCCCATCACTGATTGGAATCGTGAGCCGCATTGTGTCAACTTTTGTGGGTTCCTCTGAGACCATTGTAGAAGGGGATAACTTATCTGCTGTCCTTGAGGAAGTTCTGCAATTGATATTATGCACAATCAACAAGGTCAATGAAATGGAAACTGTTGCTTCGCAATGGGCTCCCATTTTTGCCTTGAAGAGTTCAAGGTATTTTCTACTATCTATCTGTTTATACTTCTAAACCTTCTTCTTTTCTTTTTCTTGACATTGATCATGTTTATTTTCAGTTTGCTGAATTTTTTGCCGGAGTTCCTACAGAAGGATCAATCAGTAGTGAAAGTCTTTACAAATAATATATTATGGCAAGACTCATATCATAGTCTTTTTCATCAACTCCTCTTTGATTATCCTACCTCTATTTCTTAACAATTAAATTCTGTTTTACAGTGCAATTAACAATATGATTTGGGAGTCTTCTGAGGAAGTTATTCCTCTGTTACTAACATTGTGTGAGAGACAACAAACAAGTCACGACATGGTAATCATCATAAGTCAAACATTTGAGAGTAGATACGAGAGAATTCATGAGTTCTTGGAAGCAAATATTAAAAAGGTTCAACAGAATATTGAGAATACTGGATTAGCTCAAATTGATGAGGGCGAGTTGGCTGCCATTTGGGGAGTTGTCAACTGTTATCCTTATTTTAAAGTGGATTCATCATTATTGATTTGCTTTAAGAAAACTCTCAGACACCATTTGGCAGTGTCAGATGGTAAGTATCACTGCATGATTCACTCTTTTTTGCATGTTACTTTATTTTTGTTTTATGCTGTTTTTCCTCGTAAGACGCCACTGAAATTATGCTCGATCAGTGTCATCTGATGATCAAAATTCAAACAGATGTTCAGCTATACAAAACCCTAAATAATTCTCAAATATTTGCCGTGATATTTCTCTCATTGAACTGCTCTTCAGTGGAAATTGAGTTGTTTTTTTATTGTGATTTCATTTCCTGGAGTTTATCGTAACATCTTATACAAGCGAATTTCTTTTCAGCAGACACTTGTAGTGGCCCAGAATTGATGTGGCAGAGCTTACTTGGTACTGCTTTGAGGTCATGTTACAAAATGCTGGGAAGAATTAACCACAGTGATCTAGAGGAAGCTTTGTCTTTTGCTAAAGATTACAAGTCATGTGTGCAAGTGTTGTCTCCTGTGGCCGATGTTTTGGAATTTACGCACTGGTGAGTTTGTCTGTTTTGGTGGCTATTCAGTTATTTCTCCATGTTTGAATGATTCTGTGACTGTAGGCTGATCCATTTCCCTATATTAAATTGTAGGCCTTCATTAGCTCATGATGACAGGTTTAAGGCTTATCCAGAACTTCAAGCAAAGAAGGCTGGAGATGCGTTTGAAATATTTTCTGAAAATTTGCGTCATCCGAACAAAGAAATCCGTCTTATGACTCTGAGGATTTTGTGCCATCTTGAATCTTTGTCGTCTGACCCTTCTTTTGAAGAGCATCCTCCTAAGAAGAAAGTGAAAATTGAAGAGATGAAAAAATCTCTTCCTAAAGGGAATGTGAGTAGATATCCTTTGTTCTGTATTCTTACCTCAAGCAGATTTCTTACTAGCATGATGACTATATGACTGTTGCCTCTGTGCTCTATCATGTTGTCACTACTTTCTTAAACTTTTCCTTCAAAATACCAGGTTCTTCAGTTATTACGCTCAGTCGAAGAGACTGCTCACACAGTGGATAATAGTCGGATGTTGGTCAATTTGATCTCTACAATACAAAAGGACCTCTCCGCTGGCAGGATACATGCGGCATATGTGAAGCTTGTATTGAATGGGATGTTGGGACTATTACATAATAGATTTTTGGATTTGTGGGGTCCAGCATCTGAGTGTCTTGCTGTTCTTGTGAGGAATTACACAGGTGCAGTGTGGAGTGATTTTGTTTGTTATTTGGAGCAGTGCCAACTAAAATTTGAAACCCTCCACGATCATAGTGAGAATGCGAACCAAAGCATGTCAGAGAGGCATACAGGTAGGCTCACACCATTTAAGTAAATACCTATTTCATCCACTCATATAATGAATTAGTTGCTTCGTTCTGTATATTTCAAATATCAATTTTCATTTTTTGCTCCTGTTTTAATATGTTAGACGAAATATATGTCTGTAACCTCATCTCTATCTTATTGTCTGTATAGTCTGATGCCTATATGTTTTTCTTTCAATCTACAGATCTGATTGGCCGTTTTAATTCGGTTCTCTTTCCACCGTCTAATAGCACGCCTACTGCAGCGGTGGTATCTCAGTTGCTACAGACCTTACAAAAAGCTTCCAGTGTTGCTCAGTCTCGGGCTTCTGAAATTCTCCCTTTGTTGTTGAAATTTCTGGGATACAACAGCGAAAATCCTGTGAGGTAATCTGGTCTTTATATTTGTTGTTCTTAAGCGTAATATTATTCAACTGTTATCATCATTGTTTTTCTCTGCCTTGCAGTGTCGGATCATATAATGGCCGAGTTTGTAAAGGAGAGGACTGGAAGAAGGTTCTTATACAATGGTTGACTTTGCTAAAATTGATGAAGAATCATAGTTCGTTTCGTTTTAGTCAATTTGTAAACGACGTTCTGCAGAATAGGTTGGCGAGACTACTCAATTCGATATTTCACTGTTCTTTTGAATCTTTTGGAATAAGAACTTCCATTCCTGATACAGAATTAAATAATTTCATTGACCTTTGCATGTGGTTGTGTTTTCTTAAAAATATTTTCCCAGGTTCCTGGATGATAATGATGCTGAAATACAAACGAATGTTCTAGAGTGCCTTCTGTTGTCAAATGACTTCTTACTCCCACACCGCCAGCATTTGCTGAATTTGATCAAACCAAAAGAATTGAGAGAAGAACTCACAACCTGGAACTTGTCCGAAGACATCGGAGAACCTCACAGATCTTATATTTTTTCTCTTGTAATTCGCATCCTTATGCCAAAAGTTAGGACATTAAAAAATTCGGCTTCAAGGAAGGTACATATTACTTACTTTTAGTTTACTTCACTATGTTAATACAGTTTTCATTTGGGTCCTAACAAGTTCTCTTTGCTTTTCTTGTCAGCATACAAGTATCCGTCACCGACAGGCAGTTCTTTGCTTTATATCTCAGCTGGATGTTAATGAACTCGCCCTGTTCTTTGCATTGTTGATAAAACCTTTGAACATCATATCAGAGGAAACAATGGACTCGTTTTGGAGTTCAGGCAAAAGTTCTGTGGACTATTTCCAAAATTCCAATTTTCTGAAATATTTCACTGTTGATAGTATTTCGACATTATCCAGGAATCAGAAATCTGGGTTTCTTCATGTCATCGAACATATCCTTGATGTCTTTGATGAACGCCGTGTCCGACCTTTTCTAGACTTTTTGATGGGATGTGTTGTCCGGCTATTGGTAAATTATGCTCCAAATGTTGATGAAGAAAGGAACATTGATTCATTGGCACTAAGAAAGGCCACTGCTGCCCCATCAACTTCAGATGATAAAGAAAATGCTTCAATAAATCACGACCAGGTAAAATGGTTATTAGTGTTGTTTACCCTTTTCCCTAAAGTCTTGTGTATATTATTTATGCAAACAAACCATTATTGTTTCTCTCATCTCCTTAAGAATTCTTGTCTGACATTTTTTTCCGTTTTTTGTGTAGGCTGGCACTGCTTTGAAGCAGTTTAAAGAGCTGAGATCCTTATGTCTGAAAATCATTGCTCATGTTCTTGATAAATACGAGGATTGTGATCTTGGCTCCGCGTTCTGGGACCTCTTCTTTTCGGCAGTGAGTCCGTTAATTAAGAGTTTCAAGCAGGAGGGTTCTAGTAGTGAGAAACCAAGTTCCTTGTTCTCATGCTTCTTGTCAATGAGTAAAAGCCGTAATCTCGTGAACCTCTTATGTCGGGAAGAGTCTCTTGTTCCAGACATTTTTTCAATTCTAACTGTCGCCACAGCTTCAGAAGCTATAAAGTCTTCTGCCTTGAAGTTCATAGAGAATCTGCTTTGTCTTGACAACGAGTTGGGTGAGGATAACAATATGATCTGTGGATTCTTAGATCCGTACATAGAGGCATTGATTAACAGCTTGCATTCTCTTTTAATTGGGGATATTTTGAAAAGGTCAGACCTCTAATTCATTGACGGACTCATGTTATGTCGTCTTGTTTTTATACTTTTTAAAAAGTATTATTTATGTATGTCCAGGAAATCAGTCAAGTACCATGGGGAAAGAGAGATTAAAATTCTTAAATTATTGTCAAAGCGTATGCGAGATCGTTATGTTATGAAGTATTTGGATGTCTTGCTGTCTTTCTTGAATAAAAGTGTTAAAGATTCTGGTATGGTTTACTCTCATTGCTTTTGTTGGTAAAACTTACAATTTCTGGTCTCTTCTATATGACTGTTTTACTGCTTTTACAGCTATCCGTCATGAAGCTTTGCTAGCCATTCAGGACATCATATCGTATCTTGGGATGGAGAGTACCAGCAAGATTATAAATACAGTCTCTCCTCTACTCGTTGATGCTGAACGTGACGTTAGATTATGCATTTGTGATCTTCTTGAATCTCTTGCAAAAAAAGACCCTTCACTGGATGATGTGGTACATATCATGTCTCTGTTTGTAGCTGAGTCATTTGCTTCTCTTGTTTCTGATTTTGAAATTGTAACAAACAATTGGTTCCTAACCTGCAGGCAAAGCGTGTCCGCGATATGAATGCCATCTCAGCCATGGAAGTTGATGACCTTGACTATGAAAAGATAGTTAATGCTTATGTGGAGATTGATGCAGATTTCTTTATTAAATCCTCAGAGCAGCACACGATGATCATACTCTCACAGTGTATATATAACGTATCATCAGAATCCATTATGTTAAGGGGTAGCGCACAGAAGCTCTTGTCTTCTTTCATTGATTTTTCAGCCTCAATACTTTGCCGAGAGGCTGCAGCTCACTCTGAATTTGGAAAAGAGGTCAAAAAAGCCGTTGTAAGCTGGACAGGAGATCGTATACTGTGCATTTTGAGAAATTTTATTTTGAAACACATTGGAGATGCAATAAACAGAGGGGGCATTATAATAAAGGTACAGTAACTCTTCTAAATCATAGATAAGCCCGGAAGAAAGAACATAAGAATTTCATTGGACACTAGCTGTAGGCCAGGTTTAGTAACTTACAAATTTATGATGCTGCTTATGGTTAGCGCACTGTCATGCTTCTGCTTTAGAGACGACAAGTCTTGACCTAGGATATTGACTTGTATATCTCATTGTAATATGGATATTCATGGCCCTCTTCTTTGCTCTGACGATTCTTTGAAACATATTATTCTGGCACAGGAATGGATTCTTTTGATACGCGAGATGGTGACCAAACTTCCAGATGCCGGAAATCTTTCTGCATTCAGACCTTTATGCTCTGAAGACGAGAACGTAGATTTTTTTAAAGCTATTGTTCACATTCAGGTAAGTCTTTCTATCATATATGATCCCTGAGTCTATGATTTGTATTCGAGCGGTGGTGATAATAAATGTCTCTATGATAGCCACACAGGACCAATCCAACTTCTGATTTTGTTTTGTTCTTCTTTTTCCCTCTTAACTCAATTCAATAGGTTTGTTGAGACCTTATTATAGCATAGAGGTTGAAGTGGCATATAGCTCATGGAGATGCTAAAAAACCTTACGATGATTAATTTCCTTTCAATGTCTTGCAGGCACACCGTAGAGCAAGGGCAATTTCACGTTTCACTAATGTGGTTAAAGATAGCAGTCTGCCTGAGGTGATCCCTTGGATTTCTTGTATTTTTCAATACAACTGCTGTACCGTGATAGACTTATGACCAAATGTTGGTGTTGCAGGGAGTAGTGAGAAAACTTTTGGTCTCAGTCTTTTTCAATATGTTGCTCGATGGACAAGATGGAAAAGATAATAATGTCAGAAATGCATGCACAGAAGCCCTTGCATCTATATCTGCACATATGAGTTGGACGTCGTACTATGCTCTACTGAATCGGTGTTTCCGAGAGATGAACAAGCACACCAAAAAGGGAAAAATTCTGCTGCGACTTATCTGCTTGATTTTGGATAAATTTCATTTTGCAAAAGATGGCTACCCACAGGAGGCTGAGGAAATTAGGACTTGCCTTCAGAAAATTGTGTTCCCGAGGATGCAGAAGCTGATGAATTCTGATTCTGATAATGTTAATGTGAACAGCAGTGTGGCTGCGCTGAAGGTTCTAAAGCTACTACCTGAAGATGTAATGGACTCACACCTATCCTCTATAGTTCATAAAATTGCCAGTTTTTTGAAGAACCGGTTGGAGAGCACACGTGATGACGCCAGATTGGCTCTGGTTGCTTGTTTGAAAGAACTTGGGATGGAGTACTTGCAAGTTGTAGTCAACATTTTACGTGCTATCTTAAAACGAGGATCAGAGGTGCATGTGCTGGGGTACACTCTTAATTTTATCTTATCAAAGTGCCTGTCCACTCCTACGTGTGGGAAGTTAGATCATTGTTTGGTTGATCTCCTTGCTGTGGTGGAAACCGATATCCTTGGAGAGGTTGCTGAACAGAAAGAGGTGGAAAAATTTGCATCCAAAATGAAAGAAACAAGAAAACGCAAGTCACTTGAGACTCTCAAATTGATTGCTGAAAATGTAACGTTCAGAAGCCATGGATTAAAGTTACTTTCTCCGGTCACTGCGCAGCTGGAGCGGCATCTAACTCCTAAGATCAAATCAAATCTGGAGAAGATGTTAAAACAAATTGCAGCTGGTATTGAAGGCAATCCATCTGTTGACCAAGGAGATCTTTTTCTTTTTATATATGGCCGAGTTGATGATGGTATTAATAACAGGAGTGGTCTTGGAGATCACTTGTCTTTACCATCCTCCAAAAAGAAAAAGAAATCAAGAGATCTGAAAGAGACTGCTGGGTTGATTTCTGGTCCTAAGTCATGTCCACATCTTATAACCGTGTTTGCTCTGGACTTATTGCATAACCGACTGAAAAAATTGAAACGCATGAAAAAATTGAAACGCGACAACACTGATGAAGAGCTGCTGTCGAAGTTAGATCCATTTGTCAAACTGCTTGCTGGATGCTTGAGTTCTAAGTATGAGGATATTGTATCTTCATCTCTTAGATGTTTTACTTCATTAATAAGGTTTTCACTGCCTTCCCTCATGTCTGAAGCAGATGAACTGAAAACAGCATTGTTAACCATTGCTCAGTCTGCAGTGAGTTCCAGCAGTCCTCTTGTGCAGTCATGCCTTAAGCTGCTAAAAACGCTTCTCGACAATGAAAATATAACTTTATCATCTGAGCAGCTGAAAATGTTGATTCAGTTCCCCATGTTTGTTGATCTGGAGTCTGATCCATCCTTTGTTGCTCTTTCACTCCTCAAGGCCATCGTGAAGCGGAAGCTTGTAGTTCCAGAGATATATGACATTGCAATTCAGGTTTCAGAGTTGATGGTAAAAAGTCAGTTGGAATCAATCCGCGAGAAATGTAAAGAGATACTGTTGCAATTTATGGTCCACTATACACTTTCTGAAAAACGTTTAGAGCAACATGTGAACTTCTTGCTGGAAAATCTGAGGTATGTATGTGAACTAGCTATGAATTCAATTTTTTTTTTTTTTTTTTTTCTTATAGTAAGTTACTTTTTCCTTCAGGTATGAATATCCAACTGGAAGAGCAGCAGTTCTTGACATGCTTCATGACCTAATCTTAAAATTCTCAAAACCTAATCTTGGCAAGCAGTCTGTTCTTGACCAGCAGTCACAAAAATTGTTTATTCAACTTACTGTTTGTTTGTCCAATGAGGCTGATAAAAAAGTGCTGCCCCTGGTTGGTGCTGTGATAGAAGTTCTGATAGGCCGCATGAGTAAAGATCAAGTTGATTCCAGTCTCTTGTACTGTTTGTGTTGGTATAAGAAGCAGAACTTAAGGGCTGCGGCGGCACAGGTAAATGCTGAGGGTGTATATTCGTTAAACTCGTGTCTTGACAATAGTTAGATGTGTGACAGTAGGAAGTAGGCACTTATATTTCTAAATATGAAGAATTAGGAGTAACAAGTAGTGTTACCAGAAGGGTTTGATTATGGATGTATCATGTATGGCTTATAACATCATCATAAATCCTGATTGCGTTCATATTGCTTCTAGGCACCTTCTGTAGTATGTTCGTTGCTTCTTACTGAATTTTAACTCATTCATTTGTTGGATGCTGTGCAGGTATTGGGATTTTTTATTGATGCCATGAAGAAAACATTTCGGAAGCATATCTACAATACAGTGCAGGATGCTAAAACTATTTTGGAGTCTGCAATTAGTACTTCCAGTTTACAGTTGCAAGATACTGTTGAGGAAGCCAGTCTTCCGTTCTGGAAGGAAGCATACTACTCACTGGTTATGATAGAAAAGATGCTACAGCAATTTCCTGATTTAAGATTCGGAAAAGACTTAGAGGTATGCACTCAGTTATATGATGCTAAATGTAGTTTATTGTTGTGGTAGCCTTCTGAGAAAGTGAGAAGTATTTGCCTCGTTATTGTCGCATCTTGAAGCTTTGATATATATATATATATATATATATTAGCTTATGATAGTTTTAAATTTTTTGTTGTCAAGAATATAGGACCATTGCTCTTGTTTCATATCAGTCATTTGTTTTCCCTTCTGTGATGATCTGATGTTGATTTTTTTTTTCCCTTTTCTCCTTTGAAAGAATTAACATAACTTTATTCTTATTGGACCTCATTAGTTTCTGATGTGATTTTCAGGATATTTGGAAAATGGTGTTTAAGTTCTTGTTGCACCCACACGAATGGTTGCGAAACAAATCCTGCAGGCTTCTGAATCAATATTTTGAGGCATTAGCTGGGAGAAAAAGACCAGAATCTCATAAATTAGTAGCGGATTCTCTCCTAGAGAAGCCAAGTAGTCTGTTCATGGTGGCTGTTTCTCTTTGCTTCCAGTTAAAGGAGCAACCCACCACGGGCAACGTTGATGTTGATCTCCTCACAGCAAATATTGTTTTTGCGGTCTCTAGTCTTCATTCTTTGATTGGACAATCTGATCAAGCAACACACAATAGGTTCTGGTCCAGTCTTGGCGAGGATGAGCAAGTGGTGTTCCTCAAAGCCTTTGAAGTGCTTGATTCAGGGAAAGGAAGGTCTACTTTTTTGGCTCTTACCTCAGGCAAACGTACTGAGAATGGTGATGATGATGCAAATGATGTAAGAAATGTATTGATCGGAAGTTTGCTCAAAAGAATGGGGAAGCTTGCTCTTGATATGGAGTCTGTTCAGGTTTGCGTCGTTTCCTTCTCTGATTAAACCTTAACTTTTACCGGCTTTAGTAACTAAACTCATTTTTAATATATATATATTTGATTGTGATATGTAGATGAGAGTTGTGTTCAACGTCTATAAAGCTTTTGCTTCACAAATGAATCAAGAAGAATGTCGCTTATACGCCTACAAAATTCTGCTTCCGTTGTACAAAGTCTGCGAAGGATTTACCGGAAAAATCATCACAGGTATAAAAAGTTTTTGTATGTTTTCCAACTGCATATTCGGTTATCTGTGTGACAAATGTTACAAAACATTATATGGTTATTATCAGATGAGTTGAAATTGCTAGCAGAAGAAGTACGAGACAGTATAAGGGACAAGAGTTTAGGCAACCAAATGTTTGTGGAAGTATACAGTGAAATAAGAAACAGTTTGAGAACGAAAAGAGACAAGAGAAAGCGAGAAGAGAAGATAATGGCAGTGGTAAATCCGGAGAGAAACGCCAAGAGAAAACTGAGGTTAGCTTCAAAGAATAAAGCAAACAAGAAAAGGAGAATGACGAGTATGAAATTGTCTAGATGGGCTTGCTCTTGAAGAATGACGAGTATGAAATTGTCTAGATGGGCTTGCTCTTGAAGAAACCCTTAATGAAATTTTGTTAATCTCATAGTAGAAGCAATCAGAGATAAATCACTTTTTTGAGTCTATGTTTCAATTTGAATAGTCTAGTGACGTTCCCCAATTCTTTTTTGATCTATTTTATCTAAATGACGAATGAGATTTAAAAGCGAAAGCAACTGCAAACTTGTCGTGACAAATTTGGGAAACTAGTCATCATCATGCTAATGTCCTGTCTCTTACTACCACTAAAATAAGAAGACAACGTCAAAAACCTTTTCATTTATCTTTTTGAGTTTCTGTGAACAAAAAAAAAAAAAAACTTCGTGAGTTTCAGTATCTGAGAGTTTTCTCAGAAGAATTCAGCAAAAGAAAGGTATGAAGCAATCGTCATGGGGCTGCACAATCTTCATCCAATTATCTCTCTGTCTCATCGTCTATGTGTCTCTGCATTTGGGTCACCCATTCTTCTTCTCTAGTAACGACGACGGTGACAATGCCACACCTCTAGATCTTCATTTCATCTCCGTCGCCGGAGGTTTCAGGCCTCTTTACCACCAAACTCGCCTTCTCCGATTGGTTTGTTTTCCATCTTCTTACGTTTTGGTTGGAACATGAAATTTGTTCAATTTATCTACTTATCCAATCCATTGGTTTCATGATCAAAGTTTGGTCCTTTACAGTAGCTTCCCCAGGATCAATAATTTGAGTTTTATTCTACTTATTTTGTTTCTGCTTGATCGTTGAAGATGGAGAAAGTTGCAGAAACTTACAAGGCAAAATTTGTGGTGAGCTCAAGTGAACATGGAGAAGAAGATTCACTCCTGCAAAATGTAATCTTCGAATCGATTTTGGGTTCCTTGAATTGACAAAAAGAAAGTTCTGAATCTCTTTTGTGCAGACAGTTAGTATGAGTAATGAGTGTATTGATCTTTTTGCAGGCGACTCGGCTGTCTTCTTCACTGAAACTTCCATGGTCACTTGATCCTATGGAATAGACCCTTTTAGTTTAACTTGAGTTCTGCTGATGTAACAAGAAGGCTGATCAATTTGATGCTTTTTAGGTACACTAGAAGGAAAGGATCTGGATATTTCAGAGAGCACATCAAAATGCCTTTTGGTGGATCCTTGGATGTTGTTTTCGTAGACACTGGCTCACTGCAGCAGGTAGGATCAGTTTGTTTCCGTGAATTTGATAAAAACATATATTGTTAGGCTTTTCTTCTGATTTTGTTGTTTCCTTATGTCTGATTAATTGAAAACTGAAGGATGTCCTTGGTGGAGCATTGAATGGCTCTATGATCTGTCAATTGAAAGGGTTGGCAAGGATTCTGAAAGCAGTAGATGGAGACTGGTAAGTTGGCTATTCAGCTGATAGACTCCCTTGATCTCTCTAACAACTTGTGGAAAATACCATAACAAGTTCTTTATCGTTTTTTAGTGACCCAGTTTGCTCTCTGCTCTTTAAAATCAGTCCATATGTGCTTGATATTACAGGCGTATTGTGGTTGGATCAGACCCGTTACTCGCCAGTACTCTAACTAAGGAACCAGAGAAATCTAAGAGAGTTGCAAGGACATTTCATCAAATCTTGACCAAATATGGAGTGGTAAGACATTGAATATCCCATCGCATTGCCGAGAAATTTGATGTAAAGAATCAAGTATATGATTGATCTGAGAGGAAAAACTTTGATGATACAAGAACTTATATATAAGCGAAGAAGGCTGCACCAGCGGAGGCAGCAACGAGGGCTTCACTTGCATTACGGTTCCTAATCAACCAGAGAACCAAGGTCCAACGAATGATAGTAAGAGGTAACAAGATCTCTTATGACATTATAATCATAAACTATGAAAGCTCAATCTTAATGTCTGAGAGAAATGCATTTTTATTTATGTCAGAGAAAGGGAAGATGGGTTTCTTCTTCACAGAGTTAGCTTCTCAGAATTTGTAAGTAGTTTCTTCCACTAAATTCTTTCTTGTGTTTAGATATGTTTATCAAGACCAAGAAAAACATAACAAAGGTGAAATAACGTCGTCTTTGTTTAATCATAAACAGGTTACTTATACTATCAACTCATCAGGACAAGTCATTGACACAAAATTAGTTAAGCAGAAAGGCAAAGAGACCATCTAAGGTTTCATTACTTTTTGGCTCCACACTGTTTATTTACTCCATTGTTGTTGAAGCGCACAAACATTTTGTATTCTTCAGTTAATGTCAGAAATACCCTTTGATCGGTACGAGTCTAAGTTGAATCGTCAGAGGGTAAAACTGGAAATTGGGTACTATAAACTTCCCCCAAAAAGGAGTGACCTTTAGGGTTTTGTATTGGATTTGGTCTCTCATCATTAGTTTAAGTATGAGGTTCTGCTCCCGGAGGATTTTTCTTCCGGTGGAAGCGGAGCCGATGATTTCAAATCTTTCTTGACGAACCACTTTTTAAAGTGGTGATGAATCATCCAATCATCTCCTCCGTCACCACCACCGCCATTACTACTGATCTTCCTCGATTATAGGATCTACTTTGCTTGGATCTCTATCTTCTTCTTCTTCTTTGTGGGTTAATCTCTCTTCTTCTTCTTCTTCTTCTTTGTGGGTTAAGCTCTCTTCTTCTTCTTCTTATTGGGAGACTATGATGATTCTTAAGAAGTCAATAGACCAGACATTGTGATAACACTCTTCTTTCATGGCAGGGCTATAAGGAAAAAACAACTCTTTTTTCTTTGTTAGCAGCCATGGCTGAAGAGTTAATCCTCTAATTTGTCTGAGAAAAGGCGAATCTGAGTCCTTTCCTGTGACATGCAAATTTTTTCTCAAAATCCTTTAAAAGTGTTTATAAGTTTTGTAGAATCTAAATTTTGTAGCCATGTCTGAAGAGTTAAGCTTAGATGCATCGTTTTGTAGATCCGATGTGAAAAATGGGACAAAGACAGAGCTTATAATAAATTGATGAATTTTGTCTTAAAGAGATCTTATTCAAGTGTTGTCACACTAGCTAGTGTTTCTTCTATCATAAAAATCACATGGATGGGCATATGATTACTGTCAGATGAGTGTTGCCAAGAAAAAGATTTAGATTTCAGATTCTTAACCCAAACAAGATACAATTAAAAAGGTTATAAGAAAAGAAAGGCTATCTACAATTGTGAAAGAATCCATAGCATTGTAGGTTGCTACAAAAGTACAAAGTGCAATACTGCAATGGACCCAAATTCTAGATTGAATGAAACAACAAATGAAAGAAGATAACTAGGAAAAAGTTTGTGCTGGCCAATTCAACTATAATTCATTAATTTGTGACAGCTCAACGCACTGATGTGATTGGAAATCTGTTTTGATCAAGAATCCAACTTAGTTGGCAATTATTCATTTTCAAAACTTGCCAGTTTAGGTTAGTTTCTTGTGTTTATTACCCAACTGTGTCATCTGTTTACAACTCTTGTTTCAGGCTAATCTACAGAAAAAGAAAACTGCCAATTAATTTCTAGTTTGGTAATAAACTTGCTTAGTCCATGTGGTTTTCAATGGTGCATCTAGTAGTCCAATGATCAACCTGTGTGTACACCATCTAGTGGTTTTCTAGTGGTATTCTCTCACTTGAAGCGTCCAATGATTCTTGAGAGAGAGAGAATCATGAAAAGTTATGTAAAAAAAGACGAAACGTTTTCCTCAAGTATCTCACTTTTTTCCTTCACAAGTGTTTCCCTGGTAAACCAAAAGCTGATGCAGACACAAGACCAAAGACGCATCTTCTTATATATTGTCTGTGTGTGTTCGAGTTGTTATTCTGCTTAGAGAAGAAGAGAGAGATATGGAGAGAATGCCAGCTTGTTTATGTCTTGTATTCCTCTTCTTAACTGTTGTTGCAGAAGCAAAGTATCCTCCTGGAGGTTCCTACCATCTTTTATCTTTGAGAAAAAACAGTAAGACCTCCAAGTCAAAGGCAGAGTTACCCTTTCACTTTCAGACACGTTACATCCCTCAGAATCTTGACCACTTTAGTTTCCAACCAGAGAGCTACAGAATCTTCTATCAGAAGTACCTCATCAGCAGTCATTTCTGGCGCAAAGGTGGCCCCATCTTTGTCTACACAGGCAATGAAGGTGACATTGAATGGTTTGCTTCCAACACCGGCTTCATGTTGGACATTGCTCCCAAGTTCCAGGCTCTTCTTGTCTTTATCGAAGTAAAAGCTTTTGCAAAATCGCCTAATGCATCTCTTATCTGAAAAATCTGACTTAAAAACACTAATGCTGCTCTGTTGGTCCGGTTTTTATTCATCCATGTAGCATAGATTCTATGGAGAGTCGAAGCCGCACAACTTGGCCAAGACAATGGGATACCTAAACTCACAGCAAGCGTTGGCTGATTATGCAATCTTGATAAGAAGCTTGAAGCAAAATCTATCGTCCGAAGCGTCTCCTGTCGTAGTCTTTGGTGGCTCTTATGGTGGAAGTAAGCTTACAAAATCCCAGTCAATAGTTCAATTCTTATTACTACACATCGGTTCTTATCAAACTCTCGTCTGTTGTTCTCTATTTCCTGAGACAGTGCTTGCAGCGTGGTTCAGGCTAAAGTATCCGCATATCACAATTGGTGCATTAGCTTCCTCTGCTCCAATTCTGCAGTTTGATAAGATTGTTCCGTCTTCAAGCTTCTATGACGTCGTTTCTCAGGATTTCAAGGTCTGTATATTTCTATACAAAAAGTATATTCAATAATGAGCTACTCATGCCTCTTATTATGAGCAGGACGCGAGTCTTAACTGTTTTGAAGTCATCAAGAAGAGCTGGAGAGAACTGGAGGTTTTTTCTACCATGAAAGATGGCTTACAAGAACTCAGCAAAAAGTTCATAACTTGCAAGTAGAGAATTCTGTTTTCTCTAACTCTTAACAAAGATATTTTTCGAGCTCTCTAACGTGTGTTGTTTTATTCTCCAATCCTTAAAATCACAGGGATCTTCACGCTGTCTATCTAGCCTCAAGGTGGCTAGAGACAGCCTATACTGATACAGCAATGGTTAATTACCCAACTCCAGCAAATTTCATGGCTCCACTGCCTGCTTATCCAGTGGAGGAGGTAAGACATGTAAGTGAGTATAAAGTTGTTTATTTCTTGTACTGGTTAATTCACAACGAGACATCTTCTTACAACAGATGTGCAAGATCATCGACCGGTTTCCTTTAGAAGCCAGCAATCTTGATCGTGCGTTTGCAGCTGCAAGCTTATACTACAACTATTCAGGTTCAGAGGATTGCTTCGATATTGAAAACCAAACTGATCCTCATGGACTCAATGGTTGGTATTGGCAGGTATTCATGAGTCTTTCGGTTTCCTTGTTGTTAATTATTCACAAGAATATACAAAAATTGTTATTCAGCTTACTAATGGATCAATGCGACTATCGGATGAAAAAAAAAGGCATGCACAGAGATGGTGATGCCAATAAGCTGTTCAAACCAGAGCATGTTTCAACCATTCGAAAATGATGAAAAAATATACCAAGAAGACTGTCTAAAGGAATACGGTGTCAAGCCTAGACCACACTGGATCACCACTGAATTTGGCGGACATGTTTGTTTAAATTTTGCCCCTTTTCTTTTCCAGATAACAGACGTAAAGCTCAGCTTTTTGATCAGAGTCTGTTTATTGCAGAGAATAGAGATAGTGTTGAAGAGATTTGGTAGCAACATTATATTCTCCAATGGAATGCAGGATCCATGGAGCAGAGAAGGGTATAAGACTATAAGTCACTCATGCCTCATTCTATATTCCATGTCAATATCAAATCTTTATAAATGGCGGTGGACTTGATATGACCGGAATTTTCAGGGTTCTGAAGAACATATCGAGCAGCATCATTGCGCTTGTGACCAAGAAAGGTTAAACGTTTGTGTTATTTAAGAGAGAACACACACACACTTTGTTATAGACAAGGAAACTGATTTTTTTTTGTTCAAAGCAGGAGCTCACCATACGGATCTCAGGGCTGCTACAAAAGACGACCCAGAGTGGCTGAAAGAACAGAGGAGGCAAGAAGTTGCAGAGATAGAGAAATGGATCAGTGAGTATTACAGTGACCTGAGACAAGAAGAGCAAGCTAAGTAAAAGGACCAAACTCACCACCACTAGAAACATTGTCTGTTTTTCATGCGTCTGTGATGAGATCGTACAAGACTAAAAAATAATCGATTATTTTCTCCTTACAACCAAAAGATAAAATAATCACTTAGAGAAAATACCAATCAACAAGTAGAAGATAAGAATGAAGTAAGAGAAACCCATGCATGCTAGTGCTAGCTAATATATAGAAATCCATTGGATTTGTAGCTAATATCCCACCTACATGATAGAAAATATAGAAGCTAGCTGGAAGAGTGTAAACATAACAATCGGTTAGCTAGGATGGTACTATCCCACAAACATAAAACAGTCTTTAAGTCTTAAAAACAAAACCGATAGTTATTCTTGACATAACGCAAGACCGATACAGTAAGGTGTATAATTGATTAATTTCTGATACAAATGGAAAGTAGAGTGCCATTTAGGAAACAGAAAATAAAAAAGGGTCAAATTGTAAATTATTTGAAAGAACTGTGTGAAACAAATGAAAGTATAGCGCCTTTTTGGAAAGGAAAAATTATGGAACTCGAAAGGGTAAAATCGTAAACAATTAGTGTTACAGTGATTACGTGAGAAATATGCACCACCGACATCTGAATCGGACTCATCAAAACGTGGTCGTTTCACTGTAGTTTCTCCGCGTTTGGTACATCACCACTTGTAGCTGTGTTCTAATTGGGATTCTTCGTTTCTTTCGCTGACAGTGTCTTACACACTGATCACCATTGTTGCTGCACTTCCGACTCTGATTCAGCATTTTGTTCTTCCGAAACGATGGCTCGTCGATCTGGAGATTGCATGAGATGTCTGGTGATTTTCGCGGTTGTATCAGCTTTAGTTGTGTGTGGACCTGCTCTTTATTGGAAATTCAACAAGGGTTTCGTTGGATCCACTCGTACCAACTCTCTTTGTCCTCCTTGCGTTTGTGATTGTCCTCCTCCTTTGTCTCTTCTCCAGATTGCTCCTGGTATGCCTACCTTTCTTCTTTCTGATTGGATCTAGATGATTGGATTCGTGATTACAAGTTTGTCTTGTGAAATTTAGCTCCTTTTTGAGTAATGATCATAATTTAGAGGTGCCCTTTTACTCGAATTTCGATTTGGTGAAATTTATTTGGATCTTGCTCTGAAGCATCTGATTTTGTCTGGTTTCAATATTGGATCTTTCAATCAAGCTGTCTCTTTTACGTTTGATTTCAGTAAGAAGGAATCTCGACCTGTATATTGTTTAACAAGTTGCATTTTTTTCTTTTGCAGGGCTTGCAAATCTCTCTATTACAGGTTAGATCTCGATTCTGAGCTTGACTTTGTTTAGCTGCTATGCCTGTGTTGTTTCCATTATTGGTTTTCAATCATGTTGCAATATGGTTTGATAGTTATTGAGGAGCTTTCATTTCTGTCCAGGGAAGTAATTTTTGTAAGATTAGTTTCCTCGTAATTTCATTGTTTCCATTTTCATCTTGTTTCTGGTGCTTTCTAAGTCTAGGATCTTACAAGTCATTTTGATGAAATCGATAGCCATTTTCAATCCCGATAGAAGCTTGATGGCGGAACAGGCTTGTCATTGTGTCACTGTTACTCTGATTTTTATATGTGATCAAACACAAACACTTTATCATGCCCTTTCCGCATATAGTTTTTTTTAGTATTCTCTTGTCAAGACGTTCCTTTCGTTGATGTTTGATTCCGTAAAATGAATTCTGCCTTGTGTAATGAACAGATTGTGGAAGCGACGATCCAGAGCTTAAACAAGAGATGGAGAAGCAATTTGTGGACCTTCTGACTGAAGAGCTGAAGCTGCAAGAAGCAGTTGCAGATGAGCATAGCCGTCATATGAATGTTACCCTTGCAGAAGCTAAAAGGGTTGCATCTCAGTATCAAAAGGAGGCTGAGAAGTGCAATGCCGCCACTGAGATTTGTGAATCAGCTAGAGAGAGAGCCGAAGCTTTGTTGATCAAGGAGAGGAAGATCACTTCTTTGTGGGAGAAGAGAGCTCGGCAATCAGGTTGGGAAGGTGAGTAAACTAATTGCACTTCTCAGTCTACCTTGAAGAGTTTCTCTCTGAGAAATCGAATTTTCGCAACTCTACTCAAGTAAAGGAAATTGTTTAATTGTCAAGGCAAAGTCCTATCTTCCACGTTTCTCTATATATGTAGTTTTTTTTTTGTTTTGCCCTTGGATCAGAATGTAGCTAAAGAAAGGCTTGGCCTTGTATTAACTTTTCTTCATATATAATTGTCCATTTCTCTACCATGAAGTTTCACTTGCTTCTCTTGTTAGATAAGAAGTCGTTATGTATTTTATGGTTCATGCTCATTGGCAACCCCAAACCATCACATTCTCAATAACCAAGAGCTAAAGGAAAGAGTGAGCTTAATACCTCAGCTAAACAAACCCGAGCTTTCTAAGCTCGGGTTATCTTGGGTTTGTAGAATGTTATTTCTCACTGAAGTCTGTGAGTTGGTTCGATTGCCTTGTAGCTAGATTTGGACTGTAATATGTATCATGGCTTAATCTAAAGCACAAGAGGATCAAGAGAATCACTTGGACTCTGTTTTCTTCTTTGCTTAAAAACCTAACAAAGACTGTTTCAGACGTCAAGAAACATGAGAGTTTGTGAACAGAGAGAAGAGCTGAGAAGAAACAAAAATGGGAGAAGTCAAACGCACTTAGCCTTAGGTTGACATAATTATGATCGCACCAGGTCTCACGCGGTTTCGATTTTCAATATTCCTTCATTCACAAAAACAGCTGTATTTATTTCTTTCTTTTTAGCTTCAGCCATTAAAGTAGTCGGTTTGCATTATTCTAATATTCAGAGGGACAGAATCCATAAAAGCCTTAGATCTACGGCTAAAAGAAACAGATCTCGGTTCAGCGACTCCTGCAGACCGTCCACTCCATGTGGATTGTACAAAAAGTTTCATAAAGAAAAGATAGCTTTTTAGACTTTGGTTCTAGATTCAACCAATCTCTGTTTCTATTTCTTCTGTGTTCTTCTCTGAAGCTTCCATATTGTAGGACTTATGCTCTTTTCTCCTACTTAGGAAAGTGCATTAAATTCGTATCTATCTAGGCACAGAGATTGTTGAGTAAGTTATCGTACGTTAAATGGAAAATTCCATGGACAAGAGAGGACATGGACACAATCTAGAACATGCAGACAACTTGCCAGAACCAAAGAGACAGAAGCTTCCTGCTTTGGCAAGGTAACTCATATTTTTTAAGTGTTAGTGTGTCGTAAATTCGATTGTTTTGGCTATGATTCTCAACTCTTTTTGGATTGGACCCTTGTTTTGAGTTGTTCATTAGTTACACTTTCCAAAGAGCATAGTACTGAGGAAATATCTTGCTTTTCAAATTTTCGATAGTCTTGCTTAGCCTTGCAAGGCCTCAAATATTCTCAGACGTCGTTGTATGAAAACAAAAACTGTTTTTTACAGTGTCATAGTGGAAGCTGTCAAGGTAGATAGTCTGCAGAGGCTATGCTCGTCTTTGGAACCATTATTTCGAAGAATTGTGAGTATGCTATCCTATTTCGAAGTTTAATTTCTACATAGACCCAATCTTGAGAAGCCTGTAAGAGGTGTAAACTTGGTAATGGTGTCGATATATGGACAGGTCAGTGAAGAGGTGGAACGTGCCTTATCTAGGTTGGAGAACTCGAAATCTACTTCAAGGTATTTTCTCTAGCTATATACCATATTCTTTTCTGGACTGGTTCCATGATCTTTACATCAATTTGAGTTTTCAGATCTCCAGAACCGAATAAGATTCAAGGCCTCGATGGAAGAAATCTGCAACTTCGGTTCAGAACACGAATGCCTCCTCATTTATTCACGGGTGGGAAAGTCGAGGGAGAGCTAGGCTCAGCCATTCACGTGGTTCTTATAGATGCAAACACCGGAAATGTAATCCAAACAGGAGAAGAATCAATGGCAAAGCTGAATATTGTCGTCTTAGATGGAGACTTCAATGATGAAGACGACAAAGATTGGACTAGAGAACATTTTGAGAGCTTTGAAGTGAAGGAACGCGGAGGAAAACGTCCCATCTTGACTGGTGACAGACATGTGATACTTAAAGAAGGTGTTGGAACTCTTGGAAAACTTACTTTCACTGACAATTCGAGCTGGATTAGGAGCAGAAAGTTTAGACTAGGTGTTAAGGCTGCATCGGGGTTTTACATACGTGAAGCTAAAACAGAGCCATTTGCTGTTAAAGATCACAGAGGAGAACGTGAGTATCTTAAAACTCTGGACTGACTTGATAAGCAGAGAGAGTTTCTTGGATTATCTGCCTGAATTATCTTTTGGCGATGTTTTCTTGCAGTATACAAGAAACATTATCCACCGGTTTTACATGATGAAGTCTGGAGATTGGATAAAATAGCGAAAGATGGAGCGCTACACAAGAAGCTACTAAAATCTAACATCGTGACTGTTGAAGACTTCCTACGGATACTCATGAAGGATCCGCAGAAACTAAGAAGTGTATGTGCATCTTTCATATTGTGAATATCTACTCAAGAAAATGCTTGTTTCTTGCTTATGTTCTTTCTTGGTCTGTGTTTAACAGTTACTTGGGAGTGGAATGTCAAATAGAATGTGGGATAACACGGTGGAGCACGCAAAGACCTGCGTATTAGGTGGGAAACTTTACGTCTATTACACAGATCAAACTCAAGATACAGGTGTTGTCTTTAATCATATATATGAATTCCAAGGCCTAATTGCCAATGGCCACTTCTTATCTCTCGAATCTCTTAACAATGATCAAAAGGTAAGTCATCTCTCTGTAAAGCTAGCTTCTTTTTTTATTCTTCCCTTTTAGAATCTGCAGTCTCTAAAGATCCACTTTTGAACTTTTTTGGAAATTCAACAGATTTCTGCAGACATTTTGGTGAAGACGGCTTACGAGAACTGGCATAAAGCGGTTGAGTATGACGGTAAGCTCTTGAATTGCTTACCAGTTGCTAAGAAGGAAATAAAAATTTCTCAGAACCATCAAACGCAGCAGAAGACTCTGCAATGCCAACAGACTGCGAATGGCTACTCATCAGTTCCTCAGCATCTGATAGAGTATCCTTTAGTCCAACAACCTTGCAATCAGTTACGAGACTACACATCGATGGAGAGTTCTTCGGTTTCGGGCTCATACAATGGAGGCCTTGAAGATATTTTTACAGAGGAAATTCGAGCGAGGAGTTCTGAGATGCTGGAGACCGATGACATGCAGAGATTGCTGAAGACATTTGGGATATCAGGCGGGTTTGGTCACAGGGATGAGTCCAGTTACGGTTTCAGTGATTGGTATGAAGCTCAGATAGATAAGGGTTATAGGAGAGAAGGAGGTAGAAGCGCAGGGAAAGCTGTAGTGGGATGGCTTAAGCTTAAAGCTGCATTGAGATGGGGTATCTTTATACGCAAGAAATCTGCAGAGAGGAGGCCTCAGATTGTGGAGATCGACTAAGAAAGTACTATCAAAAATTCCGAGAGCTTTTCTTTTGTATAAATAGACTTGAAGCAATAACTTGTCTCAGTTCAATCCCGGTTTAGCAATTACTATATATATACTCAAGAGTTCATCTATTATCATACATTATCTCCGCACTTACTTAAAAAGAAAAATTAAGGATTTAGATGCTGAGAAAGAATTTAACATTGCATCAACTTACTTACCATTATATTTTGGAGCAAAATCTTAAGACGTGGAAAATCGACGTGAGATGGCTAGACTAGACCATCATCTGTTTCAGTGATATCAAGAGAGCTTGTAGACGGCTGGAATCCTCCAACACTCATATCAAGAACATAGGTTTCGTTTCAAAAAGCCTCTTATTCACTTTTTTTAGAGATCTTACGAAGATAGGTTGCGATTGCATGAGCCGGATCATCATCTTCAGAGATATCAACAAGAGAGGTTGTGGTTGTAGATGGCTGGACTCCATCAGTTTCAGAAAAGCCAGCTCCTTCGTTAGGCAAACTCATTCTCGCAGCCGTGGCCCTAGTAAGTAGCCTGCTTTTCCTCCAAGGCACTAAATGACAACGGCTGGGATTAGTCAAACTTAAGGCCGACTTTAAGTCGACTTCACTAATGGGCCGTCTAATCTTAGGCCCATGTTTGGGGCGGAGCAAGTAGAGAGAAGAAACAACAAGTTCCTTCCTTCCTCTGCCTCTTACCGATTTCGTCTTCTTCAGTGTCTGTCTCTCTCTACTAAGGTTCGTCGACTTCGTAGAAGCAAAATATGTTCTTGATTCGTCTCTCCCGCCATAATCCATCCTCTTTTACACTTCTCACGCGCCGCCTTCACGACCAAACAATTTCCTCTTCACGACTCCGAGACCTTTACAATTTTCAATCACCGCCGCCTTTGTCGTCGTCAGCCTCTGAAAATTCTGACTTTAACCAGAAGAACAATAATAAGAAGAAGCCAAAGCCGCAGTACCGTCCACCTTCTTCGCTGGAAGGTGTGAAGACGGTTCACTCTGATCTTCCGTTTGATTTCCGGTTCAGTTACACAGAGAGTAGTTCAAATGTGAGGCCAATTGGCTTGAGAGAGCCAAAGTATTCACCTTTTGGTCCTGACCGGTTGGACCGGGAATGGACCGGTGTCTGTGCGCCGGCGGTTAATCCAAAGGTTGAGTCTGTGGACGGAGTGGAGGATCCGAAGCTGGAAGAGAAAAGAAGGAAAGTGAGAGAGAAGATCCAAGGGGCATCACTCACTGAAGCTGAAAGGAAATTTCTGGTGGAGCTGTGTCAGAGGAACAAAACTAAACGACAAGTCAATCTTGGTACTCGTTTCTTCACTCCTTAATCATGAGATTTTGTTAAACTGGGAAATTTGAAAGGTGTCTTTTTGTCAAGAGAAATATATTTCTGCGTACAAATGTCATTTTCTTTGTCTCTTTTGTATACTGCTATCTCTATGCTAAGTGGTTGCTTTGGGGCTATGTGTAGGGCGAGATGGTTTGACTCATAATATGCTGAATGATATCTATAATCATTGGAAACATGCTGAAGCGGTTCGGGTCAAATGTCTTGGAGTCCCAACTCTCGATATGAAGAACGTTATATTCCACCTTGAGGTATCGTCTTTTTATGAATCTGCTTTGAGTATATGATTTATGTTGTCTTGTTTGTCTTTTGATCCATGTACTTTTTTAGTCTTTAGCTATTTGGGGGATCTAAAGAATGACTCTTACAACCGTGTTGCTTGTTGTTACAGGACAAAACGTTTGGCCAGGTAGTGTCTAAACACTGTGGTACCCTTGTGTTATATAGAGGGCGAAACTACGATCCTAAGAAAAGGCCTAAGATCCCATTGATGTTGTGGAAACCTCATGAACCTGTGTACCCTAGGCTGATTAAAACAACAATTGATGGTCTAAGCATCGATGAGACCAAAGCAATGAGAAAGAAAGGGCTAGCGGTTCCTGCCCTGACAAAACTCGGTCCATACCTTTTCCATGCCTTTTTATTTCTAAATTCTGGTGGTATCAATATCCTTAATCACTTTTACCTGAAAATTTTGTTTCAGCCAAGAATGGTTATTACGGTAGTCTTGTTCCAATGGTGAGAGATGCTTTCCTCGTGAGTGAATTGGTACGGATTGATTGCTTGGGACTAGATAGAAAGGATTACAAGAAAATTGGAGCAAAGCTTAGGGTGAGATGTTTCTTCCTGTCTCTTTCACTTTTTTTGCTGTCCAACTTCATCTCCTGGTCAAGCCTTGGAGACTTCTTTACTGCTTCAGGTTTCTGTTTGAACAAACACTAACATCTAAGTTTGTGTGAAGGATTTGGTCCCTTGCATCCTGGTGACATTTGACAAGGAGCAGGTCGTGATTTGGAGAGGTAAAAACTATAAGCCACCCAAAGACGATGATGAATATTCCTCCTTCATTCATCGTGAATCTTCCATAGACTCCGATGGCGATTTAAGTTGTAGCAGAGGGGCTCAAGATTCTCCAGACGAGATAACCAGAACCTAGGATGATTTAGTACTCTTGATCCCAGATGTATAGTTATAATGTGAGAGTAATTTGTGGTAATGTTTCTGGAGAATCCAGCTTTTTGACAAATTGATATAATTAATCCAAGTGGCTTACGTAATGTACTTATTTGTCTCGCTAAGGAACACTAGATAGGTCGAAGAAAATGCTGATTACATCTTTTCTTTGCTGCCTCTCCTACAAGTAATGATGTGTTACAGAAACTCCCAAACTTGAAGCTACATTTTTTACAGGAGATTGAACATCTTGCAAATACCCAAAAGCAGGGCAACATTTTTTCTACAGTGAAATACCTCACTAGTCACTAGATGATCTCTGTTCCGTTGTCTGTGACCCTGTGTTAAGCCTTGGTTTTGATCACATTGAGGAAATGACTCTGCACATGCGATGCCAAGGAAGGAATCTACCAAACCAAATGTCTTGTAATTCTGCTACTACCTTTTCCCGAATTTCAAGCACCGATTGTGCTTAGTCTCGGTGATACTGGGCTCATTAGTTAGTTGTTTGGGTGGTGGGTTGGTTAGAGAGAGTTTCTCCATTGCGTTTACGAACTTTTTGAGGTGCTTGATGTACTCAGGGTAAGTCTCGAGGTTGCAATGCCCTCCTCCCTTCACCCATAACGGATCATACTTCTCCTTGGCCAGCTCCCACAATCGTTTCCCGTGAGAAAAATCAACAATCTCATCATTTGTGCCCTGTAGCAGCTCATCACAAATCAATCAGCACAAATCAACAGAATGAAGAACACACACAAATCCACAAGATCTAAAGCTTTTACATACATGTATGACAAGGACTTGGGAGTTGACATGGCGAATCTTGTCTATGTTCTGCAGTAAGACATTCAAAACAAAGAGATGAGACAGGACCCGAGTATATATGTACCCAACCAGAGACATGTTTTGTGTGTGTGTTTTCTTACTTTGAATATATCGAACCAGAGCGTCATTTTGACAGGATACAGGACTCTGATTCCAGAGAGAATGGCACTGTGAAGAACAACTCCTCTCAGCCTCTTCAACCGAGAAGCCATGTGCAACGTTGGACCGCTTCCTACAGACTGTCCGTACAGAATGATCTCCTCTTGCTTGATCCCATAATCGCTCCTTAAGCAATTGTACACTGCCTCTATGTCATAATATGTGTTGAATTCAGACGGCTAAACCAAAAAGAACCAGAAAACAACAAAAAAAAAGTCAAGAAAACAAAAACATCTGAATAAATCACATCAAGGTTTTATAATTTTGAATGATTTCTCTTTTGTTACCTTTCCTGTTGAAGCTCCATAGCCTGAATAGTCATAACTGTTTCAAAATGACATCAGAACATAAAAAAAAAACAAGTCAAATGTAAGAATCTAACAAAAACCTTTTAAGTTTTTTTTTTGTTCCGTTGTGTTTAATGATATACCTCATGATGTTGACGCGTAGATGAGCACGGAGCTCGATGAAGAGCTCGACCATTTGGCCAAGATCAGCAGCATTACCATGGGAATAGAGAAGCGTGAATCTCGCAAAAGGGTGTCTCCAGAACGTGGCAACAACTTTGTTACCTGACTTTGTGGTGAGCTGGTGGACTTCCACGTTCTTGTCCGCCGACACTCCGGCGAAGACCAGCTTCCCTGTCTCGTCATCCTTCGTTACGCCGTATGTTGCTGGCTCTGGCGGGAAGAATGCGAACTTGGCCGCCACATTTGACGTCACATTACCCATTTTAATCAAAATCCAACAAGGAGGATTACAAAAGAAGAGAAGGAGAAAAACACCAAACCCAAAATCTCCCTCTCTCTTTCTCTCTCTCTTTGTCTAATAAAAGAATTATTAAATTGTTTTTTTTTTGTTGTTTTTGTTGTTTTTTTTTGTTGGGTGGGTTTGTGTTAACTTGTTGAGAGGTAAGAAAATGGAGAGAAGGTGGAGGAGGAGAGAAGAAGGGTCCGAACTTGTCGGGGGAAAGAAGAAGATATGAGCTGTTTTATGAAACCAACTTCTACACCTCTCTTCTTTCTTTTTAGACTTTATGTTTTTGAAGAGGTTTTTATAGAATCATTATTAAATCTTTAGATTCTTAGGATTTAATATATATGAGTCTATGATAAGTAAGAAAGAAGCTAGTCTAGATTTTTTCAAAATATAAATGGTAATGTCACACAATGTTTGAAGAATCCTCGTGCATGGTTTGGTAAATTCTGATGGCGTAATACAAAAATTCCTTTTTGTTTTGGTCAAAATGAAATTCTGTTTTATGTAACAACTAAAAAAATTAATTAACAAAAAAAAAAAAAAAAAACAACTAAAAAAATTGGATTAAGTTTCTTAAAACTTGTGTTCATCTTTAGGTGATGTCATATTTGATTGTGCTTGTGCCTTGAAATGAGAGTTTCACATAAGAACGAAGGGCTAAGATTTGGTCAAAGACTGCAAGTGATGGCTTTTAATGGGAAGTGTTGTCAGAGAGTCAGACATTCCTCCATCTATGTCTATTTTTCTCTTGCCTCCTTATTATTTACCTAAATTATCTTTAATACCACTTGTTCTGTTTTTTTCATTTTGGTCACGTTTTCACTTTACAATTTCCTGCCCCAGTTTTTGTTTAAAGTACAATAAAACAACAAAGAGACATTGTCTTGTTTGGACAAGTATGCTTTTAATCTCTGACACGATTCTGTGTGCTTTGGACTTCGTCAGCTTCAGATTTTGACCAAAAACTATTATGATTCAGTTTAATTTATTGATTTGCCATAACAAAATGGGGCAATTACAGGTGTATAATAACTATTTGCAGAGAGTTCGTTGTAGATAACTTTTTCTACAAAGGAATCTGACTGATCTGCTTAGAGTTAGAGATCTAGTAAAGAGTAAACTAGTAAAAAAGAAGAAGCTACTACACTAATATAGTCCATATACTCATTATCTTTGCACATGCAGGGATGCTTGATATAGCATATATACGTGTATATCCTACATACAATTCTGACGTATGTGCATGACTTGGTCCAAATTGGTGTAGATCTGTTGTTTGGTGATAACTATATGTATATGTTGATGAGATCTCTAATTAGTATAAATATATTCGTATTCCATCATTTGTATTACACTCTTATGTGTTTATCATCTTTTGGAATTAGCTTCAACATTATATGTTTTTCAACTAACTGTTTTGATTTCTAATTTTATAATATTCAAAGATTAGTATTTAAACTTTGGATAAGTGAAAGATACCACTTTAGCTTTTTGCTAATCAAAACATTGTACATTTTTTTGCATGGTCAGCTTTGAAGACATTGAGAGCTTGGTCCAAAAGAGAGAAAAGTGTCTTCAGTCAACAAAGGCATGAAAGAGTTTTGTGTGGAAGTTTGAGCTCTTAAATCTTAATCATCAAATCATCCATAAAAAAGCAAAAAAGATAACCAAAGACACAAGTAAAAAACTAAAAATGGTGACGAGACTTGTAATTCCTTCACTACTTTTTGTTTTTTCATATTTAAATTTCTTTTGAACACTTTATGTAATACGATTAACATATGTAACTTACCATATTGAAGATTACTATTTCAAAAGTAAACGTAGGCCCAAAGCCCAAAGGGCTTCTTTTGTAGGTTTGTTTATTGTGTACATGACAAAGTATACTGGTGAAAGAGCCAACAGATTAGTCTCTCAATTCGTTCACCAAAAATCATTCAACAAAAAACAATTAAGATCAAGATGAGTGTCAAAAAAATAGCCTATGTTTCTCTTATGTCTATATGAACGTAAATAAAAGCTGAAGAATGGTTGTGTGATAGAGACACAGAACTCGAGTGGAGGGTTTTAATGGTGAGTACTGAGTACTACTCAGTGACGTTTCATCTCCTGGAATATGTTGGAAACTCTCGGAGACAGTCTTGGAAGGAACTTAAACAGCTGCATAAGAAGAAAAAAAAAACAGTTGGGAAATGCAGAAGAGATAATGAGCCAAGAACAAGAAACAAAGGAGAGACACATAAATCAAAAGAGGATAAAAAAGGAGAAAAGAAGATACCCAGAGCTTAACACAAGCGTCCATAATAACGGGAACTAGGCAGATAAAAATGGTAATAGTAGATTGCTCAACTTCAAGACCATAGTGTTCCATTATTATCTCTAACAAGGTCTCCCATCCAGATTCAGAATGGTACCTATAAAGAGAAGCATTAAGTTATATACCTTCATTGCACAAACGGGCTATTGACAGAGCCAACCTATCGCTAATATTAGGTTATTGGAACACTAACAACTTTGATTTAACATTTGTTATGAGCTTTATTTCTGGTGTTTGCTCTTAATGAAAGCAACGATTTAGACATTTACCCCAAGAAAATGTCGGTGATCAGGATGATGAGAAATGCCTTTCCCGTGTCTGAAATGTTGTTTATGATTTTATACCCCGTAAATTTCAACAAGGCTACCTGAAAAAAGTTCATGCCGTAACCGAAAAAAGGCAAATGTTAACAAAATGGGTTTAACAGATAGCAGCTTGAAAGGAAACTTAGAATGCCATTCTAGGTGGGCTAAATCACGGTTGGAAACGGAAACTTACTCTACCCTGATTGGCGTACAGAAGAACAAACAAGGAGATCCCAAACACCATATCAGACCATATGTTGGCAAATGCTTTCCGGTTCTCTAATCTCCACTCATCTCGCAGCTCCAAACTGTTGAAGAAACCAATGGGAGGAACACAAAAAGAAACATAGTGAGGCTATGCATGGAGATTAACTATCTGGTAAAAGATCACGATAGGTTTACAACCCTTGACATCAAAAGAAAAAAAAAATGTGGAGTTGAGTCTTACGCTTTACCCCGCATCTCCCACCATAACTCATCGTCAGAAAGAGGAGGAGATTTGCCAATCTCAACTTCGAGACGGTACCTAGCTTTTTCTCTATTAAGTTCCTTTACCATTTCTAGCTTCTGATTACGTCTCACATCAAGCGTCTGGGCAGCAAGTGGTACAGTCTTCACATATCTATAAGTAAAGGCACAGACTAAATAATCAAACTGGGGACTAACACAACGTAAATAGAGACATAATCTGGGGATATTAACAGCAAAAATGAAGAAATCACCTGTCTAAGAAGGGCATAAGTACATAATCATGGGCCAAAAAGTCTAGTGCCCATGGAATGAGAATTAATACCGCCAAAAACTTTGCCTGTAAAGAGTTACAATGTCAATGAGCTTTGATCAGTCATCCGGAAGAACAGTTACAATCAATAACACACAAACTAAGAATCATGTAAAACATCAATTAAAGAACCAGATCAATAGAGAGAGCTATGTAGCATAATGAAACTATCACATAACTCACCGATTTTGAAGAAGCATAACGAAAAACACGGTCTTCGTATAGAATATCTTCCTCTTCTGCTCCTAAAACCATATCCCTCACCATTTTAACCAATCCTCCGTCTGGAACTGTCAATTCATCGAGCTCTAATTTGTCGTCACGTCCATCACTACCAGCAGAATCTCGGCTCCAAGACTCAACTAAACTATCATCTGAATCCACAATCCAATCCTCCCATTTCTTGGTCACATCAGCAACAACACCACTATCCCCAATCTCCTCCTGACCTTCCCGTAGCTCCACAATCGCTTCTGCTCGTCTCTTCCAAGTCTCGAATTTCTCTTCATCAGACATCTCATCATCCTTTGCAAGCTCAGAAGTCTCATCAACAATGTTGTCGTCCCTCAAACCAAGCCAATTCCCATCATCATCAAAGAAAAACCTCTGCCACCAGCTTCTTCTCCTCTTATTATTATTACCCGTATGACTGTTATTCTTCTCCGCACTGGGAACAAATCTCCAAAGCCTCTTCCTTCTCTTACCCCACAACGAAATCGAGTCACAAGGCTTGTAACGAAGAAAAGACGAAGATGATTCAGGAACTGGGTTTTGACTACTGAATGATAAGCAGTGGCATAAGACCATTGACGAGCTCATCAAGGACATGAAACAAACCCAACATTGTTTGGACTTCAATCTCAAAGCAACAAAACAGATTCTTCAACGAAACCCAAACAAACCAGCATATTTTTCTATGTAAATTATACAACTTCACAAAGCCCTTAAACACGAAATTCGGTGAAGATAAGAATTAGGGTTCTTCTGCCCAGAAAGTTACCGAGAGAGAGAACCAGAAGCAGACCCCAATTGTGGATGATGATGATGGACCAGATGATAGATAAAGCCACACTCTTTTTTTTTGTTATCTTCTTCAAATTAAGCATGTAAATATCTGTTATCCATAAAGATTGCTTTTATTAAATAATTATTTTTTAGGGTCAAAATTGTTGTTTCCGTCGTTTTTGATTGGCTAAAATTGAATAACTGTATATTTTCAGAAATAAATTTAAGTAAATTCCACTTCTTCTTTAGGACCGTGTTATGGAGTTGCTGAATGGAGTAGAAACTCTAATTTCGGGGCTTCATCACCACCATCGTACTAACGCAAAGAGAAACAGAGTAGCCAGATCTGTCAAGATCTTAAACTCAGGGAATCATCAAATCCCCAGAAAGTAAAGTTTCCTTCTTTGTAACTCACTTGCTTTTTCTCTCTAATTTCTGTTTGAGGCATTTTAACGAACACCTTCCGTGCATTCACTATCAATTTTGCAGGTGCCAGTGTTTTGATCTTTACGACAAGTTGATTCCATACAAGAAAGCTTGGTCATGGCAGAAGATCATCGTCGAGGAGAAAAAGACATTGATTGATAGAAACCAAGACTGCCCCGATACAGTGATTTTATTACAACACTCTCCTGTTTACACAATGGGAACTGCTAGTGCAGAGGATTATCTCAATTTCGACATAAAGGATGCTCCTTTCGATGTTTATCGAACTGAACGTGGTGGCGAAGTCACTTACCATGGCCCTGGTCAGGTAATGATGTCAACAATACGTTGAAAGTTTCTGTGTGTTTCTTATGAGCTCTTCAAGCTGATAATAGATATGTTTGGAAATGTAGCTAGTTATGTATCCTATAATCAATCTTCGAAATCACGAGATGGATCTTCATTGGTACCTCAGGATGCTTGAAGAGATTGTCATCCGTGTGCTTTCCTCAAGTTTCTCCATTAAAGCTTCTCGTCTTGACGGTTTAACTGGAGTTTGGGTTGGTATGTCTCAAATCTCAAATGGATGATTTTGTAAGTGAGCTAATATATATTGCGAGATTGATTTATTTTTGTCTGCAAATGTATATAGGTAACCAAAAAGTGGCGGCGATAGGTATTCGTGTGTCGAAATGGATAACATATGTTTAGCTCTTAATGTCACAACAGATCTAACACCATTCAACTGGATAGTTCCATGTGGGATTAAAGACCGAAAAGTTGGAAGCATAAAGGGCTTGCTTGAAGATGGAGAACACGGAAAGGTTGATGATTTGACGTTGATTGATGTAGCTCACGAGTCTTTACTAAAGGAATTCTCTGAAGTTTTCCAGCTTCAAATCGAAAAGCAAGCAGTTCCAGATCCTAAAATTCTGAAAGCTGAGCCTTTCAAGCGATTGGAGTGCTCTAAGGAAGGTGTTATTGGTAGAACATAATCCTTGCAATCTCTATAGCATTCTTGTAAGTTTTGAACATAAAAGATCTTATCTACATAGAAGGTTTAAATGGATATTTGCGACATTGTCTGATTCTTGTGGATGATTGTGTGAGATTGGTCTATCTACTTCCCTTTTGCCCTGCAAAGATTTGTGACTTAAGGGATTTTGAAGAAGGGTTTAAGACTTTGCTAGTTTCTGAACACATCCTTCCCAATTTTAGGTCTCTTTGGTAGTGAAGAGTCGTAGTAGCTGGAAACCAAATAGTTACTCGCATAGGATTCCATCCTTCATGCCCCTTAAGAAGATGAATAAAAATCAGTTTGTATCCGAATTTTCTAATAAGCATATTTTTGTGCGTGCTGCATTTAGTCATTTGCTGTAATTGAAGGCCAAGCCAATGCGTTAAGAGAGAAAGGTAGCTATTACAGTAGTCTGATGAATTCAAATCTGGATATTTTGAATTAAATGCGTTTGCCCTGTAGAGAAATTTCCATAGTTACCTGATATTTACTTAGATGAGTAACCTGTCTTTTTTGCAGTTTCCACAGTTAACCAGTTTGCTGATGGAGATCCATGTGCTAAGTATGACGATCATCAATGATCCCTTTGCAGTCCATTTAGGTGATAGTAGAAGATTCTCCAACTGAAGTAAGATTTTGCTTTAGTGCATTGTGCAGTTAAGTATATAACTATGTAATTGAGATTTTATGATCCTAGTTAATGTTTCTGATATCAGAAGATCTGCAGAGAATTTTACTTTTCTTTCCCCTCTTTCCCTTTTCTCCAGTTTGATTCGTTCTTTCCATTTTAACGTCGTTAGGCTTGGTTCCTCGGATCACAGGAATACGACAAGTGGAGCAGTTGTTTCCAGCAAGTGATGTCGATCTAACTTTAATGCTTTCACCGCTTTTCTAGTTAACATATGGAAACAAAACATTAGAACTTTTGCTAGCTTTGGATTGATCGAATGGTATCTTCAGAAACTGCGGTGGTTCGTACGCGTGTCTCAACTTGGGAAAAAAAACGGTCATCTGACTTTTAATAAATCGTAAGTTCTTCCTCTCCTTTTTACTTTCTTTTTGCGGTGTCTCTCCTTTAAGAAACGTATGCTTGACAAATAAATTGGCTTTTACCTTAGTAGTCGATCCCCGCGGATGCAACTCTCGAGGAATCTACTACGCTGGCACAATCGCAATTTCTCCATTGCCACGTGCTGTTGATAAACATCGCGTGCCTCTCCATTTCATCTCCACCTGCTCCGTAGTTCAACACAAATGTTCTTTCTGCTTTCGATACCCTTACTTTTCAGTTTCCACAGTCCCTATACTTGTGCATAAAACTGTAAAACACTACTCTGAAAATTCTGCTTCTGTTAGGGATATAATGCCACCCTCTCCTCCTAAATCTCCTTTTATGAGCTCTTCACTCAAAGAAGCTCATGAAGATAGCAGATTTAAATGCTATAAGGGTGTCCGAAAGAGGTCGTGGGGCAAGTGGGTGTCTGAAATCAGAGTTCCAAAGACCGGAAGACGAATATGGCTAGGTTCATACGATGCTCCAGAGAAGGCAGCTCGAGCCTATGATGCTGCTTTGTTCTGTATTAGGGGTGAGAAGGGAGTTTACAATTTTCCCACTGATAAAAAGCCGCAGCTTCCAGAAGGTTCTGTCCGGCCTCTGTCCAAGCTTGACATACAGACAATAGCAACAAACTATGCTTCATCAGTTGTGCATGTACCTCCCCATGCCACCACACTCCCGGTAACAGCCCAGGTTCCCTCTGAAGTTCCTGCTTCCCCTGATGTTTCTGCTTCTACTGAGATTACAGAGATGGTAGATGAATATTATCTCCCAACTGATGCAAGTGCAGAATCAATATTCTCAGTAGAAGACTTGCAACTGGACAATTTCCTCATGATGGACATTGATTGGATAAACAATCTAGTCTGATGTGTAACGTCACTTGCAGTGACATTTAGCTTTAATATTGTTGAACTACCAGTTACCTGTCTCTTTATTTAGCATCCTTGTCTTTGAACTTGTTTTGTTTAGCATGCATTTTGTTGTTCTTGTTTTGCATGTGTATTCTCTTTCTTTCTTTTTTCCCTCTCTACTGGACTTCATGAGATGTTGAATATGAATGAAATGATTAGGAGTTGGCGTTCATACCTAAATCTGTTGATGCATTTCTTTTTTATATCGTTCCCAGATGATCTGCTTCCTTTTCTATACTTCTCCAATTACCAACCTCTACAATAATAGACTAGGACTTGAAATCAACTTGTGGATATCAAACAACAGTATGCCAGCATATACTTGTGCTAGGCTACACTGGTTGTTTTCTTATGGTCTCAAGTACATGTACTTCTATCTATCCCAGGTTCGAAATGATATTCTATAATAGCTACTCCATCATGATGGTGAGATGAAGTACGCGATTCATGAACCGAGTCCTTCACCTCAACAACATCATGAATTGGCACAATTACACAAGGCCAGTTGATAAAAAGCTCAAATACAATTTTCTTCCGGGCTTCTCTTGAAAGGTCCAAGCTCTTTATTTTCATGCCACAGCAACTGGATAACTCACAAAGCTTATGGAAAAAAAATCCTGTATATCAGTTCTGTTGGCAAAGCCTCAACCAAGCCTCTGTGAGCTGTTTGGATTCCAGTTTGGCAGTGCTTTTGGCTTTCTAAGTTGCTCAAATCCCATAATCACCAATATTGATAATGAATATCAGTAAAAAAGATATTGCATGGTAGTGTGTGCTAGTGTCCTCCTGCAAGAAAGAGATAAACAGCACTGATGAGCTCAAGGTTCTGATTAAACCACAAAAATACATTACATTACCTTCGGGCTTCAGAACTTGCAGGCTTCATTTATGGCATCTCTTTCAGATCCATATTTAGTGTAGTATCACATCAACAAAACATCAAATATTTACGTAGCAAAGCAGAACACATCATAAACTCGTGAAATGATCATACTAGCATCCTCAGATAGGTCCATGCAATAACAAAAAGCATGGATTAGAATCTGTGGCCATGTAAAATTAACAATCTTGTAAATCAAATTCAGCAAATATTTACGAACTATTCCTTACTTCAGTTGTTGGAACATTCTGCATCAGTGATGCTGCTTTTGAAATGCAAAAAGAGAACTGTCCTTAGATAGAATCTTCATATAGGACGCCACGATTTTCCTTGGTAATCTAAAATCTGTAATTCAGAGTTCAATTTTACTAAATCCGTAGCATTTGTTCAGTTGCCGTCTTTGCATAAACTTCCACACTTCTTCTGCAGCATCGCAGTTACCAGATTCTGTGTGGATCTTGCTAAGCAATACATAATTGGCTGGATTGTCAGGTTCAGATTTCATTAGCTCGTTTGCAATAATTTTACATGCAACATCAAGCCTGCCATGAGTCTCACAAGCAGATAGGAGAGAACTCCATATTCTGGCACTTGGTTTCATGGGCATATTTATTGTGACCTCAAAGGCATCGTCAATCTTTCCAAACCTGCCAAGAAGATTGATATAGCAAGCATAATGCTCCAATGTGACTGGCATGTGGTATTTCCCAGCTTGTGTGAATATGGTTTGAGCTTCTTCTACCAGGCCAGCATGGTTGCAAGCCGATAAAACTGCAAGAAATGCCATTCCATCTACTTCATGTCCAGCTTTTATCATCCCTTTAAAGATTTCTAAAGCTTCTGAACCATGTCCATGAAGACCGTATGCGTTAATCATTGAGCTCCATGACACAAGATCTTTCTCATTAAGTTCATAAAATACTTCAAGCGCTGCAGGAAGACTGCCACACTTTGCATACATATCTATGAGGGCGTTTCTCAATAAGATATGTGACATGAAGCCACATTTCAGGATTTGAGAATGGACTGTAGATGCAATTTTCAACGATGCTGAATGGGTGCAAGCTGAGACAACAGCCAACAGAGTAACCGAGTTGGGTTCACTTCCTTCTTTTCTCATTTGACTTAACAGATTCATAGCTTCAGAGCAATCTCCATTCTCTGCATAGCCGCTAATCATTGAACTCCACATTACAACATCTCTCACTTTTGATGTTTCGAAAAGTAGCCTAGAGAGACTTACACTACCACATCTGGAATACATGGTCATAAGAGCAGTTGTTAACCGATCGTCAGAATGGAACCCATGACGAAAAGAAATTCCGTGAATCTCCTTCACCAGCCTTAAGCCAGAACCCAATTCTACACATGCAGGTAAAACAGACAACAATGTGACACGATTGGGCCTCAAATTTTCTCTCTGCATTGCTCGAAACAAATCAATGCTCACTTCATAATTATGATTAGCAACACAACCGGAGATCATGGCAGTCCATGAGACCTCATTCTTCACCTCCATTTGACCAAACACATGGAAAGCCGCTGCAGGATCATCAAACTTTAAGTACATATCAAGCAACGCCGTTGATAAGAGAACTGATTCCTGCATCCTCTCATCAACAAGAACAAGAGCATGAAGCATTCTTGCTACCTTACTGCTGCTTCCCATGCGAGTGCAGAGAGCCAACAGAGATGCAACCAGCTCGGACTTCGGAACAAAACCATAAAAATACATCTCCTTAAGCAACTTCATCGCTTCATACAACAACCCATCCTGGCAATAACAATTGACGATGGAGCAATAGCTAACAGTATCTCTTTGAAGCATTTCATCGAACACCTTACGCGCAGCGTATGCTCTAGAGAATTTCGCATACATAGTGATGAGAGAATTGGAAACAACAGTATCACGATCAGCGCCTGACTTAAAACAAAGGCAATGAAGCTGTGCGCCAAGTAAGAAAGGCTCGTGTTGAAAAGAGCAAGCTTTGATGACAGAAGGAAGAATAGCTGTGAAGCCATTGGTGCCTAAAGGATGAATATTTAGCTTGTACAGTCTCAATGCTTCATCATGGAGTTGTCCCGACACCAAACCCTTGAGCTTATTGCCGAGATCCAAGTTTAAGCGGGAAGACAAAGCTCTTGACATTATAACACTTACCACATCTCTTACGACGGGGTAACAAAACAAGTAATCGTGCCCACTATGACTGCATTATCCTTTGTATATATAATTTGTGGTTGAATCAGTTAATAAGAAGCACCCATGGCCTAATGGATAAGGCGCTTGACTTCTAATCAAGCGATTGTGGGTTCGAGTCCCACTGGGTGTGTAATTAATTTTTTTTTTTTAATTTTGGGTTACAAGGCAGAGAATAATTAAATATCTAAATTCTAATTAGATTTAAAGCCCAATAATGTTGGAAGATGGTGGGCTATTAATGGGTCGAGGTTTTTGAATACAGAAGCACGTGGAGATCACGTGAGTTGACGTCAAGGTGTGGCTGTACCGGTGGATCTCGAATTCCTCCAGCCTTTCCCTTTTGGCTTCTCGAAGGAGAAGAAAACTGTCGGAGAGAGAGAGAAGAAGGCAATCATCATCGCCAGTTGTTCTGTTCTTCGAGATATTCAAATTCTCCGTCTCTAGAGAATTTCAGATCAAGAGAATCAGGCAAGTGGGCGATTCTCTGATCCCGAGTCAATTAAATTCTGGCTTCTTAAGTCTCCTCAGGTTCTGATGAATCGATTGTTTGCTTTTGCAGTTTTTCCGGTAGTTTGTGGTGGTGGTGGTTGGAAGGTGATAGGATATGGCGCAGGAGCAGGAAGGAGCGGTGGTTGAGAGCGATGTGCCGAATGATTCCGTCGCCGCTGCTGTGGCCGCATCCGCAACCGCCGATAGCGTGAAGAAGAAGCAAAAGGGATTCTTTTCGCGTTTATGGAATGGGATATTTAGGGTTAGAGGTGACGATTTTGAGAAGAGACTTCAATACATCTCAAGGGAAGAAGCTACTGTTTTATCAAGGATGAAGCGTAGATCGATTACATGGAGGAAACTCACCAGAAATCTCATCGTTTCCTCCGTATTATTCGAGGTCAGCACCATTGGATTGTGAATTTGAATGTTTTAGTTTGTGTGTGCTTATATAGATTGTGATGATGTGGTAAATATGTTACCTTTTTAGATAATTGCTGTGGGTTATGCGATCCTGACTACCAGAACGGAAGATTTGGATTGGAGAATGAGGAGTTTCCGGATCCTGCCAATGTTTATTTTACCTGCTGTTTCTGCTCTTGCTTATTCCTCAATTGTCAGCTTCTCAAAGATGTGTGAGTTTTGTGTTTCTCCTCCTTCGTTTATGTGCTCATTTCTTGATTACGATGTTTGGTATTTCATTGTTACTAATCGTTTTTCCGTGTATAATGCTTGTTTTATAGTTGACCGCAGAGATCAAAAGACCTTAGAAAAGCTTCGAGCAGAAAGGCTGGCTAAAATCAATGAGCTTAAAGAAAGGACCAATTACTACACCACACAACAACTTATTCAGGTGATAAACTAGTCTTGAGAATTAAGAGCATTTTGAATGCACACACTACAGCCATCTTGAATTCTATTAGGTTTCTGCTGTTTGATCACTTCCATTAAGTACAGATGCTTGTAGTTGCAATGGTTATCATTTATAGTGACTGTGCTCAAAGATTGCTTGTCGTACTTTGGGATGATGACTATTATGAATTGGAAGTTTGAATCTTAGCGTGACCGTTGGAATGCATAGTATTTATTACCAAATTGATAAGCATCCATGCATGGCATAGCCTTGCAATATGTTCAGTAACTCGAAAGAAAGGAATGGATGCTTTTGCTTTTCACTGTGAGGAGCTTAATTTACTGGAAGTAGAGCTGGTGCTAACATGAGCCTGTTTGATGCAGAGATATGACCCCGACCCAGCGGCAAAAGCAGCTGCTGCAACTGTTCTAGCATCCAAATTGGGTGCCGATTCAGGCTTGAAAGTATTTTTAGGAGATGAATCCCAACTAGATCCATCTTCGGGCAAGAGCAATGACATGGAGGTTAACCAATCACGTGGGTTGAGGAATCGAAGACAACCAAATACAAGACCCCACGGTTCTGGGAGCACTTCAACACATCATTCTGATGATGAGTCTCACCATTCTGGAACAAGCGAGAGATTTCCAGGCGCCACAGAGCAGAACCAGCAGATGTTGGTTGAGCATTACAGCCCTCAGGGATATGCTGCTCATGATGGCAGTTGGATCTCACGCATTGCGGCTCTTCTTGTGGGCGAAGATCCCACACAATCATTTGCACTCATTTGTGGAAACTGTCATATGCATAATGGTGAATGAATGTTTAAGCTTCATCGTTTACGTGAATCGTGTACTATATAATATATTGGTTTCTAACATAGTTTTGCAATGTGTTTTATAATTTGTGCAGGACTTGCTCGGAAAGAGGATTTTGCATACATTACATACTATTGCCCTCACTGTAATGCTCTGAACAAACCGAAGCATACAGAGGAGAATGCACTTCTTCCTGCTGTTTCCGCTTCACCGATCACAGACTCTCTGCCATTGATTGAAACCAGCGAAGTGGTTAACAGCAGCAGCTCGAGTAGTGAACGTGGAAATAGTCCCACTCCAGAAATAAAAGAGGAAGCTGTGACTACTGAGACCGGGACACCTAGCTGAGGAAGATTCAGTGAGCTAAAGAAAAAGGCTTTCTTGTGTTGCTGCTAAGGAAAGAGAGAGAGAGGGAGAGATTGTGTGTGTGTGTGTTTGTGGAAGTGAGTACTCGTTCAGGTAATCTTTTGCTAAGAATTGAATATCTGAAAGCTGCTTACAGTTTTGATTTTGGTCTGTTTCTATACAACAAGACAATAGGGTTTTGGTGGGTAAATATACGATTCTGATGTGATTCTGATGTCGTAAACTATGATTGTTATACGATTTTGGGTTTTAAAGCTTTTTCATTCTCTTTACCTTTACAGATTGTCGCTGTTTTTTTGTAATGTAATCATTCTTGAATGTGGATCACGATTTTAATACAACTAGCCTACAGTTTCCTAGTTTTAGTTTATTTTTCTTTAGAATTGAAGAAATATGGACAGTGTTTTTGGTAGCACCTAACTCTGCTTTTTCAATATTTTTGGTACTTGATATGAATATGACTATTGCAAGAAACTGCATTTGCAAGAGCAGCTTTTTAATACTTTCGTAATTAATATGCAAAAGACGTGAAAGTTTCCTAGTGTTAGTTTATTTTCTTCAAAATTGAATAAAGTTAGTTATGGGCGGTGTTTTTATACCTAACTCTGCTTTGCAAGTTTTTTTTTTTTTTTTACGATTCATGATGATATGAATATGACTTTTGCAAGAAACTGCATTTTTGCAAGAGTAGCTTTTTTAAAAAATAAATCTTTTCGTAATCAATTATCAAATATCTTTGCAAAAGAATTGATGATCTCCACTTTAAAGACTTTCAACCATATTTAAACCAGTAAAAGAGAAGCTTTCCGCCATATAATTGATCTGATCAAGAAACACAATGAGAGGTAACATTAAAATATTTAAAGATGAAGACCATTAGCCCAAGGAATCTTATCTTCCGTCTCCACTTACAAAGGCCCTCTGCTTTCTAGTAATGAAGAAACTCAGGAAGATCAAATTTGCTCTAGTAGAGAAACATGAGCTACGAAAATACAAATTGCTCTTTCTTCTTGAATCTCTTCAAGCTACTACTTTTGCTGATCTTTTATTCTGCAGATCTTGCTGCTTCAGTCTCTTGTCAAAGGGAGTGTGGAGGAATCGCTATCCCATACCCTTTCGGAATCGGAAAAGATTGCTATCTCGAGAAGTATTACGAAATCGAATGTCGTATTACAACTTCAAGAAAGCTTGTCCCTTTCCTTTCTGTAATTAGCAAAGAAGTTGTGAGTATCTCTCTTCCGAGTGGAGAAAGTCATCTTGCTTATACAATAACTGATCAAGATCGTCATGAATCATTTGGGTTAGTTCGTGTCAAGTTCCCGATTACATCCACGGGATGTTTCAGCGATGGAAAAGAGTCTGCAGGCGGATTAAAAATGAACTTCACGGATACCCCTTTCTTCATTGGCAGCACAAATAGCCTCATAGCGGTTGGTTGCAACAGCAAAGTGTCGTTGATGTATATAAAGCCGAACATGGTAGGATGCGAGTTGAGTTGCAATACAAGCAAAGACTCGCATAGCAATAGCATCCCTTTTGTGGAAACGGGGTGCTCGAGCAACGTTTTATCCTATTCTCAGGACCAAGGTTGTACAGAAGAGACACCAGAAGAAACAGGATGCAATGGTAACGGATGTTGCCAGGCAAGTCTACCTAACGAGCCTCAACAAGTTATTGGTATCAGAACAGAGAGCAATGATGGAAACTCGACAACAAAAGTAGTACCGTGTACAGTCGCCTTCTTAACTGATGAAATCTTCACTTCGCCGAATGCGATCAAAAGAGAACACTTACTTGCTAAGCGATATGCTACGGTTAGTCTAGGATGGGTAATCCAGACTAAAAATAATTCTTTCCTCAACTCCTTGGCCTGCAAAAACAGAGAATATTACCGCAATACTAGTCACTTTGTTGAACCTAAGGAAAGTGTACATGCGCCAGAATCAGTGCCGTGCCTACAACTCCAGAGGCCTATGGCAAAAAAATTAAATGTGGCCTATAAATTATTCTTAGAAAAACTAATAATGAAAATGTAATCTAAGGTTTTTGTAATGATTAAATAAAACTATATTATATATGTAGAAATTTTCTATATTGTCAAAAAAAAGTTGGTCAAAACAATAAGAAAATGTTAGCAGTGTCACGACTCGAACGGCAACACCACTTCGTGATAAAAACAAACCACTAGACTGAAAACCAAATGCAAGATGTGGCCTAAAAATTAGTTGATAACATGTGGCCTTAGGCGGTTGCCTTTTTCCCAAAGGAGTAGGCACGGCACTGGCCAGAATCACTATATCTGAGTTAAGTTATGCAAACTGTGGATGCACCAAGCCACGCCAAAACACGCGTTCATCACATGGTTGGGGATGCATAATCGTCTAACAACGGGAGATCGTATGATGAAGTGGAATCGAGGAATTGACTTCTCTTGTATGTTCTGTCAAGCAACTCTGGAAACGAGGAATCATATCTTCTTTCAATGCCCTTACTCGAATCAAATATGGGAAAAACTATCAAAGGGATTACTGAGAGATCAATACACCTCGGACTGGAACCAACTCACCTCTCTCATCTCCAACGCAAGCTTAGAACGACATTGCCTGCTACTCCTAAGGTATGCACTTCAAACAACAGTTTATTCATTATGGAGAGAAAGAAATAATCGAAGACATGGAGAAAGTCCAAGAACAGCCACCCACCTGGAGAAACTCATTGATAAGACCATCCGCAACCGGATTTTTCTTCTTCGAAACTCGGGCAATCGAAGATATGAAGATCTTCTTATCTCATGGTTTTCAACTCGATCTTAAGTGTATTTTAGAAGTTCAAGAACTTTAAATTATCTACTCTACTTTCAGCAAAGTCGCACTTGATGTAAACACGGTTTTTTTTGGTGAATAAATTTTACATTCATTCAAAAAAAAAAAAAAAAAAAAAAACTGTGGATGCACCTATGGTTACACAGGTAACCCATATATTTTAGACGGATGCAAAGGTCAGTATATGTTCCTTCTTTATTTATGTGTGCATCATTGCATGCATCTTTTGAGCTTTTACAAATCATCTCTAGATGTTATAATTATATAAGTTTTATTTTCATCATTTGATTATAATATGTCATCTTTTAAATGTAGATATTGATGAATGTAAAGTCAAATACGAATACTGTAAAGAGACAGACACTTGTGTGAATTTGGAGGGAAGCTATCGATGCGTGGGCGATAAGACTAGAGCGATAATGATAGGTAGGTCACTGATTTGTTTTCCAATTAAGTTGAGTCGCAAATTTAGAGCATTTATAAAGCAAGTGATGATCAACCTATAATATTCTTGTGTGGTTTTGCAGGGGTGGGTGCGGGTTTCGGGGTCTTAGTCCTTGTTGGTGGAGTATGGTGGTTGAGAAAGTTTTTAATAAAGAGAAGGATGACAAAGAGGAAGAAGAAGTTCTTCAAACGTAACGGGGGACTACTTTTGCAACAAGAATTAAATACCAGAGAAGGCAATGTCGAAAAGACGAGAATCTTCAACTCGAGAGAGCTAGAGAAAGCCACCGAGAACTTCAGCGAAAACAGAGTTCTTGGACAAGGGGGTCAAGGTACTGTGTATAAAGGTATGCTCGTTGATGGTAGAACTGTTGCAGTCAAGAAATCTAAAGTTATAGATGAAGACAAATTACAAGAGTTCATCAACGAGGTCGTGATTCTCTCCCAGATAAATCATAGACACGTCGTCAAACTCTTGGGATGTTGTCTTGAGACAGAAGTTCCCATTCTGGTTTACGAGTTTATCATCAACGGCAACCTCTTTCAGCAAATCCATGATGAAGAATCTGATGATTACACTATGGTATGGGGAATGCGTCTACGAATTGCTGTGGATATCGCAGGAGCTCTTTCTTATCTTCATTCTGCTGCATCTTCTCCGATTTATCATAGAGATATAAAGTCAACAAACATATTACTAGACGAAAAGTACCGAGCCAAGGTGGCTGATTTCGGAACATCAAGGTCAGTAACCATAGATCAAACTCATTGGACAACGATGATTTCAGGGACGGTTGGGTATGTGGATCCAGAGTATTACCGGTCCAGCCAATATACCGAAAAGAGTGATGTTTATAGCTTTGGAGTCATTCTAGCGGAACTTATCACTGGAGAAAAGCCTGTCATAATGGTCCAAAACACTCAAGAAATAGTAGCCTTGGCAGAGCATTTCAGACTTGCCATGAAAGAGAAGAGATTTTCTGATATCATGGATGCTAGAATAAGAGATGATTGCAGACCGGAACTAGTAATGGCAGTAGCAAAGCTGGCAATGAAGTGTTTGAGTTCTAAAGGAAAGAACCGTCCGAATATGAGAGAAGTTTTTACAGAGTTGGAGAGGATTTGTACTTCTCCGGAAGATTCACATGTGCAGAATCGGATTGACGAAGTAGAAGAAGAAGAAGAAGAAGGAGTAGAAGAAGAAGAAGTTGTGATGACAATAAACAGAGGCGATTCTTGGAGCATTGGTGTTACTGCTCCAGCCTCAGGTATTGTGGCTTCACCTCCTCCTTCAGATGTTGAACCATTGTTTCCTCGTCTCACATGGTGACACTCAATCAGAAGAAATTTGATGTATCTTCATGTAATAAATTTGTAACATTTATCTGTTTTTAGTCTTGAGTTTTGTATTAAGGAACCTGATATGTTTGTGAGATGTTTTCTAATCTGTTGGAAATATGCTTTCTATCTGGAAAGGGAGGTAGTAAATCTTTGTCTTACAGTGCAGATGTACATTGCCAAAGGTTCAGTCAATGAGCTTTGAAGTTTCTCCAGTACTGGTTTTGAGGGTCACTCCCACTCATTAAATAACATCATTCTGATGATGAGTCTCACCACCATTCTGGAACAAGCGAGAGATTTCCAGGCACAACAGAGCAAAACCAGCAGATGTTGGTTGAGCATTACAGCCCTCAGGGATATGCTGCTCATGATGGCAGTTGGATCTCACGCATTTCGTGGGCGAAGATCCCACACAATCATATGCGCTCATTTATGGAAACTTTCATATCCATAATGGTGAGTAAATCTTTAAGCACTATCCTTTACCTGAATCTTTCTACTGTATACTTGTTTCTAACATAGTTTTGCAATATGTTTTATAAATGCAGTACTTACTCGGAAAGAGGATTTTTTCATACATTACATACTATGTCCCTCACTGTAACGCTCTGAACAAACCGAAGCATTCAGAGGAGAATGCACTTGGTCTTCCTGCTGTTTCTGCTTCACCAGTCATAGACTGAAACCAGCAAAGTGGTTAATAGCAGCAGCTCGAGTAGTGAACGTGGAAATAGCCCCATTCCAGAAATAATAAAGGAAGCTGCAATTACTGAGAACGGGACACCGAGCTGAGGAAGATCCAGTGAGCTACGAAGAAGGCTTTGTCGTGTTGGTGTTACAGAGAAGAGATTTTGTGTGTGCATGTGTGTTTTTGGATGCGAGTACTCTCATTTATGCTATGAATTGCTAATATCTGAAGCTGCTTACAATTTTGATTCTGGTTTGTGTCTATACAACAAGACAATAGGGGTTTGGTGGGTAAATGTGCATGATTGTTATACGTTTTTGGGGTTTGAATTTTAATTATCTTTTACCATAACAGATTGTCTCTGTTTCTGTTAACTGTATTCACTCTTGGATCATTCCCTTTTCGATTTTAATACTACGAGCCTACAGTTTCCTAGTTTTAGTTTATCTTCTCCAATATTGAATTTATTGGATAGAGTTTCTATACCTAACTCTGCTTTTTCAATGTTTCTTCGTATTTTACTAGTTCATGATATGAATATGAATTTTACAAGAGTAGCAAATTAATCACCAAAATTGTTTGCAAACGAAGTGATGATGTACACTTTAAACACTTTCAAATATATTAACTGGTTAAAAAAAGAAGCTTTCCGCCATATGGTTGATCTCATCAAGAAACACAAAGAGAGGTAGCAATTAAAATATTCAAAGATGAATTAGCACGAGCAACTTTAGTACTTTATCCTCTTGTCTCCACTTACAAAGGAACAAAACTGGATCTGCTTTATAGTAAGGAACAAAACTCAGGAAGATCAAATTTGCTTGAGCAGAGAACCATGATCTACAAAGATACAAATTACCCTCACTTAAAGCTGCTACTTTTTCTGATCCTTTATTCTGAAGATCTCACTGTTTCAAGCTTATGTCGAAGTGAATGTGGAGGAATCTCCATCCCATACCCTTTTGGCATCGGTAAGGGCTGCTATCTCAATGAGTATTACGAAATAAAATGTCTTAATACCACTGCCTCAGGAAAGCCCGTCCCTTTTCTTTCTGTAATTAGCAAAGAAGTTGTGAGTATCTATCTTCCTAATGAAGGACAAGGTAGGCCTCAATCATTTGGGTCAGTTCGTGTCAGAAGTCCGATAACATCCGCAGGATGTTCCAGCGATGGAAAAGACTCCGCACCAATAATGAACTTGACGGGTAGTCCATTTTTCATTAGTGACATAAACAACCTTGTAGGAGTTGGTTGCAACAGCAAGGTGTCGTTGGCTCATATAACGCAAAACATGGTGGGATGTGAGTTGAACTGCAGTACGACCAACGCGTCGGATAGCAATAGCATCCCCTTTTTCGACAAAATGGGGTGCTCTTTGTCTTATACTTTCAGCCAGATTTGTAGAGGAAACAAACCGGAAGAGATGGGATGCGATGGCAGAGGATGTTGTCAAGCGAGTCTACCTACAGAGATTCAACAAGTTGTTGGTATCAGAATAGAGAGCAATGATGGAAACTCGACGTCGACGATAAGAGAAGATTGTAGATTCGCCTTCTTAACTGATGAATTCTACACTTTGTCGAATCTGACCAAACCAGAACAGTTACTTGCTATGGGATATGCTACATTAAGTCTAGGATGGATAATCCAGATGAAGAATAGTTCCTTCCTCAACTCCTTGGCCTGCAAAGATAGAAAAGACATTGAAACTTCTTACTCTGTTGACCATAGTATAAAGTGTATATGTGACCAAACCATAAGCACCATTTCTGATACTAGGTATGCCAATTGTGAATGCAACATGGGTTACAGAGGTAACCCATATGTTTTGGACGGTTGTGCAGGTCAGTATATGTTCTTTCCTTATGCCCTCATTTTTTTTGTGTACAAAATCATTTCTAGATGTTATAATTATATAAGCTTCTCTCATCATTTGATTATCATATTTTCATCTTTCAAATCTAGATATTGATGAATGTAAAGAGAGATCCAAAGAATGTAAAGAAACAGAAACTTGTGTGAATTTTCCCGGAGACTATCGTTGTGTGGGCGATAAGACTAGAGTAATAATGATAGGTAACTCACTGATTTTTCTCCAAAATCACAAATTTAAAGCTTTTAGAAAAGTGATGGTCGACCTATACTATTCTTGTGCGGCTTCGCAGGAGTGGGTTCAGGTTTTGGGGTCTTTGTCCTAATTGGTGGAGTATGGTGGTTGAGAAAGTTTCTAATAAAGAGAAGGATGGCAAAGAGGAAGAAGAAGTTCTTCAAACGTAACGGGGGACTACTATTGCAACAAGAATTAAATACCAGAGAAGGCAATGTCGAAAAGACGAGAATCTTCAGCTCGAGAGACCTAGAGAAAGCCACTGAGAACTTCAGCGAAAACAGAGTTCTTGGACATGGTGGTCAAGGTACTGTGTACAAAGGTATGCTCGTAGATGGTAGAACCGTTGCAGTCAAGAAATCCAAAGTTATAGATGAAGACAAACTACAAGAGTTCATCAACGAGGTCGTCATTCTCTCCCAGATAAATCATAGACACGTCGTCAAACTCTTGGGATGTTGTCTTGAGACAGAAGTTCCTATTCTGGTTTACGAGTTTATCATCAACGGTAACCTCTTTCAGCAAATCCATGATGAAGAATCTGATGATTACACTATGATATGGGGAATGCGTCTACGCATTGCTGTAGATATCTCAGGAGCTCTTTCATATCTTCATTCTGCTGCATCTTCTCCAATTTATCATAGAGATATAAAGTCAACAAACATATTACTAGACGAAAAGTACCGAGCCAAGGTGGCTGATTTCGGAACATCAAGGTCAGTAACCATAGATCAAACTCATTGGACAACGATTATTTCAGGTACAGTTGGGTATGTGGATCCAGAGTATTACCGGTCCAGCCAATATACTGAAAAGAGTGATGTTTATAGCTTTGGAGTGATTCTAGCCGAACTTATAACTGGAGAAAAGCCTGTCATAATGGTACAAAACACTCAAGAAATAATAGCCTTGGCAGAGCATTTTAGACTTGCCATGAAAGAGAGGAGACTTTCTGATATCATGGATGCTAGAATAAGAGAGGATTGTAAACCGGAACAAGTAATGGCAGTAGCAAATCTGGCAATGAAGTGTTTGAGCTCGAAAGGGAAGAATCGTCCGAATATGAGAGAAGTTTTTACAGAGTTGGAGAGGATTTGTACTTCTCCGGAAGATTTACAGGTGCAGAATAGGATTGACGAAGAAGAAGAAGAAGAAGAAGAAGTTGTGACGATAGTAAACAGAGACGATTCTTGGAGCATTGGTGTTACTGCTCCAGCCTTTAGTATTGTGGCTTCACCTCCTTCTTCAGATGTTGAACCATTGTTTCCTCGTCTCACATGGTGACACTCAATCAGAAACTTCAAGTAGTGGTGAATAAATTTGATGTCCATCTTCTTAAAACGTTTTGTGTAATAAATTTGTAACATTAATAAGTCTTGAGTTTTGTATTAAGGAACCTGTGTTTGAGATTATGTTTTTTTGTAAATTAATTGCGAGTGATGATGACACGTGGAAGAGCGTTAACGTTATGTGTCTTGTTCAGAGCACAACAAGCAATGGCGGATAGTGTTTTATGGGTCACTGACGTGAGAGAACTCACGTCTCTCCTGTCCACGAAGATGATGGTGCAAGATCGAAGCTATAAGTCTCTTGCAGAAGCAGCACGAATCAATTTTTAAGATCTCAGGGTTTCTTGTCCCTTTTTAGGCTCCTTAATTCTTCGTTGATAGAGATAAATGGATATTGGGATTAGCAACGGATGGATAACTCCGACAACTTCAGAAAGCTCTGGATCTAATTTCCTGGGTTTGCTTAGATCCTACCCTAACACCATCCCCAGGTCTTTTATACTTTCTTAGTTTATCTTCTTCTTCTTTTGGTTTATTGGATTTGATAGGTGAAGAGCTCTCTGTTTCAGGAAGACAATTCATATTGGTAGAAGAACAATGGTGATTTCTAGTTCAAAGAAAGCGAATCTCTCTGCTTCGAGGAAGCAGAGAATTAAGCTACAGATTAATGGAAAAAAGGAGCTGACTTTCAGTGAGTTTTTGAAACACCCATCTGGCATGGAGGCTGTAATCAACGCTAAGGCTTTGCAGAGTTATCATTTAGTTGAGGATACTGATAATACTTACAGGTTATCTCTTTAACCCTCTAGTATCAATGTTCATAGGACACTGAAAGTTTCTCTCATACTTGTCTGGCATAAAAGGTCTTTGCATATGATTTTGGATCTTCATCCCGTTGATTGTTATATGTAGCCTTTTAGTTTGCTCGGTTGCCGCATAAATTTTGATAGGAGATGTTATATCTGCAAAGCAGAAGTATCTAAAGAGAGTGTCTCTAAAGATAAACATAGATTTGTTAAATTGATATCCAATCACAAGCTTGTGAGATGTTTTCTAATCTGTTAGTATATGTAGTTATTTGGCAATGCTTTCTATCTGGAAAGAGAGATAGTAAATCTTTGTCTTACAGTGCAGATGTACATTGCCAAAAGTTCAGTTAATGAGCTTTGAAGTTTCTCCAGTACTGGTTTTAAGGGTCACTCCTACTCAGGAAGATTGTACAGTTGAGCTGCTTTCCTGCAAGGTTGAATGATGAAGACTCACTGTCCTGATTTATCGGATATTCTATTGTTTTCATTTTACCGACAAATGTTTTGAATCGCTGTCTTGCAGTTGGAGGGGTCAGAGTTGTTGGAGAGCCAAAGTGAAAGGTTTTCAGGTAACTTGCTTCTTGTGAACAAAAGCACACTTGAAAATATCACTTGGAATCTAAGGTTTCTAAAGTAACACAAGTGTTTTCCCGTTTCTGGTTCGCAGCAATTATGACAAACTGTATGACTTGGAACATGGAACATCGAGAGCCATTTTTGGAAGCTGACGTGAGATTGAATGTCACTCTAGAGGTAGTGTATTGCAGTTCAGTTTCTTTCATTCATTCGTAACTTCATTCTCGTGCAGTTGTGTATAGCCTTAAGAGTATCAAATACTGCACTGCACGGTGATGGTCTTCTCTGATCCATCATTGTGTGGATAGGTCATGTCGACTTATGACTCTCATTTCGGTTTCTGTATATGAATAAGCTTTTTTTCCGCTGTTCGTCAAAATCCCACTTGTTCATGGCAGATCTCTACGCGACCGTTCACTATGCTTCCAGTATCAGCTGTTGAGGCTCCTGGGAATCTGTAAGTGTACAATTATTGTTCGCTTTACCTTTCTCCTGCTTCTTGGCTCGAAGTGTCAAGCAAAGTTATATTTTGATACGATTATTGCAGAGTAATGCAGACACTGGTAGATACACTGGTCCCCCTTCTGCTTCAGCAATTACTTAAAGATTACGACGAATGGATTCAAAAACAGCAACGAAACTCCTTAAACACAAGTTCTTAATCTATTACCGATGTTTTGTCAAACAGAAGATGCAGGATTTGTTGTGGCGTTTGAGATAACAGCGTGTATTAGAGATAGCTCTGTATAAGTAAAACGAAATTACTGCAAAAAGTAACAATTAAAAGGTCACAAGAGATTTAATTCACTTGTAAACTTTGGCCGTTTGAGATGACATGCGTGTATTAGAGATACCTCTGTATCAAAAAGTGCAATGACATTTTCTGAAAAAGTACAAACATTAACACGGTCAAAAGAGATTTAATTCACTCGTAAACATTGGTCTTTCTTGTGACATAAAAGTACAGAACAACAAGATTACATAACTTTTTCATCATCAGTCAAAGTCTCTAATCCTAAAGGCCAACCCAATAGGAACGGCCATTGGTGTTATGCATTGGAGATGGAGTAGGTGAAGACACCGACCATTCATACCAAACCTGAACCCAAACATCAGAGGATCAATAACAGTTCTTTAGACATAGAGAGTTAGTTGTGGAATCTTTGTGGTTTCAGCTTTTTTTACCTTTGAGGAACCACAGCACCTCCAAAAGTGTACTTCTAATGGAGTACCAGGGTGAACCTCCACAGGCTTCCTCAATGGGAAAAAGATTGGGAACCTGCCAAAAGGAACACGATATTATCTCGGTTTAAGTAAGAGGTTCGATAGAAGAGAGCGAATTAACGTTTAACACCATTTATAAACATTGAGCCATTACCAGCTGAACATGTTTGGTGTTGCTGTTGTAGGCTCGATCCCAAGATGAACATCTTTATAAAGGACGGAATCAAAATAGCCAGCAAATCCTGTTATGATCGCAGTAGATTCAGTTTCAGATTACGGAAAATGGAGATGAAAAATCCCATTAACAAACAAAAAAAGACTAGAAAAAAGCAGGTACCATGCACCAAAGCTGAACCAGCGTCGCTTGGTAAATTGAACTGAAGCTTCTTATACCGTTGGTTGTTGGCTTTTGTTGAGAAATTTGGATGAGTAAATGTGAAAACCTAATCAAGACCAAACCAAAATTCCTGAGATAGAGAGATCGACGAGACTTGCATAAATGTATTCAAACAGAACACTTTAAGCTATAAGACAATGCTGGAGACGGAGAGAGACTCACAGATTGGGAAGGGGCAAGTTTTGCTACACTATGCAGCTTGACAACATAAGCAGTTTCAAAGTGTGCAAGATCTTTATGTGCCTTAACCTGCCAAATGGATGAAAAAGACTTGAGTTAATCTGAAAATTCTTCTGAGTAAGAGCACATAGCAAAAAGCAGAAGAACCTACGTCATTGTAAAGCTTCGAAGCTGTTATAGGCTGTATGAAACTTGTATACCTGAAAGAAGTAATAATGATGTTCCTCCTCCAGTTAGAGAAACAAAAGGACAGATGAGTTTCTTATGGAAATTCAACTAAGCGAAGGAGTCCACATACGAGGATGGAATAGAAATTCCGTCTGGCTTCAGAAACCTTTGGGCTCCATCGAGACACTCAGGAGAAAGTTCATTGTCTCCAAAAGAACCCAGCAGTTCGCTAACCTGCATAGAAGAGGCAAACGAGAATTAGATGAACTGTATAATGTCAGGCATGAGTATTAGCTACAAAAATCTGTACATACTGACCAATATATCAGCTTGCTCCGGAGCATTCCAAAAACGCATGTCACAGGATATTATCGTAACAATGCCTTCCCATCCTTCCATCTTAACCAAATTCTGTCAGAAAGGATAACAATGCTCTGAGGTAATTAGAAACTACACCGCAAGTCTGAAAGAAATCACAATAAAAAAATATTAGCCATGTTTAAATTGACGTGGTGCTGACAACTCACGTGGAGTGTTACAACTGCATTAGGATTCTTTTCCACGGCATAAACTTTCAACTTCCGATCAGTTTCTTCTGCTGCCTGGGAAAGGAAACAATGAACATAATAGATTAAGGAAACAAATAAATTTTAACGTCTCCTTGTGATCAGCATGGAATTCCAGGACATTACCTGTAAAGATGCCCTCACAAGGGGTCCTCTTCCTGCACCCACAACCATCAAAACCTAAAAAACTAAAACTTTAGTCCTACTAAAGTATTTCATAAGAATACCAGAAACAAAACTTATAAATGAAAATGCCACTTTGTAAGCAAAACATTGAAATGTGACATACAGTAGTCAACTCGGATGCTTTTTCATCAGGTACTCTGTCGACCAAGGCTTTCTCAACTGCTCTTTGATACTAACAACACAAAGATGGACGAAAGTTAAGCATGCTTTAAAAAACAAGCAGGCTAAATATTTATTGTTCAACATGATTCATCCATCAGTCCACTCTCCTCTGCAAACCAAAGCAGAAATAGAAGAGGGAAAATCTGGAAACCAAAGGTGTTAAAATTTAAGATGTAAGGGGAAAAATCTAGCATATGCAACATACTTGGATGTATTTAACAGAGTCTCTCTCAAACGTCTCATAGGTTTGGGCTTCGAGGTTGTCCATAAGAGGCTGTATTCATTAAAAAAAAAAAAAGTAGAGGCTTTTTACAGTAAGCATAGAGCATTTTTACAGTAAGAATGGAGCATTTTCATACTGGGTGAATTATTATGATGAACGGACAGAAATCAAAATTACTTATGAAAAGAGGCTAACCTGCAGGGGTGCCTGCAAAAAATCCCTGTAGCCCAGCTGTACAAAGAGTATAATAACTGTCAGAATTGAGTTGTATCTGCCTGCTTGCATCTAGTGATAAAAAACATAGAAGGAACTGAGACAAAAGGATCCAACAAACGACCTCGATGCGTTCCTGTTCAGGAAGTGATTCCATCTTTTGGAACAGATAAGCAACATAGTCCAAATATATCCGCAGAGGATTCTTCTCTGTACCTGACAAACAATGCCCGTAATAAAATATTTAGCTCAAAACTTGGAATCAACTATGATTATAACCAATTCCAGTAATAAATTGAGCTACGGAAAACAAGCCAGAGGATAATAGCTAATTGTCAGCGGACAAAATATTTTACAGAAAAATTACCCTCCGTGTTTGAATCAAGAGGCTTTTGAAGATTATGAACAGGCTTTCCAGAAATTACAACCTGCATTTACAAGATATATTTTGTGAGTCAAAAGAAGATTTTAATTTAGTGTTCTATATCACAAAGAGTGGGATGTTTATTACCTGGGCAGCATGATCAAAAAATCCTGCTATTAACTTTTGGTGGCGTTTTGACAAGCAAGGATAACCCCGAGCATTTGTTAAGAAAGCCTGCAAACCCAAATTAGAAGCATTTTGTGATTCACAATACTTAAAAGTGGAGTTTCTAATAATGCGGCAAAAAGTCAGGCACTTACATCAGTGCTTAATATAACTGCTCTAACAGACTCTCCCATCCAGCGCCCTAGTGAAGTTTCAGAGGGTAGCGTACTCCTAGATGAAGGAAATAGTGTTATGTTTGAAGAGTGGAAAGAAAACTTTGGGTCCACATTAACAAAAATAATCAAGAGTTTCTCTCAACTCACAGAACATCAAGAGCAACAGACAGCTTACTGTCATGCTCACAAAGAAGACGAAACGAATTCCACAGCTCCCAGGAATCATTCTGCATAGAAGAGAGTATATATTAAAGCCTACAAAAACGTGAACAAATTCGGAAATTTATTTGTATTTATAGGTTTAAAAGGCAACACAGGCAACAACAAGTGATCCCAAGGGCTCCGCACTAGAGAGTCCCTCAAAAATCTGATAAGGCACAAAAAGTACGAATAATCTTAAATTTGCATCAAATTTGATCCACCGTCTTACCAGTCCCTCTGAGGTATCATCCATTGAATCACCATCAGACTTCACCAGTGGAACCCTCAGCCATAACTTCAGCGCAGAATGACATTTAAACAAAACAAAGAAGAAGCACCTAAACGTTAGAGCTTGATTGAAGGTGATCTTGTAAAGAAAAGTCTCATCTTAAATAAAGCTAGCCCGGTGGCAAGAAACTCGGAATCCACCTGCAAGGTAGTCAGCCCTTGTAAGATCTGGTTCACACATCTGGCATAATTGGCGCACGATTTCCCTTTAGGAGTGGGAAGAAGACATGCCTGCGAGATATTAATATAACAGACATTAACAAGAGAATTTTTCCTCAAACCATAACAATCTAAAACTGCAAGAAGAAATCACTTGTCAGCAAAGAAAACAAAGAGACAACCGGGTGAGTTATATCCATAAGATTAACAAGCACCTGTAAGGAGAGATGAGTAGCCCAAGCTACTTCTTGCTTCAATGTGGTTTCTGAATCCATCCGCAAGACCTCATCTTCAGAATCCAAGTCAATCCACGAACTAATTTTTCCTAGAGAATGAAAATTTACCACTAATATCAAAATCATCATTCATAAGCAGCACAAAAGCACACGGGAGAGAAGCAAATCGAAGCATACCAACAACATGACTGCTCCATTGAGACGGTGACAAGACTAAGTCAGAACCAGAGACTGGAAGAACCTGGGTATCTACACCATTTCCTTCCACCAAGCTCGGCCTATACGAAGGGTTAACCTGCAAGAAGAGAAAGAAGTAAACTCCATTAAAGATTTAAAATTTCGAATCCAACTTGATACAGTAACAACAGAGAACGTGAGACTCGGGAGGAAGAAAGAAACAACAAACCAGAGGAGCGAGGATATAGTCAAAACCGCCGGTGGAAATGTTGAAGTTGAGAAGATGAGTAACATCGTTGGAGAAATCAGTCTCAACGCCGCAGTACCTGGACTCGGTCCGCTCCCATCCTCCTCTTTCTCCGAGCGGCATCTCTTCTCTCTTCTCTCTATCGAGCTCACAGGGAGTGAAAGAATTGAAAGATGGAAGTGAATCTTTTTTTCTCGAGCCGACGACGAAAACGAAAGGGTTTTTGACAGGGTTTAATTTTACCATGTGCAGTTTATATCGGGCTTTTATAATGGGCTTTATACCTAGGCCCATTTACCACTATACCGGCGTAAAAAGAAGTTCCTTGATTTTTGGATCAAATTGATAAACTTTTTGGTTGGTTTTGACAAAAAAGAAAAAGATTCTAATGGTTTGTGATGGTACCACCCCAATTCAAGCTAAGCTAGAAAATTTGCATATTCTTCTTAGAAAGAAAAATGTTGAAATAGTGTGATTTGAAGAGTTTTCTCGTATAAATTATGTCAGAGTAACAGATATAACCAAAAGATTATTTAATCAAGAATCTGAGTAGACACATATACAACTTATGAATCACAATGCATCAAGGTGCAGAGATGGGTTTCATAACATTTTAGCAAATTTTTTAAAACGAAGAAGTAGAAAAGCAGAAGAAACAAATGATTATTTTCCTAATCAAACAAGTAGAAAACAAACTAAAAACCCTTCTTATACCCAATACCAATAAAGCATCAAGCATCAATCTTGAGATTAACATCCCTCGAGGCAGAGTTGCTATCCATGTTTCTGTTTTCAACTTCATCGAAATGGTCTTCACGGGCGTTATCAGCGAGCATCAGAGCAACCAACCAGAAAAGGCATGAGTCCAAAGACACAAAGGCACCTCCACCAAGCAGACCGGTCTTAGCCGTGGGGCAACTGCTCTCTAAGTTTCGGTGAACATTACGGGTCAGGTGAAGTTGCTCTGTAATGGTTGGCCAGAGCAACAGAGACAAGGCCAGTCCAGATGTTATCCTACAAGACAATACCATAGGCCACAAAAAGACCCTTTTATTAGTCTTCATTATACCGGAATCCAAGAGTCTTTTTGTAATGGTTTAGAAACTGTGTTCTTGAAAAGAAGAGGAAATGCTTACAAGGCAATGTTGAAGAACACAGAGAAGCTGGTGCTTTTGAACAAGACAGAGTTAGGAACGGATTTTCCCTTGTAAGAGATGAACAAGGATTTGTATCCTGCTACAGTGCAGGCAAGGAGAAAAGCAGCAGAAAGGTATCCCAAGACAACAGTTGGATCAGATGGATATTTGCAGATAACTACTCCTTTTCCGCTAATTGGAGTCCCAGACGCAGGCTAAAGGTGAAAATACAAAGAACAGAAACAAATCACACAATCAATAACCAATGTGAAAAGCTTTTGAACATACAATCTTCTAGAGGGATCAGTGACAATGTCTTTAGCTAAGGTTTCAGTAAACAATCAAAGTTATGAATCAAACATTTGGTTTCCCAATCATTAGATACAATTATGAAGCGGTGAAAAAAGAGTAGTGTACAAGATAAAAGTTTCATACACATCTAACATCCTCCATTCACAAGATATAGCACAACAACAAATAACAACCAAAAGAATCCTAAAGAAACAGGAAATCAAAACAATTGAATTCTCTCCATCGTTAGATTAGATCACTGTTTGATACATACAATTTCAGAGTGATTGTCCTGTGATAAAAACAAATCTAATTTCCTTCATTCAGCAACATGGATTGTTTTGATAAACACAAATAAATAACAACAACCAAAATCATCATCCCAAAACAAATAGGAAATTCAAAGTTGTCACACGGAGTAATCAAAAGGAGATGACTTATTGTACCTTCTTGTTCTCCGCGATAACTCCCAAAACAAAGGACAAGACGCCCAAAGCAGAGACGACCAACGACATTTGTTTCATACTAACCGCCATATTTGTCTCTTCTTCTCCGTCTAACCTAAATAATATATCCGATCACAACAAAGATATTAAATCAGATTTGAAAATCGAATCAACGAACAGAGTCGGAAAATCGAACTGTAAAAGAAACACTCACCGAGACTACGAGATTTGTGGCTTCAGAGAGAGGAGATAGGAGATTTGTGGTTAGGTTGCTTAGTTTTGATTTGGTTTATGTAATTGATAAACTTGTAACCCACTTGCACTGATAATTCGGGGATGAGCCCTAAAAAGTCTCCGAGTGTTGTTGTTTTGGGCTCTTTCAAGATTCTGTTGACCTTTAGATTATAACCAAATATACATAAAAAGATTCCATATTTATCTTCTTCTTTTTATGTTCAAAAAATATATATATATATATATATATATATGCAAATCTACATAATTTATCAAATAGAGATTTCAACAGATTTACTTCCTTACATTGTTATTATTCTGACTATAGAGATTTACTATAATTTAACAAATATATATACAATCCGCTATAATTATTTTTCTATAAATTATGATCCAAAAATAAACTTGCTGTCAAAAAAAAAAAACTTTAGATGGATTTATCAAGATTATTACTTGAGATACTTTATATGGACATCTACAGTTAGTAAATAAAATTATATGCGTGTGAACTATATTTATTTGTTAACATATTTTGCATTTTACACTAAAGCAAAAAAAATACACAAAAACAAAACAAACATATTTTCCTTTTATTAAAATGTACTATTATTTGATTTGAACGATACCAGGGATCCCATCAAGATGCTAGATCCGTTATCCGGTCGGTGAAAGATCGTGAAACACACACACAAAAGTAACAATATACAGACCAAAACTGGCCACGCTCTCTCTTCTGCCCCTCGAGCTTTACTTGTCCTTATCATGCCTTTTTCATCTGAATTATCTCATTTTAATGATGCTTCTCTAAGTTTAATATTCATTAACACAAATAAATCAAATCAAACCAACCGATCACTTTCTCTTTTCACTCTAATCATCCCAAGTATGATTCTAAAATGGGCTTTTGTTGTCTCTTAGAAAAGATGACAGCTCTTCTACTTTCTTCTTATTAGATTGTAGTGTAAGTTTAAACCTAGCTACGACTACGAGTGGATAAAATGATTTTGGTTTGACATATTTTGTTAAATCGAATACGATAAATGGACTCGTCCATCCGATATTTCTTATCTTTTGCTTCTTTTTTTTCTCGTATTCTAGATCACGTTTTGGCTTATTAAATTCATTATCGATTGTTGAATTTTATTTGAGTAGGATTTTGTTATTTTACACGTAAGAATTGAAAACATTACTTGATCAAAGAAATAAAAGATTTTATGAGTGGTGACTGATAATGTTGTTGAGAAAGAAGAAAGTCATTGCAGAATCAGTGAATAACATGTCCACCATTGGACAATCTTGGGTAAAGACATTGCAGAGTTCTATTCAAAAACGTGGAAAAGTATTCATTACCTTCGTGAGATGGAAATCTTAACAAAAACAAAGCTTTTAAAATTGAGTGGATGTCCAAGTCATTTTTAGATTTGTTGTTTAGTGCTTCAATATTTCACAATATGCTAACAACTCTAAAGAGATTTTAAACATAATCATATCATAGATATAACTTGTGAATTGTACGATACATGTCAAATTGTCAATCATTCAACTCTCAAAAATTCAAATATACAAATGGGCCGAGAATGGGCTCAACAATAAATGATACAGTAAGGGAGTGAAACGAGAGCGGCTTGAAGGAGAATAAATGTTTCTTCACCAACCGGACCTGCCGACCTCTTTCATTCTCTGTTTGACTCACTATTCCTTTCACACAAAAAGCCATTTAAGTTTATTTCATATTTCATTCAGCTTTAATTCTGAGAGCATCTGGTATCACTGCTCCACAATCTTTCAAAGATTCCTCCTTTTTTTTGTTTTCTCTTTTTATTTCGCATACACGTCTGCTTGACCTCACCCACATGCCCCTGCCTCACATCAAACCATCTTTTATTATTTCGTAATAGCTAAATCTAACACAGACAAATACTAACAATTTTTAGTAAGTACTATCCAAAATTAGTACTCTCTCTTCTCGTCTCATGTATCATACTCGCTGATTATAAGAAGTAAGAACTGTAACAAACTATAACAAAGAATCAAAGATGGTAAACTCAAATGTATATCTTTTTAAAACATGTATAAGATATGATTGATTAACTTTTTTAAAAATATATATTTGACGTTTTTTTTCTTTTTAAATTATTATGATAGCCGTATCGTATAATTAATTAGTAGATTTGAGTGGTATTGTGAAGAGCTACAGCTACGAAGTAGACCAACACCTAACGTAAATTAAAAAAACATTAATATTTCTCTTTTAGTCTTTTTTTTTTTTGTTAAACGTTTGCATAATATTCTGCTAATTTAATTTTGATTGGGGGTACCAATCAAAAAGCATACACCGCCTTTCAGACATTGGGACAGACAATAAAAAAGCCATTTTCGTTTATGTTCCATGTCTGAAAAAAAGGAAAAATAAAAAACATTCTCAAGTCTCGTGTATTTCAGATTCTCCATCTTAATTCTTGAAACCTCTTCCTCTTCTTCTTCAAAATCCACCTAGGAGAAGAGAACTTATTCGTCCCAAAAAGCAATAATATACTATAGTACCCTATTGATATTTTCGATACTCGGTTTATTGAAGTAAGCCAAAACTCAGCTCTGTTCTACTGTTATTCTTCCTCAAACCCAAGATTCCCACTTACATCTGAGCTCGTTTTAACCACAAAGTTCCTTTTTTTTTGTTGCTGTGTTTCTTTTTGGGTTTTGTTTTTCGTTATTGGTTTTTGCCTTTTTGGGTATAGGGGTGTTTACGATTTATCTCTCGGTTCCCATGTTGTCCAAAGGTCTTTTTGCTGTCTTTTTCGTAATCACTTTGTTGTACGCAAGTTTGTTAATTGAAGTTGAAGGGATTGGTGTGAACTGGGGCTCTCAGGCGAGGCATCCCCTGCCTCCGGCCACGGTGGTGAGACTTCTCCGGGATAACGGTATCCAAAAGGTGAAACTTTTCGAGGCCGACTCTGCGATTCTCAAAGCTTTAAGTCGGTCAGGGATTCAGGTTATGGTCGGAATCCCTAACGACTTACTTGCTCCTATAGCCGGTAGCGTTGCAGCCGCAGAGAGATGGGTCTCTCAGAATGTCTCTGCTCATGTCTCCTCTAATGGCGTCGATATCAGGTTTGTACTTATATTTTATTGAAACATCATGTTCTCTTTGTTTGTTTTGATCAAGTGCTTTGGAAGATATGATTGTAGAACCTAAAGTTTCGGTCTTTAGATTTTGATTACAGTTGAAGATAATTTTGATCCAAAGCAAAGAGATTGAAGTTAGTTGATTTGTGTTTAAATATAGGTATGTGGCAGTTGGGAATGAGCCTTTCCTAAAAGCATTCAACGGAACATTTGAGAGTATAACTCTTCCTGCTCTTCAGAATATACAATCTGCTATCATCAAAGCTGGTTTAGCGACTCAGGTGAAAGTCACAGTGCCGCTTAACGCTGATGTGTACCAAAGTGCGTCTAATCTCCCTTCGGATGGAGATTTCAGGCCTGAAATCCGCGATCTCATGTTAAACATTGTTAAGTTTCTAAGTGATAACCAAGCACCATTCACTATCAACATTTACCCTTTCATCAGTCTCTACAACGATCCGAATTTCCCTGTGGAGTTTGCTTTCTTTGATGGAACAGGTACTCCTATTAACGACAATGGAAGAATCTACGACAATGTTCTTGATGCAAACTACGATACACTCGTTTGGTCTTTGCAGAAGAATGGGTTTGGGAATTTGACTATTATTGTTGGGGAAGTTGGGTGGCCAACAGATGGAGATAAGAACGCAAACATGATGTATGCGAGGCGGTACAACCAAGGGTTTATGAACCGTCAAAAGGCTAATAAAGGAACACCTATGAGACCTGGAGCAATGGATGCTTACTTGTTTGGTCTTATCGATGAAGATGCCAAAAGCATTCAGCCTGGAAACTTTGAAAGACACTGGGGGATTTTTTACATTGATGGACAGCCTAAGTATCAGCTCAGTCTTGGCAACGGTAACGGGCTGATCCCTGCAAAGGATGTGCATTATTTGGCTAAGAAATGGTGTATTCTTGCGCCAAATGCTAATCTTCAGGATCCTCAGTTGGGACCAAGTGTGAGCTACGCTTGTGATCATGCTGATTGCACCAGTCTTGGGTATGGCTCCTCTTGTGGTAACCTGAATCTAGCACAGAATGTTTCATATGCGTTCAATAGCTATTACCAGGTAAGTAATCAGCTCGACAGTGCGTGTAAGTTCCCGGGTCTCTCTATAGTCAGTACTAGGGATCCTTCTGTTGGGAGTTGCAAATTCAAGATAATGATCAAGTCAGAAGATGCTAGTGAAGCAAGTGCCATGATGCCTCTTACACGATCAACGGCAATGCTGCTACTTTTCTCCATCTGTCTGTATATTGTTCTGTGAATACTGAAGAAAATTTGATGGGTTTGATTATTTCTTTTTTCCTTTTTCTTTTGCAAAACTTTGGTGTTTATGGAGAAACAGAAAGATACAGTGAGATTTATGTATTACTTGTTTGATCTCTTATTTCACGAGAGCAGTTTGGTGTTCACTGTCTCTCTTTTGCCTCTCTTATTAGTAATCAGAGCTCATAATGACCAAAATTCTAATCATTCACTATGCAAATTAGCTGCTAAAGCCAAACCTTTTATTCGGATATTTTCAAATAAAGCAACCTTTTAGCTAAGCAGCTTTGCTGCAAAAAGAGGAATCCATAAGGCTTCCCTGCTGTGAATCTGTCCACCATTAACTGTCTCAAAGCTTGAGAAACGATTCTGCTTTCTTATTGAATGAGAAACGAGTTACAGACGCTGAACCAAGAGAAATACCAAACCAAATAACCAATAGAATTGTTTGTAGAGAACCTCAAACTCTCTCTCTATAACAAAAAGTCCCCAAACCAACCAAAATACCAAGACGCTAGACCAGTTCCCTACTCTTTCTATTTACACTATGTTTAGTTAGTGTATGTATGGAAAGGAAATTCCAATGTATAGGATACAACATGATTCATCAGTTGGTTGATTATCTTGGGTTAGCTTGCAATCTTCAAGTCAGTGAGATAAATGAAGGAGACAATTGGGGCGGATCTTCAGTGCCCTGAATCTGTCCATTTAGCAATCCGTAAAGACTTTGGAGAGTTCTATGTAATGTGGAATAGTGTTCACTTCCTTCCTTGGTTGTTTAAGAGATTAAGGTTCAGTCTGGTAGACAAAAAAAGGAAGCAAAGGGGCATGTGAGCTACTTATCAGTACTTTAGAACGGCGGAGGAAACATCAGAAGTTACCTGATCCGGTTGTCACAGTCCCAGTTCTTTTAAAAGACTCAGTTTGATGCTCCTGGAGATATGCTCTTGATCTCATATCGGCCTGCATATAGTAGAGTGTATACTTAACGACTTCTACTTTCCACTTTTTACACACCTACAGAATAAATGCATCACTTACCTGTCTTATAGGTTCCGGAACACGGTACTTGCAGGTCATCTTGACAATTTTAACGGCAGAGTCAAGTGATATGCGATGGCCAACTGAAACATATATGGGCTTCAGAGAACTCAGAGTTGGCCTAAATCCCTGTCGAAGGTAATATGTAAAAACTTGACCATTAAATTCACTTTCTTACAAAAGATTATCAAAACCAAAACTATGGAGAAGTTTCGTTGCTAAACTGATTAATCACTACTAATATAAAGCCGTATGACCAAATAGACACAACAACGAACAGTAGATGATCAGTCAAAGTAACTTACTACTCCCCATGTAAATCCAGAGTTTCCTACCAAAGTGATAACTTGCTCATGCTCGTTTTCTTTGAGCTGAAGTGACCGTCTAACCTCAGATTGATTTAGACCATCCACATGATGCAGCTAAAAATGTTACAAAATCATACATTCCACATTAACGATCAGATGGAAATGTAGGCAAAACAAAAAACATCATAAATTTCGGAGCTTTCGATTCTGAAGACCGTACATTCTTTCCAACCCCAATGGTAGGAAGGTGAGCAAGAACACCTAAATGACAGGCCAAGCCAAACCCTATAGAACACAATTACAGCTAACACCATCAATTACATAGCTTGAAATGCAACTAAAAAAACTAAGGTAAACGAAGAAAGTTTGTGTGTTTATACCTCGTGGATGAAGTATTCCATTTCCATCAACCATCAGTACCTTTGTAAGAGCAAAGCAAGAGACTTTTAGAAAAAGACAACGCAAAAGCAATGGTGTAAGAGTAGCCAATTGCAAACTAAAGCAATTTATAGATAAAACTGAAACCTGAGGATAGAAAGGATGTTTATCATCTCTCATCTTTTGCAGAATCTGCAAGAGAACCGGAGCCTGAAACATAAAAAAAAATTAAATTTTGGGATCTGAGATACTTTAGTGCAGCAAATGAAATTAGCAGAGCATTGCTCGGGGACACGAAACCTCACGAAAGGCAAGAAATCCAGGAACATAAGGAACATGAAGACGGAGGAGAGAGAAGTCATGGTGGACTACACGGAGAGAAGGTAGCTCAAGAACGATGAGACAAGCGCATGCGAGGGAAGAATCTTCTTTGCAAAAGCTCATGTCTACACCTCCAACGTACTTAAGCATCTCCGATCCCTGAGAAAGTTCCATTGATGAAGATAACTTCCATGAGAAGTCATCGTACGCAATCAGTTTCTTCTTAAGCTGATCCTGCTCTCTGAAAGCAATCAAACAAATCCTCAATCGATTTGATTATGCGGAATCGAATTGAAATCAAATGGGAACATACTCTGTCCACTTCTCGAGCTGATCCCCAGACGAAGAAGACTCGCTTGAAGCTCCTTCACTATCCATTTCCAGAAAAAGTTCAGTCGCCGGAGACGAAGATTCTAATCGGAACAATGAAACGGCGTCGTAATAATAACAGTAAAAATATGGGCCTAATATAGGCCCATTATTTTAAAAAAACAATGGGTTAGGGTTTGTTTAGTGAAAAAAACGGGTCGGGTCATATTTTAGTATGAGTCGGTTCAGCTTTGTCGTCTCCATCTACCACCTCCTTGTTCTGCTGCGTTTCTTAGTCTCTACAACTATAAGCTCTTTTTCGTTTTTCCTTTCAATAATTTCTTTTTCTTTTTCCGCGATCCCAACGTCTGAATTGGTCGTCGTTTCTGGGTTTTTCTTTGAAAAGAGAGGTATCTATGGACGGGCAAGAGCATGCCGAGCTCCCTAATCAGATGGTTGAGGATGAACAATCGGTTGTTGCGGCGGAGGCGATTACAGAGTTGGCGAATTCAAACGACGAAGCTAATCCTGAAGAAGGAGGACAACAGGAAGGAGAAGAACAGAGTGTGGAGGACGAGCTAATAGCGAAGGCGCAGAAGCTTATGGATGATATTACTTCCGTTGCTAATAACCCTAATCCTAATTTCCTTCACGCTCTTAGTCATCTTCTCGAATCTCAGGAGTCTCTGTATGTTCCTTTCTAGCTCATCAATCAGTCTCTCTTCTTGATTTTTTTGTAGTTTACTTTAGCTTGACGCTTACTTGTATTCGCAGGTTCTTAGAGGAGAATGGCCATTTCTCCAATGCTCGCGGTAGTCATAACAGTGGCAAGCTGTGTACTCTCATCCGAGTAAGTTTTTTTAAAGGTTGTTCTTTTTCTTTCTTTTTTTGGGTGGGTTCGTTCTTCTTATTTAATTACTTGATTTTGGCAGGAAAATGATGAGTTTTTTGAATTGATATCGTCAACTTTTCTATCTGAGAATTCTTACTCAACCGCGGTAAAGGCAGCCTCTGCAAGGTTGCTAATGAACTGTTCGCTTACTTGGATGGTAAAAATTTACGACTTTCTTTCCTTTACGTTTACCTCGTTGGTTGGTTTTTGACGCAATTCTGTTTTTCAGTATCCTCATGTTTTCGACGATGCTGTAATGGAAAACTTTAAAAATTGGGTTATGGAAGAAGCAGTCAAGTTTCCTGGTGAAGACTCTGGCAGGAAGGAAGCCTCAGATTCTGAAATGTTAAAGACTTATTCTACAGGACTTCTTGCTCTCTCTCTCGCGAGGTATTGATTATACATTCTCAACTTGTTGTCTCTTCTTTCCATTTTCGCAATCTTTTGGGGCGCCCACAGCTGAAATAAAAATATTTTCTTTCTGTCTGACTCATGTAAGTCGTGGGCAAATAGTTGAAGACGTTTTGACATCAGGACTATCTGCTAAGCTTATGCATTATCTTCGAGTACGAGTTATTGGAGAGCCAACCACAAGCCGTAGAGATGCCCTTCACACAACTGAGACTAAGCATGTGTCCTTAAAAACAAAAGAAGAAGGTCGAAGTAGGGTGCGTAAGGTTGTGGATACAGTTGAAGGTGACCATGTTTTTGAGACGGACTCTGGCAGAGAGATGGGACAAACTGATGTACAGTCTGATGGTGAATTCGAAATCGATGGCAGAGAAATATTTAATGTTTCAGGTGTTGTTGATTGTAAAATTAAACCTGGAGATGACAATAGTGGAAGAGATGACCCTTCAAGACACAGACTGAACCGATCAAAATCGAGGGGGAGAGGAAGGGTTAACGAAGGTGCAACTGATACAGAAGTTCTCTTGGCATCTCCTAGATCAGGTCGTCTAGTTGTCAGAGATAAGGATCTATCAAAATTTACAGATGGCAGAAATGCAGAAGATGTGACCATATGTCTGGGGAAAATGAAGTCTGGTATTATGGAGATAAAAAGAGAGGATGACGATGAATGCTTTCAAGGTTGCATAATAGGAACGAAAAACATAATTGATCTAGTAAAGAGAGCCGTTGGAGCTGCAGAAACGGAAGCTAGAGCTGCCCATGCTCCTGATGACGCAGCTAAAGCAGCTGGCGATGCTGCAGCAGAGCTTGTTAAAACTGCTGCTTTGGAGGTATGTTTTTCTTTTTTGATTAGCTGTTATGTTTTTCTTAATGAAACTCTGGTATAGGGTGACCTGATATTTATATTGATAGTCTTTCTTTTAAATTATCCAGGAATTCAAGTCTTCTGGCAGTGAAGAAGCTGCTGTGTCGGCTGCTACTCGAGCAGCTATTACAGTCATAGATGCTGCAGAGGTTTCAAGGTTAGTCATGCTATGATGTCGTGGATATTATCATTGCTGTTTATCAATTATTTATCCCTGAATTGTTTAGGGCTTTAACTCTGCTATTTGGTTGGTTGCAGAAATCCTACTTGTGTCACATCTGATCCGACAACAGATGTTAGTGAAGTTTCACTTCCAGATATCGAGTCTTTGGCTCAGTTACAAGAAAAATATTGCATCCAGTGCCTTGAGATACTGGGAGAATATGTCGAGGTTCTCGGGCCTGTACTCCATGAAAAAGGTGTTGATGTATGCATTATGCTGCTGGAACGTACATCCCAGTTTGATGATAGTTCTACAGTGTCTCCTTTGTTACCTGATGTCATGAAGTTAATTTGCGCTTTGGCTGCGCACCGGAAGTTTGCTGCGATGTTTGTTGACCGGGGTGGCATACAAAAATTACTTGCTGTTCCAAGGGTTTCTGAGACGTTTTATGGTCTCTCATCTTGCTTATACACCATTGGCTCTCTTCAGGTAATAATAACAGCAAATTTGTACGACTTAAATGCAATTTTTGTTCACCGTCATCTAACAGAAGTACGACGATCGTTGAATTAGTACAAATCCTGCTTCTTCTTACCTTCAATTTTTTTCTCAGGGTATAATGGAGCGTGTCTGTGCACTTCCATCGGATCTCATACATCAAGTTGTTAAATTAGCTATCGAACTTCTCGACTGTTCCCAGGATCAAGCCAGAAAAAATTCAGCTTTATTCTTTGCTGCAGCGTTTGTCTTCAGAGCCATTTTAGATGCATTTGATGCTCATGATAGTTTGCAGAAACTCCTTGCAATTCTTAAAGATGCAGCCTCAGTTAGAACTGGTGCTAATTCTGACCGATCAGCTCCTGAAGTCATGACGTCCTCAGAGAAACAGATGGCTTTTCACACGTGTTTTGCTTTGCGCCAGTATTTTAGAGCTCATCTTCTTTTGCTTGTTGATTCAATCCGTCCTAGCAGAAGTAGCCGAGGTGGTGTGCGAAATGTTCCTAATATAAGGGCAGCCTATAAGCCCCTTGACATCAGCAATGAAGCTGTTGATGCCATCTTCCATCAGTTACAGAAGGACAGGAAGTTGGGTCCGACCTTTGTGAGAACTCAGTGGCCTGCTGTTAATAACTTTTTGGCCTCCTCTGGACATGTTACCATGTTGGAACTTTGTCAGGTAATGTAGCATTTTACTCTCCACATGTATATTGTTTGTCTATCATGTATTAACATTATGGTCACATGCGCAGACTCCACCAGTAGACCGTTATCTGCATGATCTACTTCAGTATGCTTTTGGGGTTCTTCACATAGTTACATCAATACCTGATGGCCGCAAAGCAATTGCGCATGCCACACTCAGCAACAATCGTGCTGGCATTGCTGTCATTCTGGATGCAGCAAATATTTCCAACAGCATAGTAGACCCTGAGGTCAGTAGTCCGCTTCTATCCATTATTCACATGGGTTTTGTCTTTCTTCTTTTACTGTTTCTCATTGATACTTGCCTCCTTCATGTTTTTTTTTGTTATTGAAGATCATACAGCCTGCACTAAATGTCCTAATCAATCTGGTGTGCCCACCACCATCATTAAGCAATAAGCCGCCCCTTGCACAAAATCATCAACCTGTTCCCGGCCAAGCCACTACCCGTCCCTCTACTGATGTTGCTGTAGGTACTCAGTCCACTGGTAATGCTCCGCAAACTCCTGTTGCACCAGCATCTTCAGGTTTGGTTGGGGATCGGAGAATTTTCTTAGGAGCAGGAACTGGTTCTGCTGGCCTTGCTGCTAAGTTGGAGCAGGTTTATCGTCAAGCCCGTGAAGCTGTTCGTGGGAATGATGGTATAAAAATTCTATTAAAACTTCTTCAGCCCAGAATATATGTGAATCCCCCTGCTACCCCAGATTGTCTACGAGCGCTGGCTTGCAGGGTACTTCTTGGTCTGGCTAGAGATGATACAATTGCACAAATACTGACTAAACTTGAGGTAGAATAGCAATTTTCTTTTCCCGGTTATCTTCATCTTTTATATCTGAGATGCATCTTATGAAGTTGAGCAGGCATCATTGGTGATAATAGATACTGATTTTCCAAGCATGGTTTCTAGGTTGGTAAGAGTTTATCAGAACTAATTCGGGATTCAGGTGGTCAGTCAAGTGGCACAGATCAGGGCAGATGGCAGGCTGAACTTGCTCAGGTGGCGCTTGAGCTAATAGGGGTAATCATCTGAATTGATTTATTTTTCTTGTTTAATGTGTCTCTATGGGATTCTTTTTGTATGCTTCATAAGTAATTAGTGTTTTTTTTTCATTCTTTGTTTCTCTGTTGAAGTTTTGCAGACATTTTAATTGTGTTTTATGCATGTTTGTAGATTGTGACAAATTCAGGGCATGCGACTACACTAACAGCCAGTGATGCTGCTACTCCAACACTGAGGCGCATTGAAAGAGCTGCCATTGCAGCAGCAACGCCTATAACTTATGATTCTAAGGAGCTTTTGCTGCTTATCCATGAGCACCTCCAGGCATCAGGTCTTGGTGAAACTGCTTCAGCACTGTTAAAAGAGGCTCAATTAACTCCTCTACCTTCATTGGCTTCCCCTTCTTCTATTGCATATTCCTCTACACAGGAGATGTCTACGCCGCTAGCTCAGGAACAATGGCCCTCTGGCCGTGCTAACAGTGGATTTTTAACCAGCAAACCCAAAGTCTGTGCACATGACGAAGATCCTAATTCTAGATGTAATGCGGCTATATCTGCCAAAAAGAAGCATTTGGCTTCCTCGACACTGGAGATACCCACACCAGTAGCACAGCAACAGTGGCCATCAGGCCGTGCTAACAGTGGTTTTTTCCCCAGCATACCCAGAATCAATGCACTTGATGAAGATCCTAGTTCGAGAGGTAACGCAGCTCCATCTGCAAAGAAGAAGCAGTTGACTTTCTCACCCAGTTTTAGTTTGCAGTCACGAAAGCAATCTTTCTCCCATGACGCTCAACCTCAGTCTACACAGAGAATAAATAGTAGTTCGAATTCAGATCCTGCTTGGGCAGATACATCAGAAACTGCTGCAGAATTAGTTTTGAAGAACGACCTTGATGCCGATGCTCAATTTAAGACCCCGATTTCCTTTCCAAGAAAACGGAAATTGTCTGAGCTTAGAGGCCCAGAGTTGTCAGTTCCGGGTAAAAGAATCAATTTGGGTGAGTTAGGACTACGATCTCCAGCTTGTCCAACCACAGCTTCCTTGCGTAGGAATTCAACCATTGCGGAAAGCTCAGGTTTGCAAACACCAGCTTCAGCTTTAGATGCCAACCAATCTGGGAGTTCCAGACTGGGCCAGATGACACCTGCTTCTCAGCTAAGACTTCCAAGTGATCACCAGCCTTCAAATCCAGAACGGTTATCACTAGACTCCCTTGTGGTTCAGTATTTGAAGCACCAACACAGGCAGTGCCTGGCTCCAATCACAACTCTTCCCCCTGTGTCTCTTCTACATCCGCATGTCTGTCCTGAACCTAAACGGTTACTTGAAGCTCCACTAAACATCACTGGCCGTCTTGGGACCCGTGAGCTTCAAAGTTTCTACAGTGGAGTCCATGGGAATCGCAGGGATCGTCAATTTGTTTTCAGCAGATTCAAATCTTGGAGATCTTTCCGGGATGAGACTGCTCTCTTTACATGCATTGCACTTCTTGGTGGTACTAATCATTTAGCAGTCGGTAGTCATGCTGGAGAAATCAAGATATTTGAAGCTAGCAGCGGTACCTTGCTTGAGAGTTTCTCAGGTCACCAGGCTCCGGTTACACTTGTTCAGCCGTATGTCTCTGGGGATACTCAGTTGTTACTTTCTTCGAGCTCCAGTGATGTACAGTTGTGGGACGCGTCTTCTATAACTGGTGGGCCTAGACACTCCTTTGATGGATGCAAGGCTGCAAAATTCAGCAACTCTGGGCTACAATTTGCAGCGCTCTCTTGTGAAGCATCGACAAAAGATGTTCTTCTATATGATGTACAGACCTGCAGTCCTTGCGATAAACTCACTGACACAGTCACATCTTCTCGAAGTAATCCCTATTCTCTTGTACACTTCAGCCCTTGTGATACACTGATTTTGTGGAATGGTGTTCTCTGGGACCGCCGTATCCCCGAGTCTGTCAGTCGGTTTGATCAATTTACTGATTATGGCGGCGGTGGTTTTCATCCTTCTAGGAACGAGGTAATGGATAAATCATATTACTCTTTAATCTGAATTATGTGATAATACCAAAGCTATGAAATTGTCATTCCTATTCCAGATGACCAAACCTGATGAGAGGCTATGAACTCTCAACCAAACCCTAGAACAATCCACTCCCTAAACAGTCAAAGACAGCCTTATAAAAATCCCTCGCTAACTGCTTCGGAACCATATCACAACAGCTTCAAATATTCTAAATTAACTCCTCGGCTACAATATAGTTAAAAGTTACTCGCTGTTTTTTGGCTTATCAACATGTTGCTTATTACAGGTGATCATAAACTCAGAGGTCTGGGACATGAGGAATTTCAAGCTTCTTCGAAGTGTACCATCACTGGACCAGACAGCTATTACGTTCAACTCCAGGGGAGATGTTATATACGCAATGCTGAGGAGAAACATCGAAGACGTTATGTCTGCAGTTCACACACGCCGTGTGAAACATCCCTTGTTTGCTGCTTTCCGCACTCTTGATGCGATCAACTACTCAGACATTGCCACTATACCTGTGGACCGATGTCTTCTTGACTTTGCCACAGAACCAACAGATTCGTTCCTTGGACTGATCACAATGGAAGACCAAGAAGATATGTTTTCCTCGGCCAGGATGTATGAGATTGGTAGACGGAGGCCAACAGATGATGACTCGGATCCCGATGATGATGATGAGACGGACGATGAAGATGAAGATGATGAAGACGAGGAAGATGACCTGGACCGAATTCTGGGACTAGGTGTAGACGATAGCGATAGTGGGGATGATGACCTTAGCAGCGACGACAATGAAGATAGTGTGAGCGATTTTGATGAAGAAGGAGAGATTCTTCTTGACGGTCTTGACGGTGGCTTTATGGGGATTATAGAAGGTGAGGATGAAGACGATGATAATGGTGGTGATGGTGAGGATGATGATGATGACGGTGAGATGCAGGATTTCATGAGCAGTGGCGAAGAAGATGATTATAGAGACAATATTCGTTCTTCCTAAGGTTTTTTATATCTTGTTTACTTTTGAGCTCTACAGATCTACTAAGATGGATTTTTACTATCCACAGTTTTGATGATAAGTTCTTGTATTATTTTTTCTTTGTTACGTTAGATGTTTATTTGATGATCAGTAATTAAAAAAAAAAAACAGATTCATATTCATGATTTCTCTTGTCCCACATCATAAGAGAATCCATTGATACACAGAATTTAGAAGAGACCATGGTGATGAAGATAAAGAACGTAGAAAGTTGAAAGGAGAAAAGCAAAAAAGTATGCATCATCAAATTCAAGGAAAACTAAACCAAACACTTCAGACAAACAGCATACATCTATTTTTTTTTCTTTGTGAAGACAAAAAATCTAGAAAATCAGTAGCTAAAATGGTTGGGTTACTTCTCCTATCTTGGGAAAAGAGATACAATCGGATATATATATAGATAGATACACACACAAACTTACATATATCTAAAGCCCTTCTCTCTCTCTCTCTCTCTCTGTTTTTTCCTTTTATGTTCTCTTCTTTGTTTATTCCTCTTCTTCCCCTCTCTCTTTCTTCACAACAGATTAGTCGATTGTCATTGGTTGCGTCATGCAACATCTGAAACGGGCTTTTCTCACATTCGTCATTATCTCAGTTTCCGCCGCCTCGAGAAGATTGACAATCTCTGCAAAACAAGGACGGACTTCAGGGTCTGCATCCCAGCAACGTGTCATGATCTCGCCAAGCACAGGAAGACAATCTGCTGGGACCGTTGGACGGACTCCTCGGTTCACCACTGCAAATGCAGCCTGAACCGCCGTCATGTTCTGGAACGGTAACAGACCTGTAATCAACTCCCACAGCACGATTCCAAAACTATACACGTCCACTTTTTGAGTGTAGGGTCTGTGCTGGATCATCTCTCTGCATCGATCAACAGATGGGAATATAGTGTCTATATATAACTTGCAGAGATATAAGGTTATTAAGGACAAGACAAGGATGGAAAACAAGAAACTATTCAACTTACGGGGCCATCCATCTGTAAGTTCCAGTCTCTGGTGTCATCCCTTCGGTTTGAACTTCGATTCTTGCAACGCCAAAATCAGCAATCTTGATTGACCGATCAGCTGATATGAGGAGGTTATCTGACTTTAGATCCCGGTGTATAAAGTTGCGCTCATGGACGTAAGCCATACCCCTGGCAACATCCAACGCCTGCATAACAGCTAACTTCAAAGGCACAGCTCGGTTTTGTCTCTTAGTCAAAAACTGTCTGACAGAACCTCCTTTTGCATATTCAGTCACAATGCACCACACCATCGGTTTAATGCACGCACCAATAAATCTAACGATGTTGGGATGCTTCAAAAAAGCAAGCATAGAAACTTCCTGCTGAAACTGCTGTTCGAGGGCTTGTGCCTTTTCAGGGTTGCTGTCTGACCTCTCGAGTAGCTTAATCGCTACATCTTCTCCGTTGTAAGTCCCTCTGTATAACTTTCCAAAAGCCCCTTGAGCAAAAGCAGGACCCATATGAAGTTTCCTCAGATCTATTGTCCACTCTTCATAGTTTGCCAGTCCCTCGGTTGGATACTTACTATCCATCAACGCTTGTGCTAAGGCGTCATCGTTAAGTGCATGAGTAACTTTCCCTGGGCGAAATACGCTTTGGCCAACAGAGAGAGAGTAGGGATGGCGCATAGGCTTCAAACCGGGATGGCCAATAAGAGCATCACTAGAACCAACGCTACTGTTATCCACAGACATTGACACAGACCCTCCAGCATTACTTGTCTGCATACTGTCAACGGACATGTTTGTACCTTCCTCCCCGAGCTTTTGATAAAAGTCTTGGGTGAAGGCATAGTAATTGTTGTCGTTGTTGTGATTGCCAACAGCGTGCAGATTGAACTTTGGATTCTCGAGCATCCTTTCCAATATCGTATTAAGTGTAATGTCTGATGTCTGACCAAGCTGCAAGTCACATGTAGATCGCTTTGAATCACTTCAACATGCACCTAGAGCAAAATATAGACCATAGTAAAGGAGACAAAAGAAAAGATATGAGAAACACAATTTAGATATCTGTACTGGTAACTAAAACAAAAAACAAATGACTAGTACGTGCATTCAGGTTCAACACAGATCAAGCAATCACTATTACCATAACTGTCTTTTGTAACTACAAAAAAAAAAAAAGTTACCTTTAAGAGAAATTCAAGAAGGTAGAAGAAATGAAAGTTTATGTTTCGTGATGCTGCTCTACACCATCAACACCCTAAAAATAGAAACATATATACATGTTAGTAAAAGAATGAAAAGCTGAAATCAGATACTTTGATAACTCAGCGCAACTTCAAATAGGTAAAAATCGTATCTTCACCTTTTGAATTCCAATATTTCATTTCAAAGAAAACAAAAATTGAGAACAAATGAGAGGTCCTATGAGATAAACTCGTGGATTAAAGAATAAAACCCAAAAAGTAGACACAGATCCGATAATTAAATAATGAGATAAGCTAAAACCAAGAACTCATAGATTACCTAGAGCTACATAAACCCCAAAATCAGCTGAATATGACATGAAACAAACACGAAAACCTTGCCTTGGGGTACTGGATAAGTAAAACGATCGAAAATAGAGAAAATAACTGAATCCGATAGAGAAATCAAAACCCACAAAGTAATAAGATCGCAATCCAGAAGCTTACTTCTGATCAAATTTCAGAGCTAAGAACCTAGAAACCTAAACAAGAGGTGGACAAGGAGGAGGAAGAAGAGTCAGTCGTCGCTTCCCATTTACTTTTTTTCCAGACTCCGATTTTCTCTTTTTCTTATTTATTTATTTTTTATTTTTTTGAGATTTTTATTTAATTTTGGTCCGTCCTTTGCTGGCAAATTCGTTTTTTTATTAATTGGGACAGCTTCCGTGCAATACTCTCTTCAATAGAAAGTGCTTCACACGCGCTCTACCATTTGAACCACGTGTCCATGCACCGTGTCGTTTCCGCAATTGATGATTGAGTCGTCGTATGAGGCGGCGCGTTGTAGCTTCTTCTTCACGCTTTACTAAAGAACACCCGATTATAAAGTTTTGGGGTCTAATCAAATAAAATAAACATTAACGGGGCCTTTTCGAGTTTGTCTAGTTTTGATAACCTAGATATATAAACCGTAGGTTTTTCATTTCCGTCGACTAAATTGATTCATTCATCATGTCGTCGGAGTCTGAAATCCCGCCGTCGTCATCAACCGCCGCGCCGGAGGAAACTGGAGAGAAGATCAGCAAGAAAGCGGCTAAGAAGGAAGCTGCGAAGCTAGAGAAGTTACGACGTCGGCAGGAACAAGATGAAGCAACGCGTAAGACAGCTTCGATGTCTCTCGAAGAAAACGAAGAGTTTTCCAGTAACTACGGCGACGTGACTCTCAACGAGTTGCAATCGACGGCGGATCCGAAAGCCGGAAAATGGAGAGAGGCTGTTGAGGGAAAAGATTGGACCGATGTGAGCGATTTGGTGGAAGAGATGGTGGAATCAGAGGTTCTGATCAGAGGCCGAGTGCACATAAATCGTCCAACGTCTAGCAAATTGGGGTTTTTGATCTTGAGGGAAAGTGGATCAACTGTTCAGTGCGTGGTTCGCCAATCGGAGAAGACCAAAGTGGGTGCCAACATGGTTAAATACTCCGAGCAGCTGAGTCGCGAATCTTTTGTCGATGTTATCGGTGTAGTCGTTCTCCCCAAGGAGCCTCTGACGGGAACTACGCAGCAGGTTTAGTTTCCTTGTCTTCTTCTCCTCCCAATTTCTCAGTTTGCTATAATAGTGATATTAACTCATTGATAATGTTAATTGCAGGTTGAGATTCAAGTGAGAAAAGTGTACTGCATCAACAAAGCCTTGGCAAAGTTACCACTTAGTGTCGAGGATGCTGCTCGGAGTGAAGCAGATATCGAAAAATCTCTTCAGGTATAGTTTGCTGTTTCAAGATTTGGAGATTTAGTTGGACCTGGTACAGTTTTGCTGTGAATTCTTTTAACTTGTGTTCGTCTGATAACTATTATGGTGGTCAATTTGTTCACAAGAGTTGTTGTTTTCATGCTGATGCAGACTGAAAAGCCAGCTGCTCGTGTCAATCAGGATACACGTTTGAATCATAGGGTGCTCGACCTCAGAACACCGGCTAATCAAGCCATCTTCCGACTTCAGTGCCAAGTCGAAAATGTAAGGCCTTGATCTTTTAAATACATGGAGGAGGATTAGAGCTTTATCACTTGTGTTACTGTTTTCATATCTGTTAGTAATAGATATGAGCCTGGTTTGGTAAAATATTTGTGTATGCATCATGACTAGGATAGGATAGCAACTACAGAAATGTGTTATCAGTAGTATCTTTTTTATCTTTCCATGATTTGGTTGCATTTTTATATGTTGCTTTGCTGAATTACTTGTCACTTTTGTAGTCTTTCAGAGAAAAATTGATATTCAAGGATTTTGTTGGAATCCACACACCAAAACTGATGGCTGGTAGTAGTGAAGGAGGTTCTGCTGTATTTAGATTGGAATACAAAGGTCAACCTGCTTGTCTAGCCCAGTCTCCTCAGCTTCACAAGCAAATGGCAATATGTGGTGACTTGCGACGCGTCTTTGAGGTAGGTCCTGTTTTCAGGGCAGAAGACTCGTTCACTCATAGACACTTGTGTGAATTCGTTGGTCTTGATGTGGAGATGGAGATTCGGAAACACTATTCTGAGGTAAGATTTGCTGTTTAAAATATTAGTTTATCTCAAGGATCTTCTATTCTGCCAGTGGTGCTAATATCTCTTGTTTATGCAGATAATGGACCTTGTGGACGAGTTATTTGTGTTTATATTCACTAGCTTGAACGAAAAGTGCAAAAAGGAACTGGAAGCTGTTAGAAAGCAATACCCATTTGAACCTTTGAAGGTAACCATATACAGTATGAGCAAGGAATATTGTAAACTGAGTTTTTGTATCTTATTGGATTCTGAAAATCGGTACTAAATTGCAGTTTCTACCAAAAACATTGAGGCTAACGTTTGAAGAAGGGGTTCAAATGCTTAAGGTATGACTTGTAATTTTTGCATTTTACCTGAGCTTTTCGATTGGACCATCAATAATACTTGTAATCTTGATGTGTTGACAGGAAGCTGGTGTGGAGGTTGATCCTCTTGGCGATCTGAACACTGAATCTGAGAGAAAACTCGGCCAGCTTGTATTGGAAAAGTAGGTCACCACCTGTTTGATATCCTTTTCATTTTCAAATTGATTTAGTTTTGTATCCTATAGTTACAAAGTTGTTCTAACACTAGCATGATGTTGATTTTTCGATAATAAAAACAGGTACAACACTGAGTTCTATATTCTGCATCGGTATCCTAAGGCAGTTAGGCCTTTCTACACAATGACTTGTGCTGATAATCCTCTTTACAGCAACTCTTTTGATGTCTTCATCAGAGGTACATCTTTGAGTTTTTCTTTTTCACCTTGTGTGTTCTCACCAATTATGTTACTGCACATTCGATACTAAGTTTACGTGATCTGTCCTAGGTGAGGAGATCATATCAGGAGCTCAACGTGTCCATATCCCAGAAATCTTGGAGCAACGTGCAGGGGAATTCGGCATTGATGTCAAGACAATTTCCACATACATTGATTCATTCAGGTAAATCACAAACTGGACCAGCTCAGTTTTGTAGCTTGTTTATCTGAGTTGTTCTCTAAGCAGACAATTGCTACAAATAATGTTTACAGGTATGGTGCACCTCCACACGGTGGATTTGGAGTGGGGCTGGAGCGAGTGGTCATGCTTTTCTGTGGACTGAACAACATCCGGAAAACATCCCTCTTCCCTCGTGACCCTCAAAGGCTTGCACCCTAATATCTTTTCAACTGAAAGCTAATGAGTGAATAATTGTCAGACTCCACAAATTTTTCTCATGAAGCTTTTAGAGATTTTTACTCTCGTCCTTTTGTACAAGTGAATCTTGATTTTTGTTGTGTGATGCTTATGTTACTTTCGCACTGAGCCTTTCTTTTCTACTGATATCTGAGTCTTTTATTTAACAAGTAAGATTAGGTCCGATAAGCAATGTAATAATTCAATCCCAATCTCTAAACATAATCATTATAATGAAGTAAAACTCTGCTAACAAATATTTTTGGCTCCTCAAAAGGATGTAAGATTCTATAATTAGCCTAAGAATATATAATTTTGTCTCTCAGAGCATTTCCGGAGCATATGCCACACGTGGTCTTATAAGGCTTACTTAATAGCAAACTCTGATGAGAAAGAGAAACTACTACTCTTGCATCAGCTTGACAGCTTCCACCAGTTCTATGTCGGCAACATTTTAAACGCAGACCCAACATGGTTTTGATAATGTTGACTGAAAAGAGGGACAATGCTCAGAAAAACTTTTGGTTTAGTTCCAAAATTTAAGGGAATAAATGGATGTGATGATAATTCTATTTCAAAGCTGAGAGAAGATCACATTTGTCACATTAACAACTAGACACTAGAAGGCTCGACTCTAAACAGACTGAACTAGCCATTAGAAGATGGGAACTGGAACCGAATCTCATCTGGTTGTAGCTCTTGCACTCATGGATGTGTGATAATTCGTACTTCTGTGTTTCCTGTAAGATGTATAAACATCATCGTACTGAGTTGGTTCGTTGGGATCAGCTGTTGCCCCAAGTCCCAATCTCCCAGATCCACTCTTTTTATCGGTGCTTCCATCCGCATATGTTCCTGTCTCAGGGTCCACCTGTAGGTTGGGAGGTGGAGGAATGCAGGCACCTCCTTTCCGCTGTGGACTATCCCGCTCATAATTATCATAGTCGTCATGTGATTCAGATCCCATGGGGCCTTCACTTGGGTTGACCTCACCTATCTCTTTGAAGAACTTAGATACTCTCTCGAGTACTTCAGATTGAGGTGTATCAGACGGTGGTATGACCGTTGGGATATCAAGAGGGCTCAATGGAGAGTAAGGCACACCACTACCAATCTGCATCTTTCTGACCATCCCAGGGATCAAACCAGGAGGAAAGAGAGGATAAGGAGGCGGCTTCTCACCAGCAGGTGGTTGGGTTGGTGGTGGAACAGAAGCGTTAAGCGGTATGGAACCGGGAAAGGCACCAGGAGGCATCACATTTGGGATAAATTGTTGGGTTGCGACCGGATTAGTCAGATGCTCTAAATTCATTGTGCTGGGGACATTACTGTTTGGTGGCTGTTGCAGCATTCCTGCAAGTGCATAAAGATAAAAAGTTGTTGGTGTATGCTCAAGTCTAAACCGAATTCTTCTTATACATAGGTGGAGTTATAGTTTCTGTCTCTCTCACGGAAGAGCAGGAGTACCTGGACGTTGTAAGGCATTTGCTGCTATAATGGGAGAATGAGAAAAGGTATTTGCAGGTGGTCCACTTTTCATCTCTTTCTCAAGGGAGGAGATGGTGTCTTGATCAAAAACCTCTTTAGAAGCCCAGAACTGCAAAATCTTTTCCAGACGTGACTGGTTTTCTTCCTTGTTTTGTGGAAAGTGGTAAATCCTCCCGAGCATGGAACCCAAAATAGGTCTGAAAGCAAGAGCTTCATTGTCAAACTCGTGCAAGTTTGTCCTTCGTTGTAAACTGTGTTTAAGGAAGCAATAAACATGAGAAAGCATCATAACGTTGCAACCCAGAAATATCAATAAACCAGAATTTTGAAAGGACAGATTCCTCCTACTAATATAAAATAAACAAAAAAACTAGTCTATGCAGAAGACCTCTAGAATTATGTAAACAGAGATCAGGGATGAAGTTTAGATACCTGTCGAAGAGAATGTCATTAGCTAGATACACTATGTGCATCTGCCTATCAGAATCATCCATTGCAAAGACCCTGTCTCTAAGTGCCTCTGCTAAAGCTGGTGCAAAGGGAGATCTCTGCATGAACCAAATCTTAGCACTTTTGATAGACTCTTTTGTACCATTAAGGTTGCCCAAGACACTATTTAGTTCCATTGCAACATCAGCAGGGAGTGGACCAGAAAGACCTCGGAATGCATGAGTTGACTGATCAAAATCAGGACGAGCATGGGGAGTAAAAGGATGAGGTTGAGGAAGATGCTGTTGGAGCTGGTGATGGTCATGGAATGGTGGGAAAGGAGGTTGACGGATTGGTGGCACAGCCAATGCACCAGGCACATTGTTCATTGAAGGACTCATCATGGGATTTGGTGGATGATGTATCATAGGCATAGAAGATGACGGAAATGGAGGATCAAAGGGTCCTCCAGGGGGATGCATAGAGAGAAAGTGCTTATAGCGGTAATAACCATGCCCTTCACCTCCAAAGAGAAACGCATAATCAGGATTATCCTTCTGTCTATCTCGCATCATAGCCTCAAACTCGGGACCATTCTTAACCGAATACTCAACAAGCTTATCAATCCGTTTCTGCAGCTCTGGATCAGCTGGAGGAGGAGGAGGAGGAGCTGAATCATACGGGCCAGGGAATGGGGGAGGAAGGTGATGTGGAGGTAAATGAGGAAGGAAAGCCTGAGGTTGCTGTTGACCAAACATCTGTGGGTGAGGAGGATGAGGAAGAAGCTGCGGTTGCTGCTGCTGCTGCTGATGCATAGGATGCTGGTAAGGGAACTGCTGCATAGAAGGATGAGGAGGAATGAAACCAGAAGTGTTCATTGGTGAAGGATACTGTGGATGTTGCGGATGAAATCCGAATTGCGGTTGTTGTTGCTGTTGAAAGTTAGGGCCTTGTTGCTGTTGTTGCTGAGCATAAGGCAACCCAGAAGAAGCAGCATAATCGTGCTGTCTTCGATCCATTTATAAACGCTGAAACACTTGTATAGATTCAGCTAGTGTTCCTGAGAAGATTGCAAAAACAAAAGCTTTTAAAATTGGGTCATATGAATCAACACAACCAAGCTCTCGTAGACATTCAAAACGAAAGAAGTGATTATCGAATCAATATCTACGCAAAGAGAAGCATCGAACCATACAAAGGGTACATTGAAGAGTTTAACAACAAAGCAACATCGATTAAGAATCTGACTACAGCTGAAATCACGAACCTAATAGCAAGAAACTTGGAGATTATGTAACTCAAATTGGAGAGAGCGAGACAAAATACCTAATTCAATCACTTACAAACAAAGAAGAAGGCAACTTTCTGAGAAAATAGTTGAAGGAAATCGGATGGAGCAGAAGCTAAACTCAACTCACCTGAAGAAGAAGGCGAAGGACTGCTACGATCCGGAAGTCTTAATTGGGCCACGAAAACCCGAATACCCGACCCGAAATCTATTTTGACCGGGTAATTGGGTGAATCTAATTGTGCCTGATCTATACCCGACCCGAGTTATAAGGCACTAAGCAGATAAACCCCAGAGACTGAGTAAACCCTTAAGATTTCTTTACCAGACATCTCCGCCATTAACAAGAAGATCTCTCTTCTTCTGCTCGATTTATGAAAGGCTACGGATTCGCTCGTCGGACGATTTGAAAGTTTCTGGATCAAACAGAGTATTCTCAATGCAGAGAACCATCTCACTTGCGACTGCTAAGTCTTCTTCTTCGACTTCAGTTCTGTCTCTTCGTCCTCTCATGGCTAAGGTTTGTGTTTTGACTCTTCCGCTGGTGGGATACTGAAATGTTAGATTTTCCATTTAAAGTTTGGTCTTTTATGCCTAAATCTTTATACTTTCGTCGTTTTTAGTATTGAAATGGAGTCAAATTGGTTTCATTGAGCTTCAATTTTTCGTTTATGTTATGTATAAGCGTTTGAAAATTCATCAGTAGAACTCATGGAGATTCTGACGGTTACTTGTTTCTTTGTCGTTGCAGTTGCAGTGCAGGGCGATTCAGAATTTCCCAGCTTCCTCTTCCTCTTCACTAGTTCGGGTTGATAGAGTATATAGAAATGCATCCCAGCTTCAGTTTAAAAGAGAAAATTCAAGCTGTCTTAAGTTAGCTTGTGCACTTCCTTCGCATCTAAGTCTTCTCGGTTCCCTTAGTTATGCAACACATTGGAGCAGCTTCACCTCAAGGTCCTTTGGATATAGTTTCAGACCGTTTACGAGGAGATATATTTCTCAAGTCCCTAATACTGGAATTAAGGATAGCATTGTTGGTGGTGTTGAAAAGTTTGGTGGGAATAAAATAGGTTTCAAGAAATTTAATAAGAAGTGGAAGAAGCATAAGGTTTTGGCTTCCACAAAAGCTGATGTGGTGGCTTCTACTGAACCAGTTATTGGAGATGTTAACATTGCCATCAAGGCAACTGCAGCTTCACCTGCTAGCAATGCTAAGCAAGCCTCTACTGTCAAAACAAAACGGCGGCCAAAGAGCAAGAAAGTCGAAAATAAATCTTCTCCAACGGTATCGGTTTTGGAAACGGTCTCTGTAGACGAGAGTTTGCAAAGCTTTCCCAAGCCAAGACATTCGGGTTCCGGAAATCGGAAGTCTTCATCTGCTGAGGTATTAAACTAGTAAAAAAAATTTAAACATCGTCTTACCCTTGCTCATGTCTTCTAACAGTACAGTTCTCAGAAGGAGGTGGCAAAAAATCCCAATGAGGAGGGGCCCAAAGGTCCTACTCCATCAAATTCCATGTCAGAACAACAGCATTGGACCTCAGCAAAAGCAAGCAATGCACCAAAACAGGAGCAGGATGGGAAACAAGGTTCGAAATATTCTTCTCAAGTCCCCAATACTGGAAGTAAGGATAACATTGTTGGTGGTAATGAGAAGGCTGGTGGGAATAAATTAGGTTTCAAGAAATTTAATAAGAACCAAAAGAAGCATAATGTTTTGGCTTCCTCGGAAGCTGAAGTGGTGACTTCTACTGAACCAGTTATTGGAGATGGTAACAGTGGCATCAAGGCGGAACTATCAACAGCAGCCTCACCTGCTAGCAATGGTAATCAAGCCACTACTGTCAAAAAACGGCGCCCTAAGAACAAGAAAGTCGAAGATAAATCTTCTTCAGTGGGACCAGTTTTGGAGGCGGTCTCTCTAGAAGAGAGTCCGATAAGCGTTCCCAAGCCAAAACATTCTGGTTCTGGAAATCGGAAGTCTTCATCTGCTAAGGTATTTAACTTTAATAATTTTAGGATCGTTATATCTTACCCTTGCTTATTTTACCTAACAGAGTAACAGTACAATTCTCAGAAGGAGGTGGCAAAAAATCACCCTGTGGAGGAGCCCAAAAGTCCTGCTCCATCAAATTCCAAGTCGGAACAACAGCATTTGAAGTCAACAAAAGCAAGTAAGGCACCAAAACAGAAGCTGGTTCCTCAACACATGAAAAACAGCATAGAGCATCGAGGTCAAAATGCATCTAAACCGCTTTATCCACCAAGTGGAAAATCTGTTATTGTCGTTGAGTCAATCACAAAAGCAAAGATTATTCAGGGTTATCTTGGTGACATGTATGAGGTTTTGCCAAGTTATGGTCATATCAGGGACCTGGCCACAAGGTCTGGTTCAGTGAGGCCAGATGACGATTTTAGCATGGTTTGGGAGGTTCCATCTTCCGCCTGGACTCATATTAAGAGCATAAAGGTTGCATTAAATGGGTACGGTTTCTTGCCTATTTCACTACTTTAAAAATTCACTGTTGCTATTATCTATATTCCCTAATTTTAGAATATTTTCCGGGTGTGTCATTGTGCTGTATAGCTATTGACATATGAGGCTGGTTCAAACTTATATGATATGAACTACTTCTTTCCTATGGTTTTTCTTATTGTGCTTCTCTATCTCATTATGTTTACCTTATTCCTCAGAGCTGAAAATCTGATTCTTGCATCGGATCCAGATCGTGAAGGAGAGGCAATTGCCTGGCACGTTATAGAGATGTTGCAGCAGCAGGGTGCCTTACATGAAAGTATGACAGTAGCAAGGGTTGTTTTCCATGAGATAACTGAATCAGCAATAAAAACTGCACTTCAATCTCCACGAGAAATTGACGGGGACTTGGTGCATGCTTATCTTGCACGACGTGCTCTTGATTATCTCATCGGATTTAATATTTCACCACTACTTTGGAGGAAACTTCCGGGTTGCCCGTCAGCTGGGCGGGTCCAGTCTGCTGCTTTGGCTCTTGTATGTGATAGAGAAAGTGAAATTGACGGATTTAAGCCTCAGGAGTACTGGACTGTAGGAATCAAAGTGAAAGGGAAAGATAATTCAGCCACCTTTTCTGCTCACTTGACCAGTTTAAATTCAAAAAGATTAAATCAGCTTTCTATCAGCTCTGAAGCAAATGCACAGGACATTGAGCAAAGGATCAAATCAGAAGGTTTTATAGTGAAGGGCACTAAAACAAGTACTACACGGAAGAATCCACCAACTCCGTACATAACATCAACCCTTCAGCAGGATGCTGCTAACAAATTACATTTTTCAACAGCACATACCATGAAGGTTGAGAACTGAAACCTTTTTCATTTGCTTTCACTTTCCCTTGAGTGCATATTTCTAAATAATAAGTACTTTGCAGCTCGCTCAAAAACTATATGAGGGTGTCCAACTGTCCGATGGTAAATCAGCTGGTCTTATAACATACATGCGGACTGATGGTTTACATGTGGGTTATCTCTTTAATTGTGTATTTTCTGCTATGGGCATTCATTTTTTTTTTGCTTTTCAAAAACATGACTTTCTGACTGATTCATCTTATCTGTTACAACTTCACTTTGATTTTCCTTGATTTATTTGTTTCGTTTTTCATTTGTTTCTATTCTCATCAGATAGCTGATGAAGCTATCAAAGATATACAGTCCTTGGTGGCAGAAAGGTAAGGCATTTAAATGCATCTGTGAAGTTATTCTACGTTAGTCCGTTTGACTCGAGAAAACTATAGCAGCAATATACTTATTATCTGCAGGTATGGGAAGAATTTTACATCAGATAGTCCTCGTAAATATTTTAAAAAGGTTAAGAACGCTCAGGAGGCCCATGAAGCTATTAGACCTACCGATATACGTAGATTACCGTGTAAGTAAATAATTTGCCATGCTTCCCTGGATTTATACTAGTCGTCATCAATAACTTACCATACGATTTACTATCGTAACTCTCAATATCTTTTCTTTGCGTTTCCAGCAACGATTGCTAGCCTGCTTGATGCGGATTCTCTAAAATTATATACCTTGATATGGTCACGAGCTGTGGCATGTCAAATGGAGCCTGCTTCCATTGCGCAGGTAATATATGTGCTATTTTTCACTTCAAATCATGCATATAGTGTCAAGTAGGTTCTTATTGACCAGCGAGAGAAAAAGAAAGGAAAAAAGAGAGTATGTAACTGAATTTTCCCATCAACCAATATTGAATGGTTGAAGGTATAACATTATGAAATCCAACATATTTCTCCAATTTTTTTCCTGACTCTTTCCCTTCTCAGATACAACTTGATATTGGAAATGCCTCTGAATCCATCATCTTCAGATCATCATGCTCAAAAGTCGAATTCCTTGGATACCAAGCAGTTTACGAGGTACTACCTATTTCATATTATCGTTAATTACCTGGCAGTTATATAATTAGGTGGGTTTCTAATGTGCTGATAGTTCCCTAGATTTTGTTTTGGGAGCAATTCTTCGTAAATTTTTTCTTCTCTTTCCTGTAATTGTCATCTGCATGTATATTTTGACTGCTTTTACCGATTGTGGATTTTAACTTTGTTTAATATCAGGTATAGCTAATGCTTGATCCTTCTTCTCTTCGGACATGTGCTAAAGCAGTTTTTGTTGTTTCTCCTGGTGATATTGTAGGATCCTGAAGCTAAGGCAATCAAAAATAAAGACGGTGATCAGAGTAGTGAGCGTGAGGAAACTTTTAAAACTCTCAGTATGTTGAAGGTAGCATTTCTAATATCACAACCTTTCTTTTCAGCTGTGCCTTGTACCGTGGTTTCATTTCTTTCTTTCTTCAACTTTTTCGTCCATAAGAGATGCTGGGCCTTTATTAGGTGTTCCTCCTTTTTTCAGGATGGAGATTTGCTACAGATTGGTGAAGTGGAGCTCAAGCAGCACCATACTCAGCACCCACCACGCTATTCTGAGGGCTCTCTGGTATAACACTCCTATCTCCTTTGTGTCAAAAGTATATATGATCCCGTTCCATGATATGTTAATTATCAGTATAGGCTCGTTTTGGGAATTAGCAGTCATGGTGAATTAGTTTTCTATAGACGGAAGAGATAGAAATATGATTAGGAAGATGAGAAGAGGACACTGACACAAAAAAATTTCCAAAATGATCTATTCTTTTGTCTTCTTGTTTCTTTATACAAATCTAACTTACTTCTCTTAAGTCCAAGACTCAATTAATCCGCAGATGTGTAATGAACTCTGTCACTTCACATTTTAAGTCTCCAGTAGCTCATTTTGGTTCTGGTTCTCCACACAATGGTTTCATTATTCTTGGAAGTTAAGCATTGATCTTAACAGTTCTCATCAACAGTAACTCATCTCTGTGTCAGTAAGATGGTAGCTAAGCATAAAAGATAAGAAGTTTCTTTTTGTATGAGTGCTGAATCTGGTGGTTGTGCAGACATTAGGCATGATATTTTTTTACTGCCGTCAGGTTCACAATACATAATATGGTAAGCATCTTTTAATGTGTTTCAGATTAAAAAGCTCGAGGAGCTCGGGATAGGTAGACCCTCGACATATGCATCTATATTTAGGGTTTTACAGGTATGTGCTCGTAGTAAGAAACTATTGGCATTTTTCTAGTGCTTCTGTTACACGCTGAAGTTAAAAGGCTCTACTGTCTCCTGAAATTAACAATACCCCTCCTTTCATGTGAGGCATAGACTGGCAGCATTTTGAAACCTCCTCTTTTTTTTTACAGAACAGAAAGTACGTAACAATAAAGAGTCGAGTCCTGTTTCCGGAATTCCGTGGGAGGATGGTATTTTCTTTTAATAAATTGAGCTCACTAATTGATGATTTAGTAAACCAACCATCGCAATATATCTTTCTAACCTCTGTGCTATCTTTCCAGCTTTCAGCTTTTCTTACCCACTACTTCACTGAGATCACAGACTATAGTTTCACTGCTGATATGGAGGTTGAGGTAGATATTTAGTTTGTTCTTCACTGGACTCTCTGTTAACTATAGCAGTTTCTACATTTGCATAGATATATTCCAACATTGCAAGATGAGATACTCAATTTTATTCCTTACGATTGATTTCCTTTCAGCTTGATAATGTTTCTGGTGGTGTAACTGAATGGAAAGGTCTCCTAAGAGACTACTGGACACGATTCAGCGCATATTGTAAACGTGTTGAAAATGTCCAACGCCAACAGGTACTTTCTTACAAGAATGAACTCTGAAAGTTTACTTTCTTTCTACAATTTCTTCCATTAGTTTCTTACATTGTCATACATTTACAGGTGGAGAAAATGTTGGAAAAGAAATATGAGGACTTTCTGTTTTCTTCCCTTCCTTATCCCAGTAGGACATGCCCGAGGTCAGCATACCATTAATGCTAATTAATTTCAAGATAGAGCAACTGATTTAAAAGTTGACAAACCCCATGCTTTCATATATGGCTGCCCATGCTAAAGATACTTTCGCGTTAGTGATATACAGAGGAGGCCTAAATAAGACAAAGTTTCTTTATAGTTTGAATGAGTGTATGTTGATCTTTATAGTTTCTTTCCATGTTTCAGTTGTATGGAAGGCACCTTAAGTTTCAAAGCAAGTAAGTATGGTGCGGGGTATTTCATCGGTTGTGATCAGCACCCTTCATGCAAGTAAGTCGTATGCTGTTGAGTCTCTTATTTTTTACACCTAAGATACTTACTCATGTATCCTCTCTTATCAAAATTTACCTATTAACTTTTTTTGAGTTTTTAATCTATCTATATTAACATGGTCGCTGACATAATGAGCTATGTGGTTCATATACAGGTTCATTGCTAAAACGCTTTATGGAGAGGATGAAGATGAAGATGATGCTCCAAAGAATAACTGCGTAGAAGAGCCCAAATTGCTGGGTCTTCATCCCAATACCAGTGAGAAGGTCTCGCTGTTCTGACCCTTTTTTGTTCACACTTTGCTAAAACTTTAATTTGCTGAATCCATTTCCTTATTCAGGTTATTTTAAAGTGTGGCCCCTATGGGCATTATGTACAGCTCGGTGAAGATAAAAAAGGGCACACACCAAAACGAGCAAATGCGGCCCATGTATGTTGGAGTTTTATCAATCAAATAAATATATGTCTATGTTTCCTTCTTACATAAACGGAGGCATACTGATCACACATTCAGTGTGCATGTGTGCCAGTATTGTCCTGGTAAGATAATGCTTACCTTTTCTTACTGAGAAATCTCCTGCAACCTTATTTTTCAGATAAAGGATGTGAACTCCATTACGCTTGAAAGTGCTCTCGAATTATTACGCTATCCTTTGACACTGGTAAGACTGATATAAAGGTTAGGCTGTTTCAACATTTCGGAGTACTGACGACTTGGTATACTGATTTCTACCAGGGAAACCACCCTGAAGATGGACAGCCTGTGGTCTTAAGGCTTAGTAAATCTGGATTTACTATTAAACATCGCTGCACTATGGCTACTGTTCCAAAGGTATACTTATGTACAGTTGTTTGATACCTTCTTAGAGTGTGATATAGGTAGAATAAGAGGAGCATTTATTAGGAGATGTTGGTGCTATATTTGATACGGAAATAAGATGTGGATCTGCTAGGATCTATTGTTTTCTATGTTATGAAATGAGTTAAAAGTGTTGTCGTTTTCATTGAGGATAACTTGGTACTTGGCAGAACACGGAACCAGGTGAGGTTACTTTAGAGAGAGCAATGAAGCTCTTGTCTGGCAAAAATGCGAGACATAGTGGCAGACCTAAGGGTATCCAGCCTGAGGAAGAGAAAGGAGAGGAAGAAGTTGCGGTAGTGATGTAATCTAATCCACAGCGCGACGCATGCTAAGAAACAATTGGTTCGTGAGCTTACATGGATGGAGAAGAGCATTAGCTCTGATGAAGACTATTATTATTCTTTTTTGGTAATATCAGAGTAATAATCGTAACGGAAAAGATTGGACATTGTTGTAAAATCATTACATATTTTTTAATGATATAAAATATCCATTCTTTTTATGATTATGGAAGTGTGGTATTTTATCTTTGAATTGGCTTATGTTAGAGAAGTTGCAGGAGAAAAAAGGTTTCATCACTGAATTTCCTTAATCCTTAGCTAGATGGTAAGTTAACTTTAATCATCTGTACATTATCTACAAGTGAAAGACTCTACTGTATTATATAGTGAGCATACAAATTCAGTTGCCTTTTTCATGAGCGTGTATACCTTTTAAGGATAAGTGTAACTTAGGTGGAACATGGATTACTAGTTGCATTTGAATCCTCTGTCTCTTTTTATGTGCAGATCAATTGTTTATCATTTCTCACAACTTGGGGGAGGAACTTTGACTCTCAGTGGGGGTTGGTCCGGGGCTATTAATGACTACTGCAGTCTTTGTTGATTCTTCAGCAAGTACTCTTAATCTGTTGAGCTCTGGCAATATAACTTTGGAAAGATCCGGTCTGTCTTTTCGCCTTATCTCTGCGCACTTGAGAGCCAACTTGGCAAACTCTGTGGTGTCTTCAACAGGCCAATCAGACACAGCAGGATCGAGCAAATCTTTCAAATTACCCTTCTCGAGGGCTCTTTCCACATAATGGGTTAGACCCATAGGTGGTTTTCCTGTTATTAACTGCAGAAACATAATACCAAGCGAATAAATGTCAGATTTCACACCCAGCATCCCCGTCTGTTGATACTCTGGGTCAATGTAGCAAAATGTGCCAGCAGTTGATGTCATGCGGTATTGCGTCACGGTGTTTGCAACGGATGGAGGGACCAGCCTAGCCAAGCCAACATCAGCAACCTTGCTGACAAAGTTGCGGTCTAGTAAGATATTTGCTGGTTTGAGATCACGGTGAACCAGTGGCTCTGGTTTAGTCTGGTGGAGGAACAACAGTACAGTGCCGATCTCTGCAGCAATTCTGAATCTTGTTTGCCAAGAGAGGGGCGGGCTGTCTCCTTCTCTGAAAAGACGGTCTTCTAGGCTCCCATTAGCCATGAACTCATATACTAAGCATCCACATTCTGGGCATGCTCCAAGCAGAAGAACCATGTTAGGGTGCCTTATACTGCTTAACACTTCAACCTGTGTTTTGTTGATAAACAGAAGAAAACTTAATTAAATTCAGTTAGCCAAGAAAGAGCCCGAGGTGTATAAATTTTTATTTATAGACTTTGTTACGAGACTTCACCTCTTGCTGAAACTGTGACCTGCCTTGAGCTGCATCTGGGCGCAAAGCTTTCACAGCCACAGGTGTGTGATCCAGATAACACTTGTAGACAGGTCCATAACCGCCTTCTCCTATCTTGTATTTCTCATCAAAGAACTCTGTTGCATCCTCAATCTCCTCGATGGAGTACTTCCTGTATCTGACATCTGAGTTTGCTAAAGCATTCACGGCTTTTGTTCTCGCCTCTGATTCCTTCAGAGCTTTCATTTCTGCATCGACTCTCTTTCGGGACTCGATATCAGCAATCCTTTGAGCTGCTTCAGCTGCTTCCATTGCTGCTTTGGACTTTGCTTTCTCCTTCTCCGCAATGGCTAATGCAGCTTCCTCTGCAAGCTTTGCCTCTTCGAACTTCCTTTCTTCTGCTAACTTCCAGCGTTGAAGCTCTGTTGCCTGCAGGTTCAACATTTCGCTTTTGAATCCATACAGTAGGAACTGAGAAACAAAAATGAAGCAACACTAATCATTTTTGCGAGAATTATACCTTATGTTTTGCTGTGAGAGCTTCCTTGCAAGCAGTACTGTACATTTCCATCGTTTGTTTCAGCTCCAGTTTAAGCCTCCTCATCTCAGCCTCTACATCATCCTGGTTACAATTCTCAGCCATAAAACCTCTTGCATCTAGGAGTTCCAAGTATGCAACAGGGAAAAAGATTCACAGATGAGTCTTACCCCTCCTTGAGAAGCCGATGAAAACCTTTCATTCTCAAATGAGCCAGTTGAGAAAGCAGTTGGTGAGCTTATATCCATTGACCTCCTTCCGAAGGTCATTGACTCGAAGCTACCATAGTCAATGTCTGAGAAATTTGATAGCCTTGGAGGAGTCCGGTTTGGATCCGAATTGTCGTACAAGGAAGGAGAGTTGCGCTCAATGCTTGGTCTTCCAGAGCTGTTGAAGGATATGTCAGAATCCGGGATTGATAGTTCTCCATATGATCTCCCATTCAAGCCTCTTCTAGTGTAGGGTGACCTGTATCAATCAAGAACTTTCATCGTCTAAAGTCTATGGTCATGATTTCCCAAGCGTGTCAAATGAAAAAACAAGAGTGATGCGAACCTGAAGGAATCTGACTGATCGTCAAGGGACCTGCGATGCTGAGACTCAAATGACTGTCTCTCAGCTACCGGAAACCAAGAATAAAACAAATTCAGAAACGTGCAGGAGATTGACATGAAGAAACACTTAGAAAAGCCATATTTTTTTTTTAACCTCTTGTGTTAGTAGTTGCAGAAGGCAAAGGTGGATGTGGCTTTAAGCTATTCTGTTGAAGCTGGATGCGTAATGGAGAAACAGACGGCGCAGCACGAGAAGCTGTTTTCTTTGTTGAAAGCTTTCCTTTGGTTATGACATAAACCGTGCAGAAATCAGGTGCGGTCTTGGTGATGGTTCCTGGAATATCTGTAGGTTTGTTGAACCTGCAGAGACAAATTTTGACATCTGATCCAACATTTCTTGTTAAAAGATTCATAGCAAAACCGGAAAGAAAAAGATGAAAAAACACACCTGAGAAAGCCACCTTTTGAAGAGGAACCAACCACCAATACCTCAATCACGACCTGATTTGCGTATTCGACTAAAGCTTTCGCCACATCTGACTCCTCCAATAACACATCTTTGCATTGTATCTGAACATGTTCCATTTCAATTTATAAGCATAGGAAGAGACAGAACACAGGTAAATTTGTTTTCTGGCTTATATTACACATGGAGACTCACATCTTTGCGTGAACAGAGACAACGAAAAGGAAGGAACAACTGTTTATAAGAGCCTTCTGGGTCTCCACACACCAATGAAGACTCACCATTTATTTGGCTCATCTCTGAAAGAGACACAAACCCATCAGCTATCGAGAAGAAACATAAAAGAAGCAGAAGGAACTAGAAACAGAGAAGATGTAGAAGAAATATTTTTTACTAGAAGAGTTTGAGTTGATTGAAGGGTTTGTGGACAAAGATGAAGACCGAGGCTTGACATGTACGAGGACGACGGTTTGGCCTTTCTGCAACAAATTATCAACAGCCCATTTCAGAGCAGTTTGGCTGTTTTTGTCTCTGTCTATGGCCACAGCAACCAATCCATCCACGCCAAATCCTCCGTCTCTGTCCCTCCTGTGCTTCGCCATCCAAATCTAAGAGCACTACACAAAGAGATGTTTTGAGCTTCAATGGACAAATATATGGTTTGTTTTCTTTAAGTTCTTGGGTGTTCTTGGTCTGTAATATTGTAGGAAAGGAAAAAAAGGAAATGAAGAGAAGAGAGAGAGCTTTCTATAAAAATCCATCGACTCTGCTTCTCTCTCTCTGTTTTGAGCGCCTCTCCTTCTTCCCCGCCTCTATTTACCCACAAACGGCTTTTTTTGTTTTGCACACAACAAATCTATAATATCTTCTTTCTTTTTTTCTTGTCTGCATCTAAAAGATGTTATTAGAAATCAGATTATATCCAAATGAATGTTAAAGAAATTAAAAACAAAATACCATAAGCTAAGACTTTCTTTTCAGTATTACTTAATACTTGCAAGAAAATGTAAATATAGAATATATTTTTCTATTATTGAAAACAGAATGTTGATTGTACAAACACAGAACATATAATTACAATCTCGATCCTAATTCCTAAACTTGTGTTTTGTTGTTTTACATGCCCATTGATTTCTTAATTTCATTTTTAGAACATAACATATCACGACGACTGTCTTCTATGTTTACTAATATTACAAAATCTTTCAGACAAATCACGACGAATGTATGTCTCGTTTGCTAAACCAACAATGCTTCTTGTTCTTCCACACATGTAGGATGAAGATCATAATCGCAAGCATCGCAAGAAAACGCCCAAAACCTGCCTTGCTTCTTACAGAAATCACACACATAAGCTTTCGCCATATCCAGCTTTAGCTCATGTTCATGCTTCTTATCCTTCACTTTCCTTGGAAGTGAATCACCTTCTTTCTTCAGACAAGCTTTTAACTCAACAATCCTTGACTCTGTGAATGGGAAACTCCTTGATCCATACAACGATACCATCTCTCTTGCGTTTGTGGTCACTGTTTTCTCTTCCGGTCCTATGATGACCAATGCAGGTATGAGTTTGATGCTGAAGATTCTACAAAGGTCTTGTCTTGTTCGGTCCTCATAAGGTATTGCAAGCCATGGCATGTTGGTCATGTTGATGTTAAACTCTCTTGAGTCTCTGTCTGTTGAAACTAAGATGACTTCAAAGGAGCCTTTATCTCTGGTCGCGAGCTCATTGTACACATCCAGGAGCTGAGAAGTGAAAGATCGAAAAGGCGGACACCAGTGGGCACCAAAGTACAACCCTATAGTCTTGCCCACTAGTTTAGAAACTAGCACCTGCATAATGTTCATAGACATAATCATATATGATCATTTGATCCGACCAGATATCTGAAGTCTATAAGTCAGTTATTTTTACCTTACTTCCATTTCTGGCAACAACATAATTTCGGGACTCATGAGTAAGGAGTTTCTCCAATTGTCCGCCAATGCGTTTGGAGTCATCGATGGCTTTGAGTTCTTCTTTTCTCTTTTTAGTGAAAGGAAATGCTTCAGGACCATAGTCTTCAATTAGACCAATTACATCTTCAGCGACTGAGATTTCATCTGAATATAGAGGAACCAGTGACGGGATACGAGAAATTCTGTACTTGTCCCTTAATTTGTTGAGTAGGCTTAAATTGAAGGGGACTGTGAGCCATGGCATGCACCAGAAATGTTCATAGAATAAAGTCATATCATGATCAAATGAGACAAAGATGATCTCGAGTTCTTCTCCTCGGGTTTGAAGATTTTCGTAGAGTTTTACCAGCTCTGGAGTGAAGTCCTTGCAAGGCCTGCACCAGTTTGCAGAGAAGAAGAGACAAATCGTCTTCCCATGAATATATTCCAACGGCACCTGATTGAAGTGAGCTTATAGTTGAGTATAAAAGACCAGACGAATATATTGCAATATAATAACGATAGAGCCTAAGTGGTACCTCTCCACTATGAGACAAAAGAAACTCAATCCCTTCAGCAGCTAGTATAGAGTAAAGATCACCACTTTCAGGAAACTTAACTTGGTAATCAGCTGATACTGCCATCTAAACTGCAACACCACTATGCTCTTTATGTTGCTTCTGCTCAGAAACCTATAAAACCAATATGAGAAAACATGCTTCATCAAGAACAGGTACCTTAGCTTTATTGTAGGAGTACATGCTATTACATGTTATCCAAAATGCCTCAAGCGAATTCCAACTCGAAAGGCTTCTAAAGAAATGAGCATATGCGTTGTAATTAAGTAAAACTCTTGAAGACTGACAAGTTCTCTACAGTTAAACCTGAGTTCTTTTTCTGGATTACAAAACCCTAAGGTCAATCCCTTCATGAACACATGGGATGATTAAACATACAGAAATATCAAGACCAGTTTCAAAACATCAGAACCCCAGAACAAAACTTGAAGGAACATACAGCTGAAAAAACTGAAACACAGACCATATATAACAGGTTTCACAGACGATGGCCTGTTGAGAAAAGCTACAAACAAAACTTAACATACCTGATACCAGAGAGATGGTGGTATAGCTATAACCTTTGATACGAGGAAACTACACAGAGACGAGTTTCAATACAGAGTAGATTGTAACAAGATTTTCCAAACAGGTTTAATCCTTATTGATATGCCTCTCGGTTGATTAAGCTTGTAAATTCCAAGAAAAGGGGATAAAGGAAATCACATGGGGACAAGGAAATATAAATAGAAAAAGATATAAACTTTATTGAAGTCTCTATCAAACGAACAAGTAAAAGTAAATCAAAATATCCTCAAAGAATATACCATCTACAAGGTTACCCAAAATCTAAAGCAACAAGCTTGTGAAAACCATTAATTTTATATTCTTGCTTATCTCAACACTGCATCAGAAAGTGGACAAGTTGAAGAAGAAATGGACATAAAAGACATTCTTTTGCGTCTAGATGATACCAAAATACGGCACGAAATAATATTCACAAAATGAGGAAATAGCTGAAAGGTGGTGAAAAAAATCAACAAAAGAACAAAAGCTTGAAGCTTTACTCATCAATCATATCTGTTAAAACTAGGGGAAAAAACAACTGAATGCGAATAAATAACCCTGGCAATACAAAATAAATTGTCTTTACCTACAAACAAAGACACGGACTTGATCAACAAATATCAAGGAAATGAGAATTAGATGAAGAAGAAGACTAGTGGAGACCAGAGAGAGATACAGGCCTTTCAATGTAAGCTATTACATGAGCGAGAACTCCTCAGTCATAGCTCTTGAAGAACGATGATCACCATCACTAGCAGTCACGTACGAAGATCGAACACTCTCTTGACCTCCACCAGCATCTCTATCAACCTCTTCTATTCGATCAACAGCCTCATGAAGCTCAATTCTCTTCTCAATGTCCCAATCACAACATCTCAACCCAATCTTGAGCAGCTTCAACATTTGTGCTTCGTGTTCTTTCCCTGCTTTCATCTCCTTATCAAACACATCAGCAGTCCACTCAGTTCTCGCTACAGACTCAACCCAAGCAGCTAACTCATCATCAGCTCCTTTCCCTTGCCTGAGATAATTCGCCGGAAACTTCCCTGTCAGAATCTCAAGAATCAAGATTCCAAGGCTCCACACATCGGATCTTCTCGAAGTCCGATCCTGCTGAGTGAACTCAGGTGCCTTGTAAGCCACCATGAACTGCTGTGATTGATCTCTGTTAACAACCGGGACGAGAGCGTAGTCCGTTAGAAGCGGCTCGAAGTTGGGGTCAAGCAACACATTGGAAGACTTAAGATGGCCATGAGGAAGATTCAAATCAGGGAACACTCTATAGAGATAAGCCAAACCTCTCGTAACTCCTCTTACAATCTTTAATCGAATCGGCCAATCCAAAACCACTTGACCTGGTGTTCGATTTGCTGCAAAATCAAAATTCAATCAAACCAATTCCATCAGATTCCTCAAATCATCATCAGATTCAGATGAACATGAACAAAGTTCCTTAATTTTACCATGGAGGAGATTTGCGAGACTTCCATTGGAAATGTAATTGGTGACGAGAAGCTTCTCTTCTTTTCTGTAATAGAAAGCGATCAACGGAAGGAGATTAGGGTGAGACAATCGACCGATCTTCTTCATATGATCGTAAAACTCTTCTCTCCCGATATTGGTCATAAACCTAAACCGCTTCACAACCACCGCACGGCCACTCGATAAAGCCGCTTTGTATGACGATCCAAATCCGCCACTTCCGAGAACCTCCGCCGATGCACGGAGCATATCCTGAAGCGTGAATCTCTCCTGATCATTCCTAACGAAATGTAGCTTACGTTGATCTCCTCGCTTGTCTTCGTCTGGAGACAGACCTCCCACTGATAATGCTCCTGATGTTGCTGTTGAATCTCGCTGCACAGTTTCATTAGCTAGTTTTCTGTAGACTTTGGAGTCCTGTGAGCTCTTCTCACTGTGTTGTAGCTCGGGTTGCCCGTAGACTTGGCCGTGAACGTGGCCGTGGCTTTGGTCTTGGCCTTTGGCTTGACGGCGGCTGAGGATGCAAACGGAAAGGAAGACGGTAATGAGGACTACGACGGCGAGGATGGTGAGGGCAAGGAGAAAGACGGTGAAGAACGGCGGACGAGTGTATCGGCACGGAAGCAACGGCGCTCCACATAGCCCCTTGTTACCTGTTTTAAGGCCCAAAAGAATTATTGAATTAACATCTTACATGGCCCATTTCTATAGAGGCCCACTAATAATTTAATTAGAATTATTCGGTCAAATAGAGTATTTTCCAGAGTTTTTTTTTTGTCAATTTAAAATCACGTTGTAAAGAAGAAATAAATTCATATTGTAACTTTTACATGCAAAACTTAATGCCTAAAACGTGCTCACAACTTACCAAAGACTCCAAGACAAATATGTTCAAATTTTCCCTTTGAGAGTGATAATTAGACAAAGTTAAGCCCGAATATATTTGTAAGATTAAAACCACAATTGTTGTGTTGCAAAATACGTATATCAAATTATAAATGTGAAATATGATCATCATAATTAGTGAGAGAAAAAATAAATAGAGATGATGATTATCACCTAAGAAGAAAGTGATGTTCATAAGGCCGAGATTAAACGGAATTCGACCCTCTAACTGATTATTAGCAACGTTAACGGTAACGAGATTCTTCTGTTTAAACCTCGGTAACTTTCCGGTGAACATATTATCCTCAAGATTCAGCTCAGTCAGCCTCGGCAATTTCCCCAACGACTCCGGAATCTTACCGGAAAATTGGTTTCCTTCAAGATGAACCTTCAGAAGAGCCTTCATTCCGGCGAAAAAATCACCGTCTATCTCGCCTGAAAACCGGTTATGCGCAAGGTAAAGATGCACCAACGAGACAAGCCCGTCGAGTCCACGTGGGATCTTCCCTTCGAAATGGTTACGCATAAAGCTGATGCTCTTGAGACCGCGAATGGACGCGAGCGCTTGAACGTCAAGCGTGCCAGAGAGGCTCATATTCTCGAGACGGAGAGCGAAAACGGAGCCGTTAGAACACATCACTCCTTTCCATTTCGAGTCACTTCCTTTTTCACCGGAGCAAGGAGGTTCGCCGGAGTCCCATCCACCGAGGGTGGTGGCGTTAACGAGAGATGACTTGAACTTCAAGAGAGCATCAAAATCACCTTCGCTGGAGATAGGAGAAGCGAAGAACACGGCGATCAATAACAGAGAGTATACAATCGGGAACTTGTCATCACGGGTCATTTCGGTGAAAAATATCGAAATTTTTGGGATTTGAGAGGAAGAGGAGAGATTTATACGTCGGAAGACGTATATGTTGGACGGCTTCTCAATGGATTAATCAAATGAGATGAGACTTGCCGGAAGAAGAATGAAAGGACGGCTGATGGTGAATGACAGCAAAGGTCAAAGCACACAATCGCTTTCGCCTACAACGTGGAACCAAGTACTGTGTGTAAGCACACAATCATAGATTTTTTATTAGATACCTTGATTACGTGTTTATCATTTGTACTAAATTTTTGTAACAAAAATACGAACTAATATGATTAAGAAATTCAAATGTATTGCATTCCACATTATTTATCGCGCTAATATTTCTAGTTGATATTTTTTTATTAATCGAAAATATATACTCAATCCAAAAAAATAGTGTAGTTTCATGGATTTTCTTATAGAGATATATATCTTCCTTACAGAGTCTCCTTCTCCTCCAGCTTTTTTTGGTAATAACGTACAGAGTACAGACCAAAAGAGTCAAGGATAAAGTTATAATTGTTAAATCATATTGTAATGTTTATATATCTTTAATTTTTTTCCGTCATCAAAAATGACCTCTAGCAAATTTTGCTATTGTTTAAAAGCAGGAAAATGCTTCATTTCTAAAGCTTTCTAGTTGTATACATCACAAATCAAAATTGCTAATAACATGAGATACTTTTAATTTGATGTGGAGCAGAGAACGGTGTGTTACTCAATCCTGCAATGTCTGAAATATCTCTTTTATCTAATGAATAATGTAGATCCACGACAGCTTTTTTGTTGTACAAAACTTTTGGCTCCATATTTCATGTCAATTTAATAAGGACTTTGTAACCTTAAAGAATAAAGCAGTTTTGTGGTGCTAAAGAATATACTAAAACGACGCCCTTCTTAGCCGTATAGGTCGTTACAAATGTGTGTTTGGATGGCGATCCCTTTATTTCGTAACAATTGTCAAAACAAAACAAAATTCTATCTTTAGAGTTTGGACTGACGTCGGACGGAAGCGGGAACAACACGGCAAGGTCGGATATCTTGAATTGAATTTCAGACCTAATCCTTGTAATTTTGTCTTTTTCTCTCGTTCAATTGTTTGTTTTTCTCGGCTCATAATTGTTGTTGGTTGCATAACTAACTAATTGTTGGTGATTGATTCCTAGGGTTTGCAATTGTTTAGGGATGGGTGATGGCTGTACTATTGATCATCCACTTCTCGCAAATTTCGGCCGCCGTTATTTCCCCAGAGTATTATATAAGATTGTGAATGACCGTAAAACGAATTCAGTAATCTCATGGGGCGAGAACGGCAAGAGTTTCATCATCTGGGATCAGCAAGAGTTTTGCAGAGATCTTCTTCCGAGGGTCGTTAGGATATCTTCTTTTCCAATATTCGTGAAGCGGCTTGAGACATATGTAAGTTTTGTTTTCTTATTTATATATTGATTGTTTTGGCCGTGAATTAGTGTGTTTCTTCGTGCCTTTAATTATACACCTTTGGATCTTTTGATGCCTTGTAGGGTTTTACAAAAGTTGAGTCTGACCACTTTGAATATGCAAACGATGATTTTGTGAAAGGGAAACCTAAGCTTGCTTTAGAGATACATAAGCGCTTCGTGGAGACTCTTATCCGACCAAACTCTGTGTTTAAGCCACTAGGGATAGAACCGGCTGCTTTGAAGGCAATGATGAAGCAATACAAGGAGTGTCTTCCCCCTGGAACTTTTGACTTCAAGCCATCATTGCGCGATCCGGATGCTTTGAGGGCTCATCTTATGGATGCCATGAAGCAAGGGAGAGCTGTGCCAAAGGATCCATTAAGCCTTCACGAGAAAGAACTCGCTGCGACATTGATGGCTGATCTCAAGGACGTGATTAAGCGAAGAAAAGCTTTCTTAATGGAAGCTTTGGCTGCTGCCGGTCCATCAAGCGGCGTCACTCAGTGATTTATCACTCTTGTTCTTTTATCCTCTATCCTTGGACTAGTAATATATTGTTGTCCTTTAATTTCTCTTCTTCTTTTATCATTGCAATTTGCTACAATCTCTGAACTAAATGCTCTTATGATCCTTTCTTCTAGCTTTTGTTTCAAAGACATATCATTTTGTTTGGTTTCGGGTTCCTAGATTCTCTCATCTGCAGAGACATGATGATGTACTATGTTACTTATGACATTGGTAAATCTTATACACGGATGGATCCTTTATGGACACCGAATCCACCAGCTGGTAGCCCTGGTAAGATACTCATACATAACATTTGATATATGCATAGCTTCACAATTCATGCATTTTTTTTTTGGTTTTTTTTTCAGTTGGTTTGAAAGACTTCATTATAGATATATATTTCTATTTCTTTGGCATGAAAGACTTCATGGCCCAATGGATAAGGCGCTGGTCTACGAAACCAGAGATTCTGGGTTCGATCCCCAGTGAAGTCGATATTTTTAGTACTATTTACCATTTTTGAATATATACTACACAGACTCACAGAGTACAGTTTTTATATTTAAACATCTAATTAGCGCCAGCTTATTGAAACACTACAAGTCTATTATATTACGATTCCAAAGAAGTAAATGGCTAAACATTTACAGCTGAAAGTTATTCACCTTGTAAATCACTCGATTTATTGTGGAACTTCACGAAGCCTAGTAAGGGTACTAACAATTTCACTCAGACAACCGATGAGCTCGTCTCCTTGCTGTCTCACGAACTTCAACTTGTCGTCCGTACTAATACCATCCCTTGTTTCATTATCTTTTGCTAGATTTCTCCCGACTATCGCATGTATCAAGTCAATTTTATAACTTAGCTTCGCTTCCATCACTTCTACCTCCTCTTCTATGTTCATTGTTTCCTCTTCTTCTTCTTCTTCTTCTTCTTCTTCATCCGTAGAGATTTCTTCCATCGGCCTCTTCTCTTCCATGGTTTTGTTCTGATGGGTTGCTTTTGCAGTTATAGGTTTCTCTCGAGTGTTTACTTGAACTCGGCTTGTCCGTGGTTCTTCTTTCTTTGTCTTCTGTGGCGGGTTCTCCTTCATGACAATTGTTCGCTGTCTTGATCTTTTTGATCCTACAAAAGCTGAATTTAAAACCAGAGTGATTCGAGTGGTTAGCATAAGAAGAGTGTCAGTGATTCTGGACTGATCCAAGTAACTCCAAATGGAGCAGTTCACATCTATGCACCTCTATTTACCTAAAGATGGTAACTACGAAAAGAGCAATATAAGCATATTCTAGCTCACGATAGAGCCTCACGGTTGCACGGGAAACCCCAAAGCAAAGTGTTCTACATAAATTTCAACTATACCGATAACTTTCATCATTCTGTATCTTGAAGTACTGAATAAGTCTGTCTATGCGGCTATGCACTATTTGTTCTTAAGATTCCTAAGGGGTAAGAAAAGGATAGTGTAGTGTACCTAATTCAGCAGAGATATCAACAACGTCTTGCGCTTCCGGGTCACTATCAGATTCAGTCCCAGCTTTGTCATCTTGGATCATCACAACCGCACTGATAGCTTCAAAAAGCTCGATATCGATATTCCCCGGGAGATTCAGTAACTTCCTCTTGTCACTACTCAGGGACCAATAGGAACGACCACTGCCTCGGTACTGGGACTCCCACTGCTTGATCTGATTGTAATCAGACACCAATGAATCCCATTTCCTCCTGCATTGGTTTAGATTTCTGCGTACATCCAAAGCGTTACAGTTCTCCGAGATCATTGTCCATTTCTGGAAGCTAGATAAAGCATTCGAACAATCCGCTTCGACCGCAGCGATCTCATTCACGAGAATTAGACAGTCTTTGACAGCCCAATCCGGAGCAACTTGAGACCGTGTTCTCCGTGAACCCGAAGTTCCTTCCTCCATCCAAAAAAGCTCAAACTGCAATTTGGTTTATTAACCTCGTTAATATCATCATCATCAGCAACACATTACAACATAACTGTGATTTGAAAATCTAAAACCTATTGTCAATGAACAATAACCAAGAGGTGCATTTGCATGTTTCTATCCAGAATTTTGAATAAATCTGAGAATGGGAAACGATTTTCAAATTCAGGAACTAAACACGGATAAAATCCATAAAAGTGCAGCTACATTTTTCAAAATTGAAGAATAACTCGGTACCACAAAAGTTCCAGCTAGATTCAGGAACTAAACACGGATCAAAAATTACCAGATCGTCGGAAACTGCTTCTGGATAACGACACGTCGATGTCAGCAAGTCACTTTGAAGTTTTGATCCAAGACGATGAGGAACCGAGTGAAGCCGAAGCAAATATTATTATTTAACAGGCCCAAACGTTTTTATTGAATTCGGCCCAAACGTTTCTTTTTGTTTAAATGGCCCAGACAATTTTGATAGATTGTTTTTTTTTTCAGCTTTTGATAGATTGATTTTGAAGAGAAAAAAAACTAAAACAATTTTTTTTTTTTTCTTTGTCAAAATTAAAAGTGTACATTTGTAGACTAAAATCTTCACTATGATTCAAGCGAACCACTTAAGGTTCAAGGTTGTACCCATTTTAAATGTTTGATCCTACAAAAGTATAAACAACTAATTATCTTTAACATGTATTTTACTGAACATATCCCCAATTACAAGACCTCATTATCCAATATAGAAAACACTCGCCGATGAGTAATCCTCAAAAAGCCGAACAATTATAAGAATGCATTTATTCCAATTTGATATTTGAAAAAAAACAAAGATAATTTTGTGGAGATCTAGTTTTTGCTTTTTAAAAATATTTTATGGTATAATTCGAGAAGAAGCAATAGTCGTGGGAAACATTTTATAGTTTAGTCTTATTTACGTAAACCTAAGCCCAAAAAGATGTTAGTATTATTTCTTTTATGTATCAGTGACGTCGGTAATGGCAATGTATGTATATGGTTTTGTGTAACACATACATTCTGACGTTTGTGTTTTGTGACTGTGTTTTTGTTTGCCTCAAAGATCAAGTTTTAACACTTTTTTAAATTAGCCAATTATCATTTATTAGGGAAATTAAACAAGTGTAGATTTTGGATATGTGAGTTTCCATAAGAAACAAAAAAAAAATCATTTCACTTTATGAATTAGATTTTTTTTCTTGAACTTCTTAACATTAGATTCCTTGTTTTGAGAACCAAAGATTTTATTTTTAGAAAGGCCAGAAACAAGCGTCTTCACCGGCCAGTCACGTGACGAATGGAAAACGGAACAGACAAAAAATCTGCAGAACACAAAAAAATAAAATAAAAAACATGCGTGGCATGATCACACGGTTCGGTCTCCATCTCTCTCTCTATAAATGCTCTTCTTCCCACACATCGCCTCCTCCTCATTAAAATACATCTCGAGAAGCAGAGCAGAGAGAAAGAGATTCAGAGAGAGAGAGGGAGGGAGAAAGGAGCTAAGTGGTCTCATTACCATTCCAAGCTCCATACGAACCGAAACGACGTCGTTCCCTCTACCTTTTTCTCTGCAATCTCTCCTCCCACGAGTTTCTCAGCTTTTCTCGGATTATCTAATTAAAAGAGGAGATCTTGTCTCACGGTGGGATTGTTTCTTCTCTTCGAAAAGATCGTGTTCCAGGGTAAAGTTTTGATTTTTATTCTTCTTCCGCATTTTGGTTAAAGTAGCTTCTGTTGCATCTTCTTAGCGATTTTCTCTGTCTGGTGTTTATGTTTATTGTCATCCAGGAAATGGTCTTACTGTTCTGTTTGATTGTTGATTATTGCACCAAATCTGGATAGAAAAAGTCAATACCTTTTTCCCCTTCTTTCTAGAATTTGGGAACACTGTTTACTAGATTTTTGTCTTTGTTCCAAAAGTTTGAGCATTCATGTCCTTTATGGTTATACCTGCACCACCACTGCCACGGAAACGCATAAGCTACCTAGCAAATCTTCCTTGCTTTTCAAATTGAAAAAAGGGAGAAGATTTTGGTCTTTTATGAATTCTGAGCTGTCCTGAAGAGGAAGTAACAATTGGAACGCTGGTCCATCGTGATATGTCTTACTTGTTTGGCTCTTGTCTTGTCTTTACTACATGGTGCCTTTTGTTTGGCATTTACCATCCACAAAATCATGATTTGTGTCTAAATCTTAGATTTTGTCTTTGTTTGTGTGTATCTACAGCAATTAACTGCAGAAAATGGTGATGTGGGTCTTTGGCTATGGGTCTCTTGTGTGGAACCCAGGATTTCACTACGATGAGAAAGTGTTAGGTTTCATCAAGGGATATAAACGTGTCTTTGATCTTGGTAACCTTTTTTTTTTGTGAAGATAACAATTTGGTTCATTTGCTTATATGATTGATGCATCTCTTCTTCCGAGCTATTGATGATTGATTGTTTTGTGTTTTGATTTGACTTGGTAGCTTGCATTGATCATAGAGGCACACCAGAACACCCTGCAAGAACTTGCACCCTCGAGAAAGCTGAAGAAGCCATATGCGTAAGTAGCTACTCTTAATATGTGTATATGATTTAAGGATCTTAGAGTCTGTTCATGAGGCCTGCTTAGTTACTCACACATTATTCTTTTCTTTTTAACATTCCCATACTTTCTTGACAGTGGGGTACTGCATTCTGTGTCCGTGGAGGACCAGAAAAAGAACGTCTGGCTATGGAGGTATGTCCTTGCATCTGAAACCTAGATCGCTTGATGTCTCATGTTCACGCCTTTGTTTTGATCATTCTATTTGTGCACAGTACTTGGAACGTCGAGAGTGTGAATATGATCTCAAGACATGTGTAGACTTTTACAAGGTGAGTCACAACTCGCCCGATTATATTGAATAAGCCTATTATTCTCTTATGCTACTCAAAATTAACCTCAAAAGTTTCTTCTTTTACACAGGAAGCTGATCCTCTGAAGCCAGCTGTAACTGGAGTGATAGTGTAAGTTGTTTTCTATGACACGGGTCCTTTAGAAGCTGTTCTCACATCGATTATTCGAATAATTGCTGCATCTTTTACTTCTTTTTTTTAAGTCTTTGTGTTGTGATTTGTGATGGATGCATTTCTTTACAATCTTCAGATTCACTTCTACTCCAGACAAGGTCTCCAACAAGTATTACCTTGGACCTGCGCCATTAGAAGACATGGCAAGGTAAACACTTAGCTACCAGCCCAAATTCTTCTGTTCCTTTAGTTTATGTGTCAGATTCTTGTCCTCACACTAGCTGTTGTTTTGTGTATTCAAAGACAAATTGCGACAGCCAATGGACCATGTGGTAACAACAGAGATTATCTCTTCTTGCTCGAGAAGGCAATGCACGACATCGGTTAGTCCAAGCTCCCTTTGTCTATAACATGATTAGGAATTACTGGTTTGGGGTTTTAATTTGCAAAATTTTTTGAAGATTACGCGAATAGCACACATTGACTTCAAATTTTTGCAAATTAAAACCCCAAATCAAATCACTCTTGAAAAACATCTGCTCAGGCTTTGTAGTCAAAAGGTTCTGACCTTGATGGTTAAAAGAGAGACATTGTTGTTGATGTGTCAAGCCATTTTTTGTTTCACACAGGGCATGAGGAGGACTATGTTATAGAGCTGGCAAACGAGGTGAGGAAGGTTCTCACAGAGTCCACGACAAAGAAGGTGACACCGGTGAAGGAATCAAGAGCGAGCCGTGTAGCTAACAAGTCGAAGAACAATGTCCCCACGGCTCATCAGATACTTCCTCCTCATCCAGAAGCTGTTGCCACGACAATATAGCCCTTGTAGTTTTCTTCTTAATTGGCTTTAGACACGAGTGAAATCAGGTCTTTTTTTTTAATAATAATGACAAAGTAAGTTTGTTTTCTGAGTAGAGAAGTAATCTGTGTTTGAAACTCTCGTCTTGTGTGTTGTCCTAACGAGTGCCTTGTTTTGTGCACCTTTTGAAGAAAATTAATGTTGAAACAAAATTTAGATCCTATTATTAAAAGATCAAACAACATCAGTCGCATTTCAACAAAAAGCAAAACCTTTTTTATATAGGAAACTTGATAAGATCACGTTCCAAATACAAGCCTTTAGCTATTTGGAAGATCCATGAGAAGAAATAGGTATTGGGCTTGTATCTGGAAGGTCCATGAGGACAAATAGCTATTAGGCTTGTAGTTGGAAGATCCATGAGAACATATAGATATTGGACTTGTATTTGGAAGGTCCATGAGGACGAATAGATATTGGGCTTTTACGTTTTTATCTTTGCTTAATAAAAAAAAGTAAAACCAAAAAGAAAAAAGGACAGAGGCCGACTTGGGGTATAAGCCAAGCCAGAGAGTTGTTCTTCTTATTAAAGCTTCTTTCTTCTCATCAGTCATCATCGGAATCTAATTTTTACTCGCAAAACTGAGCGATCCTTTTCGTTTCTCAGAAGTTCCCAATTCTACGGCGATGGATCTCAATCTCGATGCGCCTCACTCCATGGGAACGACCATCATCGGCGTCACTTACAATGGAGGTGTCGTCCTCGGAGCCGACTCACGTACCAGCACCGGTGAGATTTCCCCCCTTCTCTACTCTTATAGGGTTTTAGTTCCTCTTCGTTGGGTTTGTCTTTGAGCTTTGTTTCGTTTCAATCGGAACGGAGAATAAGCCTAATCGATTGTTCTCTTTGGGAAATTTTGCGAAAGCTGATGAATTTGGGATCTGTTGTTATTTACTCGCGCAGGGATGTATGTAGCGAATCGAGCTTCTGATAAGATCACACAACTCACAGATAATGTCTACGTCTGCCGCTCTGGATCGGTAATAATCTCTCTTAGGGGTTTCCTTTTTTTTTTGTTTGACCTGTTCTGTGGGAAACTATATAGCTTGCTAGACTTCTTACTGAATCTCTTTTGCTTGTTGGGTTTCTATAACTCGGATGTTTGTTGTTCTTATTTTACTTGCAATTGGGTTATTGCTGATGTATTTTACTGATTACCACAAGCTCTCTTCTTGTTTCTTTTGCAGGCTGCTGATTCTCAGGTTGTCTCTGACTACGTCCGTTACTTCCTTCACCAGCATACGTGAGTGTCTTGATTTGACGAAACTATATGACTTGATACTTATGCTGTCTTATATATGCTATTATATAATAATTCGTTTTCTTATGATTTGCAGAATTCAGCTCGGACAACCTGCAACTGTAAAGGTTTCTGCCAACCTTATTAGGATGCTCGCATATAATAACAAGGTACAAGTTTGCTATTAAGCTTGCCGTATGGTTTGGTTGTTTTACCAGCAATTTAAACCAAGAGTAGTGGGGAATGTGGATGTTGTTCCATATTCTACCAGGATCTTTTTTGTAGATGAGAACATGCTCTACTCAATCACTGATAACTGTTGTGTGGGAGTTTTGACAATTTGCTTATGTTTTTTATTGCTTTATTATGACTAAAGCTGAAAATTTTGGGGGCATATAGATTGATGTTACATGTCAAACCTAGCATGCTAGTATTTATGATTCTCTTGTTATTCGTGGTGTTGTTGTAATGGTTGTTCTCTACTCTGAAGAACGACCATTATTAGTGGAAATGTAGAAAGTTTCTGTTCTATAGCTACTGTATGCAGTGCTCTAGAAGTATCTAAGTTTTCTATACTCCGAATCATATCCGGGGTATTATTGTATGGTGATTCCTTGTTTTGATTACATGGATTGTTGACTGAATCATTGTATGTCTTTGTTGGGCAGAACATGCTCCAAACTGGTCTCATCGTTGGAGGATGGGATAAGTATGAGGGTGGGAAGATCTACGGGATCCCACTTGGTGGAACTGTAGTCGAGCAACCGTTTGCCATCGGAGGTAAAAACCATATTCTTATGAGTCTTTGATCTTTAGGTTTTAACATAGCTGTATTCGATTAGGTGATCTTTCCTATTTACTAACTTGCATGATACCTTAGCTTCTGTTAACAACAAATGGAATTGTGTGTGTTTGTAGGCTCTGGTTCGAGCTATCTTTACGGGTTCTTCGATCAGGCCTGGAAAGAAGACATGACCAAAGAAGAAGCCGAGGTACGGCAGTTCAGATCTTTGTATCTGCATATGCATAAATCTCACAAAACCCATTTACTGTAACTGGTCTTTGCTGTTGTATGTATATTGCAGCAACTTGTTGTGAAGGCGGTTTCACTAGCCATCGCCCGTGATGGAGCCAGTGGTGGTGTCGTACGGACTGTCATAGTAAGATATCTCTCTGACCAATAGCTCACTGAAGCGAGACTTATGTAACCTCCTTAATGGAACTTAATTGTCAAACTGCTATTGATGCTTTTGAACAGATCAACTCAGAGGGAGTCACGAGAAACTTCTACCCTGGCGATAAGTTGCAGCTTTGGCACGAGGAATTGGAGCCCCAAAACTCACTCTTAGACATCCTAAACGCTGCTGGTCCTGAACCAATGGCCATGTGATTGGCAAACAACAATCAATTTATCTTACTCGGGCAAACATTTTAGATATTTCATTACATTTTGCAGTGTCTTAAGACTTAAAACTCTGTTTGTAATGACCCGATCTATCTTTTTTAAATGGATATCGTGTTTGTTATGGCTATGGTTATAATTCCTCTGTTCTCGAGTTGATTTGCCATCTTGTATGTTGAATAAAAAACATGAACCAGTAGTAATCACAACCGTCAATATGCTTTACACGTGGCCGGACAATGGACACTTGAACAACTTCTATGTGTAGTAGACTCAGTCGTAGGAACTGGACGGAGTCGGAGAGACAGAGTGAGATGAGTATGTTGTCAAGGAAAGCTGGTCATGATCTCTTTGTCTATGGCAGTCTCCAGGAGCCCGAAGTCGTTCACGTGCTTCTTAATCGCGTCCCTGACCGTGTCTCCGCCGTCCTCTCCGGCTTGTGCGTTTCTCTCTCACTCAATCTGTCTTGATTTCATTCGATTTTTTGATCCAATTGATGATATGATTAATGGAGATTCTGGGATTTTCAGTCACAGGTTTAGACTCACAGGTCGTGTTTATCCAACAATTCTACCGGACGGTACCGGAGAAGTCACCGGAAAGGTTCTTTAATTATCCCTGATTCCCTTTTGTCACAAATGGAAAACTAGGACAATAATTTAGATCCATAGAGAAACGTTAAGGCCATTGTTCTTTGTGTAGGATTTTATGTTGTGTTATTGTTTAGAGATCATTTTGCCTCCCTACTTGTTTTGTGTACTTGATTTTTGAGGTTTCTCAGAGTTTTGAAAACTTTATTGTTCTTGAAGGTGCTTAAGGGAATAACAGATAATGAACTGAAAATGTTAGATGAGTTTGAGGATGTTGAATATGACAGAAAGGCTGTTGAAGTGGTGCTGACGGTAATTACTTTTTGATCGGAACTGTTAATTCTTACATCTTGGATTAGGTTTTGTTAGATCAGAGTTTGATATAAACCTCTTAATCTGCAGGATACTTCAGAGAAGCTGCAAGTCGAAACATATGTATGGAAGAACAAAGATGATCCGGATCTTTATGGAGAATGGGATTTTGAGGTTTGAAATCTTATACCATATTCTTGCTTATTGCTTTTAGAATGTGAAAGGTCCAATCTTTATAAATGTTAAACTGTGTTAGGAATGGAAACGAAATGACAAGGAAGATTTTGTAACAGCGACCAAGAAATTTCTGGAAGATAGGAGATTACCAGAAGCTAAAACGAGGATGGACACATTCAAAACATTCTTTAAGCAGGATCTTGAGAATGCGAAACCTCTGGACTCTTGATGATTCACTCTCTGATCTTAATTGCTGTGACTTTTGGTACTTGCACTTATATTAAAGTGATTGACAATGCTTCACTTGAAATAAGACTTGTGGAACAATGCTTCTTGGGAAATTATAAAGAAACAGAATTTTCATGACTTTTGTGAAACTAATAGCGAAACATGAATTGGGCTTTGCATGATCATGTAATCAGACGACCTCTTATGCTTTGTAATTTCACTGAAGAGTTACTGTTTTTTTGTTTTTTTACTTGAAAGGGCTTGCAAATTATGAGTGCCTTAGAAAATAAGCATTTCCCTTGTTTCTCTAATTGTCTTTTAGCTCATAACTTTGAATACCAATCTTCTTAAAAGCAGGAAAATATAGTCATGGACGTACAGTCACAATGCTTTTTAAGTTTCCGAGGCCTATGGTTTGTTCATGTTAGATCTCTTGCTGGATCTTGCTGTCGTTGATATATCATGCACTTCCTTCAAGTTGCTCATATGACTACTATTCACTATCCTCGAGATCAGGTTCAGGAGATGTTACACATGTATTATTGAGTGATTACTTTAGATGGTTGCAAGTCTCAGGGTGCAGATGTCATGTGGCCTTTCCGTTTTATCAGATCTCACTGCTTAAGCTTTGACTTTGACCACCTCTTAAACCAGGTGAGAGAGAGGACATATCATTCCATGAATACCTCCTCTCTCTCTCTCTCTCTCTTGAATCTTGATTGATTTTGGGAGGATACCAAGATCATTCCTTTTCGATTTTGCCGTACTCTAATCAGGGATTAATGGTTAAGTGCATGTTACTTCAATAATGAGGGGTACTTAGTTTAGAGATAATGTGACTTTGATGATGTGACTAGTTATTATATTCACTAATTAAGATACTTATTATAGCATTAGTTTCGGTTGTAAAAGCATAGGATACTGTACGTTGTTTATCAAAATTGATTAACAACCAGAGTCTCCACTTGATGATTAACAAGTACATTTCCGTAGGTACTCATCTTTTTTACACTACTAGATTGTGTACCCGCGCGTTGCGCGGGATTTAATATAAAACTTTTATTCTTTAAATATAAATATAATCAATTAAATTTTAAAATATTTTACTTTACTCATGTGCATTATCTTTTCAAAGTAGTAAATTTTTTTTCACACTTTTCAGTATAATTTTTCTCGTTATCTTTTATGATTCACTCGTCGTCTTCCGGCACATACTCTCTTTTCTCCTTAGATCATATCTATTTTCTTCTTCATATCTTTCACTACTTAATTTAATTATAAGTTTCATGATCTTTTTATTAAAGTGAATATCGGAAACAGAAATTTGAGGAGATGGTTGTTATAAGATTTCTTGACCATGTTTTGGTGCATCTAAAATTGCTTTATAGACAACAAATCTCATATATGGACTCATTCGTACTTATAAACATAGAATTTCAACATAAATTTTTGCACTTTATCTTAGCCATTTGAAAAATACAAAATTCTCTTTCTACATATATAACTTAACGTATATTATGATTTTCAGATAGTATTCTTAATGTTGACTTCTCTAAAAATTATTCTAATATAAAATACATTTATTTTTTGAATAAACAAAACCCTTCTTATTTCTAATGAAAAACTCTTCAATCTATCATTACTATTCTAATTTCGAAATAGCATTCTCATATATTATTATTACACAGTTTTATAATTCTATAAGATTATTTTATTTGTATTTGTGATGTTTAGGATAGTTTTTTTGTTTTATTTCAAATCACTTTAGTTTTTTTTTAATCTATGTTAATTTCCTAAACACTGATTAATATTTCATATTTCATTTTTTAAAAAAACAAAGCACCACTCTTTAATTTAGAAAACATTACTAATATAGAAAAATAACTATTTATATTATCTTATAATTATAAATAATAATATGTCCTAAATCCTTCTTATTTTTTAATTGGTTCTAAAATGAATTGCTTTTATTTTAAGTAAAAACCTTTAAATATGGTATTTTTTAAACTCTTATTTTCTTTACTCTACTAAATAATTGTAACTCTTAAAAATAATTATTGTACCATTAAAATATAGATAAGTTTATTTGTTCCTATCTTTGTGTTTTCTCATAATATTTCATTTAATTTTTTTGTCAATTATTGTTTTTATTTAATGCGTGAATTAATTTTAGTTTTAATATTTGTTTTAGTAAATAAAGTATGTGGAGCCCACACAAAATTAAAATAAGATGACTTGGATGATGATGTGGACACCCTAGATGGAGAGACAACTCTCCATTATATATATAGATTTTAAATTGATGTTAATTACTCTATTACTTTATGTTAACTCTTTGATTACTTGGCATAACTGCAACATCAATACACATGGCTAGTTCCCGGAAAAAGTGTAGGATGCATAACATGAACCTTTTGCTTTATTTTTTGTAACAAAGTCCCCTAAGCCTAACCCGGAACCTAAAACTGACATATGAATAGCACATTGGTCAAGTGTAAGTTAACCGGGTATCGAACTTTTGAGATGCCCGAGTTTACGCTCTAGCCACTAGAGTATAGTACTTATCATTGCACCACCACCACTTGGTTCAGTCTTTTCAATTAACATGGAAATTTGGGATGTTGTGGGTCTGATTTCGATTAGGAGTTAAAAGGACAAATGAAGATGTTGGAAAAAGGAAACTGTAACCTGTAATGTATTTGTTTTAAACCTGTAAATCATCATTCTTACACTAGCTATGTAATACATTCTCTTCCAGAATTGTTTTATGATGGATTGACTTTTATGATATTTCAAAATAATAGAGATCTAGGTATTGTGGTTTTCATTTACTTCCTTGATTCAGGGCAGAGAAAAAAAAGCAGTGGTATTCATTGTTTGGTTTGTTTCAAATGATCCGTTTGTACATTCCATTATTCAAAAATCTCTCTATCTCTCACTCTTTTTCTCATTGAAGTTGCATAGTACACAAAGTCCAAATCCCCAAGGGAAAAAGTGGTGTTTGTACCGAGGTTGTAACAACAAATAACTATAGGATTTTCGGGGAGAACGAAGTGACTTCTTTATTAACGACGAACGAGATCGGTTAGTTACAAGGAGCAAATGACGAATGTACAGACTATGAGCTACGAACAACCAACGACCGTATACGCAAAGAACTATGACTAACGAACGAAGGTTTACGCAAAGAACTACGAACAACCAACGACCGTATACGCAAAGAACTATGACTAACGAACGAAGGTTTACGCAAAGAACTACGAACAACCAACGACCGTATACGCAAAGGACTATGAACGAAAGTATACGCTATGAGCTATGAGTAACGAACGCACGTATACGTTATGAGCTATGAGCAACGAACGCACATATACGAATAATTCTCTGATTCTCTCCCCCTTTTCTCTTCTCATCATTAGTCCTCTATTTATAGGACAAGGTTTATGACTTGTCCTTTGTGCTTCTCCCGTAAATTACCATTTTACCCTCCCGAGCTTGACGGGCTGGTTTGGAGAAACAACAGGCCCAATAAATGATTGGGTCTCTGTTTGGGCCAAATGGCATTTAATGGGTGAAGCCCATATCCAACAATAAGCCCCCCCCTTAGTCCAGCAGACGAGAGTTTTCTTGAGTCTGGTGAACGTATCTTCTGAATTGGATATATGTTGATTTGGCATAAACAGAGGCGCATGGCTTTTTCCGGTGATTTGTGCCGTGGGCATGTTTTTCGAGGAGCGCAGAGCTTTTTCAAGAGATTTGTGCCGAGGGCACGTTTTTGGAGGAGCGCGGAGCTCTTTCAGGAGATTTGGGCCGAGGGCACGTTTTTGGAGGAGCGCAGAGCTCGTTCTTGTGATTTGTGCCGAGGGCACGTTTTTCGAGGAGCACGAAGCTCTTTCAGGAGATTTGTGCCGAGGGCACGTTTTTGGAGGAGCGCGGAGCTCTTTCAGGAGATTTGTGCCGAGGGCACGTTTTTGGAGGAGCGCGGAGCTCGTTCTTGTGATTTGTGCTGAGGGCACGTTTTTCGAGGAGCGCAGAGCTCTTTCCCTTATCTTTTTTGCTTTCTCTCCTTGTTTCCTTGGTTGTGGGTAGTTTGGCGAAGAAAGTGGATTGGTGAGCTTTGGTTCGTCGGATTGGATCGTCGGAGAACCGTGGTTAGGCGAACTTGGTCCGTGGTTCGGCGAACTTGGTCCGTGGTTCGGCGAGAAGGACCGTGGTTCGGCGAGCTTGGTCCGTGGTTCGGCGAGAAGGACCGCGGTTCGGCGAGAAGGACCGTGGTTCGTCGAGAAAGACCGTGGTCGGTGAAGGAAACTGTGGTTCGGCAAGGACTGTGGTCGGCGAAGGAAACCGTGGTTCGGCGGTGGAGAGCCGTGGTTCGGCGGTTCGGCCAAACGGTGGTTCGGCGGTTTGGCCAAACGGTGTGACCCGTTTTCGTTCGGCGTGACCCGCGGTCGTTCGGCGTGACCCGTGGTTCGTTCGGAGTGACCCGCGATTTGTTTGGCGTAACCCACGGTTCGTTCGACGTGACCCGTGGTTCGTTCGGCGTGACCCGCGGTCGTTCGGCGTGACCCGCGGTCGTTCGGCGTGACCCGTGGTTCGTTCGGAGTGACCCGCGATTTGTTTGGCGTAACCCACGGTTCGTTCGACGTGACCCGTGGTTCGTTCGGCGTGACCCGCGGTCGTTCGGCGTGACCCGCGGTCGTTCGGCGTAACCCGCGGTTCGTTCGGCGTGACCCGCGGTCGTTCGGCGTCACCTGTTTTTGTTCGGGGTGACCCGCGGTCGTTCGGCGTGACAAGTGGTTCGTTCGGCGTGACCCGCGGTTCGTTTGGCGCAACCCACGGTTCGTTCGGCGTGACCCGTGGTTCGTTCGGCATGACCCGCGTTTCATTTGGTGTGACCCACGGTTTGTTCGGCGTGACCCGTGGTCGTTCGGCGTGACCCACGGTTCGTTCGCCGTGACCCGCGGTCGTTCGGCGTAACCCACGGTTCGTTCGGCTTGACCCGTGGTCGTTCGACGTGATCCGCGGTTCGTTCCTTGGTTTTGACGATGGATCGTGAATGGTTAGGTACGAACGGTGACGTAGCGAACTAAGGAGCATACTATGGGGTGAATGATGAGTTTGGCTTGTCAACCGAGGAC